AAGTCCGAGACGATTCACTGATATTTCACAGTCACATTTGAGACAATCAATGAACATTTTGCAAATGAACTATTTACTGTATGATTCTCAGATTTTACTAAGATATGCTGTAATGTTCAAATACATTCAATTGTCACAATTGATTGATCACTGGGTGCCGATCAATGTCATGCGTGTCTAATCCTTATTATTAGTGCAGATCGAATGCTGGGTGACACGAGATCGAATCCGTTAGGGAGCATTAGTTCCTGCAAGACTACAGGTACACCTTGCTGACGAGTGCCAAGCAGCACGAAACCCGGGTCCAGGGTTTTCTGTCAACTACTTCCAACCACTATCTAACATTCAATTGTCCCCCAATTGTGTTCTCATTCACTACAATGGTAAAAAGTATTTCTTTTCAGAAGACACAATTATATTCCAATCATAATTTTATTACTGAATTCATTATGAAACCTACTTGTATTTGTATCATTCTCATTTGTTGTTATTAACTTACTGTTTGTTTCAGAAAAACATGTACCATGGAAACTATGACTTTAGACTGATTTCTAACAAGATACAAAAATTCTAATAAACTGATAGTCAATTTAGAATTTCAATGGTATGATTTATTGATGATTTATGTGACCCATTGATTAGTCATGTTACCAAATCAATTGATGGTTTATGAAATCTGGTCATATATGCAAGTTTATAATGATTAACATCGAACATTTATTTATTCACTTAGTACATTAAAACATTTTGGATTGTAAAGAATAATTCTAACTGTAGAATATAATTACAGTAAATATGATTGTTAGATCATGCTAAGAATAAACTATGTTGTAAGTGAAAATTGGCTTGGAACATTTGTAGCGTGGCGTCGAGTTGAGATTAACTATGAACACCGTTACCAAGAAACACGTGCCAAATAAATCAGAAGGCGTAGGTTGAACGTAACCAAAGAAACCCATAAAATCCCCGAGAAGCCAAATAACAGAATGCAGTTAATCGACCAAGTCGAGTTATATTTGCTGGCGATCTCGTGGCATCGAGAGGATACCGAGATCGTGCCAGGATACAACCTTGGTTACAGAAGGTAACCGAATTCGCGCGAAGTTACAATCGAAGTGTAAGAACAAGGATGGAAGCACAAAATAGCTATCATTAGCACGGTCAATCAAAAGCACGTTAAAACAAACACTGGTACAGTTGGTTATAATAATAATTGTTTTTATTAAACCAGTCGTGTTCTCGTGATAAATGTGAGTCACTACACATTCTACTAATATCTATAAATATACCATAATTGTAGAGCTATTATGCTGGTTAAAGTATCCAACTCTCAATCACTCAGTTACATGTTCATATCAAATCATCTACTCAAATTATATTAGGTGACTGGAAAGTATATCTAATTCTTACACAAGAATTATGGCTTAAAGACAGATATACAAATCAGTGATACCATAAACGGATAACTATGATGATTAGGAGTACTTGAATTATAGTACGAACTAAGAATCACAGAAATAACGTAATCGGATCAAGAAGTACTAGATAACCACAAACGAATGTACTGTATTTAGAATTCGAAATCAAGCATTCAACAAGTACAAAGGAATCATTAGTTCATTCAAACACTACATCCGCCACAGCTTAAATTAGAGTCTAAGTGTCTGTAATCGATTGTACGACTTCTTAAGTTCATTCTGTGTCTGTCCGACATTGTATTGGATAAAAACTCTGTATTATCTAGAATATGCTCATTAGTATTGAAATTAACAACCGAAATCGGAACAGACTCACCTGGGTCCTGGGATTGTATACAATCGCCGTGTCGGTTGTGTACCGAAATCACTACCTAGAATTTAAAGCACAGATTTCCCAACACTATCCTCCCCTACGAAATAATGTTGGATCTTTATATCCCCAAGTTATGAATGATGTGACTTCATTTAAAATATATTTCCCACATTGACTAGATTAAGCATTAGAAGTAACTTCGTGACAAGGATAAACAGCAGTTGATATTAAATCATCCTGATTGTAAACAAACTCGAGCTCACTTAGTACTTGTGCTTCGCACTGAACAAGTTTCTCACAAGCAACAAATGCATTATCAGGACAAATAGTATTTGATAGAACATCAAGATTTGATTCTTCTGAAATAGTTTACTCGCATTTATTAAGAATGTCATTGCAGAGCGTAGGATCGTTAGAAAAACCAGCATCTATCAAAACTACATCAGGTTTTCTATCATGACTAGATTCATTCAACATATTTTCCTCAGATTTGCAAGGAATTTCGTCAGAAATAAGTGAATCATTAGGAAAAACCATATCTGGTACGATAACATGAGAAATATGATAAGTTCATTGATTAGAAACCATTGTCTCGCAAAAATTTTGAGTTTCATTTAACTCTGAACTGCTATATAACTCTACACTGTCTTTGGCCATCGTTGATAAAGATAAATGATCATTATAAATACTCAACTTATTAGAATCAGAACTACAACACTTAATATTCGTTACAGCAAGATGAACAGTAGTATTACAAAATGACTGAGTATATCCAATATCACCACATTTAGAGCACTTACAATTACGAAATTTACATGAATTAAAAGAGTGGAACTTGTCACAGGACAAAAATTGACCAAACTTGTGCCCATCTTCATGAACTGCATCGCAACTCCTCAATGAATTATCTGCATAACTTTGAGTATGAACTGGGTTGGGGTGACGTAATGTAGTGGAATTTTTTGTATCCCCATGAATCATTTTACGAAATCTTCCTCCTTTACTACATTCGAAATTTGTATTCTTAACATAGTCTAGCAGTAGATCCTTGAGAGCTGTATAAGGAGGCGAAATGGACTTTTCCGGTAAAGCCAGAGTTTTTAATAAGCTATATGCTTATTTTCCGATGAACGTGAGGAAATGTGCTACAATATTAACATCCTTATAATCTTCCTTAGTCATAGCCGAGATTTCGAACCTTTCAAAGTAATCCTCAAAAGCATCAAAATCTGAATGTACATCCAACACTTCCATCACAGGCTCAATCGCGACGCCAATGTGATGATTAAAAGTATTTGAATTATAGTATAAACTAAGAATCACAGAAATAACGCAATTAGATCAAGAAGTACTAGATAAGCACGAACGGATGTATTGTATTTGGAGTTCGAAATCAAGCATTCAAGAAGTACAAATGAATCATTAGTTCATTCAAACACCACAATAACACATCTAGTCAATGGTTAAATTAATTAATAATTATGTATCAGATAATATAGGTAAGGTTGAGGTTGTCACTTATAATGAAAACCAAGTATACAATTTGAAGGATCTACAAAAGGATATTGAAGAACAATCTAGTAAAATCTCACTATCCTATATAATATACCCCCCTTTTACCTACAAAATTACTACAACACTTAGTAAATATGTTCAAAAGTGAATACAATAAGAATATTTTCACATTTTTACTGTTAAATTATCACCCTCCCCCCCAAATAATCATAGCAATAAGAGATAAAAACCAAAAAAAGAAGTAAACAATAACAGGTTTATGGTCAACAATAACTAATCAATACAGAGGTCTACAGGATAAGCTATAAGCCATATATATATGTGGAGAAATTCAAACATTTTACATCTACCTGAAGTTTGAACTAATGATGTCGTTTATAAGAACGTTGAAAGCTCCACAAATCAAAACATTCAACTCAGAGAACACAAAAAATCCATCAATATCACCAAAAGCATTAAAAACTACCTGGTCTTTTAAATGAATAGACATTAAAATATGATAATCGGAGAAGGGTTTTGTGGATATTATAACAATTTAATAATTGAATTCATAAGTCAATTAAAGTTAGACCACCATAAAAAGCCTGGAAGTACTGGAAGGCCGTTGGATACTGGCTGGCTCAGTGGTCTAGAGGTTAAGCATTAGTGCGAAACCGATAGTTACAGGTACATCCAGCTGACGGGTCCTAAATAGGACGAAACGCGCTTCCTGGATTCCACTGCTGGCCACTATCCATCATTACTTCCAAAACGTTTGTGAATTAAGGCAATATCGAGGCATACGCACAGTATGCACATATACCAATAACAGATTGATCAATTGCAGTCTTAAACCTCAACGGGAAGATACAAGCCAAACAATACCAAGTGAACGATAGATCCTGGGTTTGGATCTCACGAGTCAAGATTGTGAATGTACACTAATGAGGAGACCTATACTGGGATGAAACAGTCGTCCAATGCTTCCAGGTTCTCCATGGTGGTCTAGTTTCAATTGACTCATAAATTCAACTATTAACATAAAATATTAATTTGTCTAACAAAAGAAATACTTCATATCCACAAGCTCATTTATAGATTTATACATAAATATATTACTGAATTCATGTGATTTTGGCATAGACAATAGACTATAATTGAATGTCTGCCAATCATTTAATAATAAATATATAAAAAGTAATTTATTTATAAATTACACAATTTGATCATAAAAATTGCACTAAATTATAGATTATATGTATTTTACTACTTGTGACAGTCATTTAAGTAGTAGTAATAATAGTGATAATTAATAGGCCTAAACCATACTTCCACTGTCAATCCATATATATATATATATATATATATATACACTGTGTTTACAAACTTATTTGTACAAACATATCTATACTTCACCATTTCAAATGAAAACCGGATGTACCACTTGAACATTCAATTATTCAGTTGGAATCATAATGAACCTTGAGAGATAAATATATTTAATATCTATATACCTATACACATATGTATACAAATAAATGTGTGTGCTCATATAGAATTGTAAACTTTTCAAATAGGGTGAATTCATTAAGCATCTATCATCTTTGTGGTAAGTGTATACACATAACTATTCGCATACCATTGCATATACGTATATAATATCCAAGAAACACGAGGAACTATTTATCGCTCCTTTAAAGTTTCCCGATCACAAAATGACTGGTCATAATCATTATCATCATTACAAATGCTTTTATTCATTGTTCATTATTCTGTATTGCTTTTTATGTATTAAATTCATTCAAACAATTGATAGAACAGAATTAAATGAATTAAATATATATGATCCAATGAAATGTCGTTCTGGAAATTATCGTGGCAAAGTGAATATAGCATTTGATGGAACAGAATGTTTAGATTGGATAGATCATAAATCATTTTATAAACCATATTGGTCTGATGATGAAGCTAGAAAACATAAAAATTATTGTCGTAATCCAGGAAATGATTCTTCTGGTCCATGGTGTGTTGTTGGTTTAGGAAGATTTAAATATTGTGATGTACCAAGATGTGGTTAGTGATTTGTTGTACTTTTATTTTTCTTTTAAAATAAATAAAAAAATATCTAGATCCCTATGTTTATGCTAATAAGTTTCCTTAGTATTATGAATATATGGAACCATATTTCTGTATATATAATGATGTAGACAATAAGGAGAAGCTTTTGTTAACCCGTTTTCGAAATGGTATTGGAATTCAACAGTTCAAATGTTCATGTTTAACATGGAATTTCTTTATTTTAGGGGAGGGGGTGACATAGGATTTCATCAACTAGATAGCTATTAAACTTGACATTCATCTCGATGTATTTTTTCCCTGAGATAGTCGTTAATGAAATTGTTCAAATGACTATTGTAGTGAGACTATAATTTATGGAAGACATATGGGAGACACTAAAGTGACCTTGAGGGTGTCCACCTAATAACTAGGATCAAATGAGGATTATAAATTGAAATTATGATTTACAGTTGATAGTTAAGGGTTAAGAATTAGATTTACGGTTGTCATCACAAACTGACATAAGCTTGTAGTGTTAAGCCCATATACCTTATTCTGGTTTTCGGACAGGCCAGTCTACTCATTCTACTGGAATCATACTTCGACCTTATTAATTATCCGCTTTTCAATCTTCACTGTTTTTATATGAGCGTATAAATGTGTGTACACATCTTATACTATTCATCACATATCTGTAACTTATTTTTGTGTGACTATAAATATTGATTAACGCTTGACTAAATGGAATTGGCTTACCCGCCATCTCCACTGCGCGTCGTTCCATTTCGTCCTATTCCATTCGCTTTGTATAAAAAGCATTTGTATTCAAAGGTCCATTCTCGTTATTTGACTTATTTAATTCCGTTATACACTGAAGGCGGATTAAGTCGATAAAGACATACGAGGATAGACGACATATACAATTCAATAACAACCATTCATGCGATCTACTTGGTGTCAGATTCTGGACCACTAAAATGGAGAGCTCTTTCGACAACATCGTCCAATCTAAATGACGATTAAATAACGGGACCTACAAAAAGCTATAATGCCAAAACTCTATTTAGCCAAATGAATGAGTGAATTTCGCGCCAAAATCCGAGATCTGATATCTTATACGTGATTGGTTCGTCTATAAATTATAGTCTCTCCATATAATCCATTTTTACAACTGGTCACGACCCAAAGATCTCACATCAATTGTTGAACCATTAAAATTACTTGGTTATTTGTTCAAAGACATATATTTTTGCTTCAATTAATTTAAGATTTATAGTAAGATGATCATCTAATGGAATTTGTAACAACTGTATCTACTGTTGAAGATCTTCATACTTGAACGAATCAACTATCGAATGCTTTCTGCCTTTTAATGAGATCCTAAATAAAATCAATCCATGACTATGTATTTCTATACTAGACAAACATGAGCTGCAGATAAATAAAGTAGGAAATCTCAAAATCTGAATAGAAGGTTTTTGAGTAATCAGTGAAATTTTGAAGATCTTCAAGAACTATGTATACATAATATTGACTAATTCGTACTTTGATCATTTACTAAATTTATGAAATAAAATACAATTATCCTTCATATTTGTAACTAAGTTTGAACTCAACAATTCACAAACATTCTAGGAATTTCATAGTTGAATTCATGAGTCAATTGAAGCTCGGCCGTCATGGAAAACCTGGAAGTACTAGATGGCCGTTTCATCTTAGTATGGGACTCCTCAGCAATGTACATCCATGATTTTACAACTTATGATTCGAACCCAGGACCTATCGGTTTCGCGCGCAAACGCTCAACCTCTAGACCACTGAGCCGGCCAGCATCCAACTGTACTAATGTTTAACTCCAACCAGGAAATCGAAACATCTACCTAGAAACATATTACTGATGTTGAAAGAAATTTGCTTAATTTAGAATGTTAACCTTTATGAACCGATATCACATGTAGTGTCAATTTATTTATAAATGATGTTAAATTTCATTTTTCTCCGTATTTGAATCTATGACTGAATTGAAATTAATTTTATTTCGACATTCGCCGGAAATCAGGAAGCGGTGGACAGTTGTAGCTTCCCAGTATGGGACAAATTAACAGTGGAAAGTTACTATTTCTTCAAGGATTTGACCCAGCACCTTCTAGTCGAATAACTAGAGCTTAATACTGGCCTAATATCTACATTTTAGACATTATCAATAAAAGTCAGTTAATCATCAGAAGAATATTGTAAATGACACTGAGTACCGGTCGATGATGAACTGGTATACTCAGTTGAATCCTTAAAGCAACTATAAAAAGTCAATATTGATAATGTGGGTAGGACTATGAATGAGGTTTTAAAAGGTTTTCATTTAAAGTCGTCAAAAAATGACAGTTTTCCTAACTTAACAACTGGAAATTGACGATCTGTCATATAGGACTGCCCTCAATCAATGCCAGTAGAAAAGTCATTGACCAAAGTAGATTAATAAACTCATAAAAATCTTAGAAGTTTGATACATTTAAGTAAGTCATACATTGGAAAACATTCTCTATGTATGAATCAATAATGTACAGACTGATAGGGTAAGGAATGAAAATCATGCAATTTCAAAAAAGTACTTTTTGATTGAGATCATGAATTGATTAATGTTAGACCATCGTTGAAAACCTGGAAGCAGTGGACGGCTGTTTCGTCCAAGTATGGGATAGGTACCCACCAAAGACAATGGAAGATGGTCGCACAAATTCGTGGGTTGATTGAAGTTAAACATTAACACGACTGAATGCCGACCCAGTGGTCTAGAGGTCGAGTGCCGGCGCAAGACCGAAGGTCCTAGTTTCGAATTATTTGTGGGGGGTCGTGAATTCGCACTGCTGAGGAGTCCCACAGTAGGACAAAACGGCCGTCCGGTGCTTACAGGTTCGTCCTATCTACTCTCAACGTCTATTCTGAATCTCTTCTTCAATTGCAAATATGATAGATCTGGTTCTCTGTAGAGTGGTCTGGTGAGACTCATGTAGCTTTGTGTATGCGTTTGTGTGGGAATATTGTACCGCCTATAACCATTTTGTTGAATGGACATAAATTTGCAAATCTCTCGTTATTTTCGTTTCTTTCTTCCAGTTCATTTCGTCCCATGATATCTTCATATCCGGTGTTTTCCATTCCGACTTTGGCGTTTAGTTTTTCCAGCACAATAGTTATGGTCGACTGCAGCCACTCGTAAAACTGATCTTTATCGTCTTTATTGCTATCATTGGTTGATGCACAACACTGTATAATATTCATTGTGTTTCCCTCCTTTTTCGTTTCGAAGGATACCTTGATGATCCTGCATCTGTGAGATTCCCATCGCATAAGTGCATTATATACTTCTTTAGACAGATTTAGAGCAACTTCTTGAATGTGTGAAGCATTTTCTTCTTCGTTACCAGAGTACAGCAGCATCTCTCCAGAATCTGTCCTTTTCTGTTCAGCTTGGATGCAAAGGATTTCACTTATTCCAAGCACCGTCAAGTTGCATCTCCTCACTTTCATAACTATTTGACTGGTCCTCCCGGTCACCCACATTGTCCGAACGTCCCATGTACCAACTAACATTATCCACAACTTGTACAGATCATGTTCGACATATATTGCTTAACTTCGAACAATTATATCTATTTCTAAGTGTTACTTTAAGGTTATAGTATAGTGTTAATTAGTATTACCTATAAATTCATGGATTCCGGAATAGGTTTAAACGTTTAGGGCAAAATATTATGAGTTACTCAAGCCAATCTATTATAGAAAACCTGGAAGCACTGGACGGCCGTTTCGTCCTAGTATGGGACTCCTCAGAAATGCGCATCCACAATCCCGCACTGCTGAGGAGTCCCATACTAGGACGAAACGGCCGTTCAATGCTTCCAGGTTTTCCATGATGGACTAGCTTCAACTGACTCATGATTTCAATCAAAAACTTAACAATCTCCACAACACCGAAACTGCCAATCAATTATAGTCTAAGTTTATAAATTATGCCTGGTAGTTATTTTTATTATCATCTAACGGAATGAATTTAAATAACCATTGAAAGTCTTGAAGCACTGAACATCTATTTCGTTCTAGGGATGCTTTCAGCTTTCCAATGGTTGTCTTACTTAAATCAGTTTATGATCCCTGAAAATATCGTATTGGTTACTAAGTAGGTATCAATTAAAAGAGTAATTCTACGTGATCTATTATTTCCTTAATTAAAATTGTTATCAAAAATAGGCTTTATTACGCATTAAGTTTAAAATATCTTCTAAGTCAAAGCTAAAAAAGCTCCTTAACATCTCCTTCATTTTTGATTGTTCAACTCATAAATAGCATTGTCACATTTGATGAGTTATATCTGATTATCCATAACAGTCTATTTGTTAATCCCTAGTCTATAGGGCTTATATTCAAGTTACGTCAGTTTCATGAATATCACGAGGGACATTCTGAAGTGTTGAAGGTGATGTTTAAAGAATAAAAGTGTTGGCTCATTGAGAAATGAAAGACAATCAAACCATGTTCTTTATTGTTAATTATATATTTACTCTTCAAATGAAAAAATAACAGGTTACATTTGAAGCCAAATAAAAATGTGTGTTTTGTTGTGCTGACAAACAAGCTTACTATTCTTGAACCTAAAGAAGATACTTGGTAAGAAGAATAAGAATGAAAAGATAGTTTTATTGGTCATTCGGATCCTTAAGTAACTCTATATCCGTTCATATATATATATTTCCCAGTCAATAATGCATTTCCTTCCTTAGAAAAGTGTGCCACATTTTGGCCAGTCACATGGACCTACCATCTGGCTGATTTTCGGTTGATCCATAGTTTTAAAATGTAAACGTAACATTACTGGTCAGTTTAGAATTAAAAAAACTTAACTGATTTTCAGCCATGAAGTTCGTCATTAGTCTATGATATACAATATAGCCATTGGCATCTATCTGCATCGGCCCAAGTTGCCACACTTTACAATAGTGCATTAGGGCTCAGTCACTTACTAAAGTCTGGGACTCCTCATGGTGCATAAACCATCGGCAAGGGATCTCCAGCCAACTCTGATCTAAGCTCTCCTTTCCAATTGTTTCCAGTTGAAATTCATTCTTTCAATGTCTACCACCAATTACCAATAAAATGCGGTATGTGGTCCAACTCTCTTCCTTTTGCCTTCAGGATTCCAAGTTAGTGCTTGTCTCGTGATGTAATTTGACGATTTCCTCAACATGCGTCCTATTCACTCTCAACGTCTATTCCGAATCTCTTCTACAATTGGAAACTGGTTTGTTCTCTGTCACAGTAGTTTGTTGTTGATGGTATCCGGTTAACACACACTGAGTATCTTATGTAGATAATTGTTTATAAATACCTGTATTTTTTTTGTATTAACTATAGAAGTCCTCCAAGTTTCAGATCCTTACAACAGAAACATTTTGACGTTAGTGTTAAGAACTCTGATTTTGATCTTGAATTTTAGTTCTGTATTAGGCTTTTATGAGGCTGCTGGTCTATACGTTGAACGAATCTTTAACCAGTAGTCTATTACATTCAATATAACTCCTTCCTTCTTTTTTTGACGGATGCTTTGATGACCCTAGGACCAAGATTTTCCTATCCTGTAGTGGCTTTCAGTATTCGTTTTAACAGCATCAGGGAAATGTCTTTTATGTTTGAGGGATTTCCTTCTTTGCGACCGAAAAACAACATAATCCCTACCAAAGCTAGTCCTTTCTGTCCAGCTCGCGTTCAACGGGTTTCACTTATTTCAAGCGCAACCAGGCTGTATTCTGTCATTACCAGCAACATTTGAATGACTTTTCTGATCTTTCACATTGTCCAGACATTCCATGTATCTAATTGTTGCTTTGATTGTCACAACGGGCATCAGCCTCATGATTTTTGAATAATCTCACCTCTTATTATGGGGCTTCATGGCTTTTCTAAGTAAAGATCATTCAACTCCCGAGGCAATGTTTAAATTGTTAGGAAGATTTCTCCGCTTAGTGTTTTTAGCAGACCTTTTTAAGAGATGGGGTAGGTAACTTCATGACCAACCCTCCTCCTTGATCTCGGTTTGGGACCTGCAGTAACCATCGAGGGTTTCCGGGGGCAAATAATAGGAATTATATGACAGTAATAATAATCCACATTTTAGAAACGAACTATACAATAAAAGGCTTTACAATAAGGCGATTAATTTTACCGTCATTCTAAAGTTTTTAATAGTTTATTATGATCATCTAATAGGTACCAATCAGTAGGTCTAAACATTTACATACAGCTCAGACTAACAGTCAATGAAATAATCTCAATCCGGTCACCATAAACCTTTTTTGTTGGATAAAAGTACTTTTACGTATTCATTTTTGGTATATTTATCAATCCAAATTTATTCTGAGGAAAGTGGGATAACCCCCCCCCTATCAATAGATTATACTGGGATGAATTAGGATTAATTGAAGCCATACTTTATGTCTATTCTTCCTGGTGATATGTCCGACCGTTCAACCACGAAATTATGAATACCAGGCCATCATACAGTAATAACTTCTCGTCTTATTTTGATTGAAGAATTAAATCAATTACCCAATTAATTGATCAATTGTTAGATATATCTACAAGAATCAAACAAGATTTATACCATCAAATAAGTAGATTTCATGAATCAAATCACTGAGTCGATTTAGTTAGACAACCATTAAAAAGCAGGAACCAGTCAATTGTCTATTTCCTCCTTTCATGAGAATCATCTACATTATCCTCTCAAGATCTTATCAAGGATCGAACTTAGGACCTTCAGGGCTTACAGCAGGAATGATATTTGTATCACACTTGAATTATTGAGTTGTTTCTTTCAACAAAATATATAGACTAACTATTATACTCTTATAAGTTAATGTTGATGAGAAATATCAGTTTATTGAGTTTGTTCCCTTATTCAATTTTAGCTGAACATATTGGTTGTTATGAAGGGAATGGAGCAGATTATAATGGAGATCAAGATCAAACATCTGATGGACAAGTAAGTTGAAAATGATATTTCATATGACATTTGTTTTTGGGGTTACTAAAGGATAATAACATTGGATATTTGACATTTTATATTATTCGAGTTAGGTTTTTATTGCCAATAAGTATCAACCAGTGATCTGGATTTAAAACATTAGTTACGAGCGCTGAAGGTTTTAGGTCAGATCTATGGTGGAGTTGTCCATGTTCAATAGTTAGAAGTTATATGCTAGAATAAAAAATCCGGTACTCTATGGCTCCTGGTTTTCAGTGGATATCTAATTAAATAAAGTCTGTATTTAGTGCAAAACTTAGAATGCTATGCGTCCAAATAATGAAATACTAAAGGTTATATTAAACAGATAACAGAGAACTAATAAAATCCAGAAATATACGAATATCTGTAACAATTTAACAACATTCTATGAATGACTTTGAATTAGATTCTGAACAATCTTGGAATTTTCGCTATCCTATAGGATTGAGACGTACTTACAATCGATTGATCACTGAGTAATGACCGATTTCACGACTCATTGGTAATTCGATTGACTGTAAAGTTGGGTTATACGAGATCAAATCCAACAGAGAGAATCAGTTCTCTCAAGATCACAGGTATACTTTGCTGACAAGTGCCATATAGTATGAAACCTAAATTCAGGGTTTCCAGTCATCTGACTTCAACCATCACCTTACATCTCAACATAGTGCATACGATATCGAGTCAATTAAACTAGTAATCACATTGGAACGAGAAAGGACTTGACATACATGACAATGGTCACTACCCACTAATCAATAATTTCTAAACAATCAAGTTTGATTTAATAAATATATCTCTGAGACATTAATTTCAATTAACAGCTTGTTTTATTATTCAGCTTCATTAACCCAACTTAGATGGGTCAAATTTAAACAACAAAATAATAATTGTAAGATGTCTACTCGAATTAGCTTAATTCAACTCCATAAAACACTGAATTCTTTACATTTATGTTTAACAAACAGCATTTTAATATCCAGTTAGGAGTTCATCTCGTTCATTGCAAAACGAGATTCGTACGTATCGACTCACTCAGTTGATTTGAATAATATTAGAAATAATACACACACACACAATCAATCTTGTTATCATTTAGCGAAACGCAAACTTTGAATATCTTCACATGTTCACAATCATGATCACTCCAACAATCTAGCTCTGAACCATAAGCGTTCATGATAAAAGTTTATTCTTTAGACCAGGGAGTTAGCACCATTAGTTAATTTCATGATATAAACTATGAATCTTTAAAAATTCATTTGAAATTAAATAGGCATTGAGAGATTTCTTATTTGTTAATGACACTATATATGTATACTATACGATCATTTCATTTGGAAATCTATAGCTTCAATAATAATCATCTTGATATACTGTAACCTTAGATCAATTCAAACTACAGTTTACCCATATCAATAATTTTCATCTGAATCTAACCGATTATCTGTGTGAAATTTTGTTGCTGGGTAATATTATTTTTAAATATTTTGGCGATTTCACTGATTGAAATCATGAGTCAATTGAAGCTAGACCATTATGGAAAACCTGGAAGCACTGGACGGCCATTTCGTCTTAGTATGGAACTTCTCAGCAGTGCTCATCCTGCCTGGCGCGAGACTGATTGGTCCTGGGTTCGAATCTCCCAGGGTGCGGGATTGTGGATGCGCACTGCTGAGGAGCTCCATACTAGGACGAAATGGCCGTCCAGTGCTTCCAGGTTTTCCATGATGGTCTAGCTTCAATTGACTCATGATTTCAATCAGTGAAATTTCTAAAATCTCCACAAAACCCCTTCTGAAAATATTTTGACATTGTGTTTCAAGTACAATGTCATACATTAAATTATATTTTATTGACGATCTAACTAAGGTTAATCAGTGATGTAAACTGTAAAAATTTAAATAGTCTCTCTAAAACTTCTATACACCAATAATAATCTTGTACTCAATAGTGACTAACTTCTAGAATCAATTCCAAGAGTTTTAGTAAGAAAAACAACTTTGACTAGTAAGATACAAACACTTCAGGTGATGAGAAATAAGCACATAACTTCGCTAATTAATTAAATTCAAATATGTAGATCGTTGGATGCTAGCTCAGTGGTCAAGAAGTTAGTCAGTGATCGAGATACTGAATATCCTAGGTTCAATCGTTGTCAAGATGATAGATGAACACTACCGAAAAATCTCATATTAGTAATAATATAGCAACTCAATGTTTTCTGATTTTAAATAGTAATCCAATTAATATCAATCCATGGTGTAAGCTAGTCATTAATCATTCCAACACATAAATAGATTACTATAAACTATTAACAGGAAATCATCGAATAATGTTTCATATATTTGTAGCGTGGAGTCGAGTTGCGATTGACTATGGACACCACTACAAGAAGACTACGTGCCAGTTAACCGACAAAATCCCCTGTAAGCCAAATATCATAGGGCAGTTGATGGCTGTAGTCGAGATGTATTTGTTGGCGATCTCGTGGTATCGAAAGGATACCAAGATCGTGCCAAAGGAGTACAAGCGTGTTTACCGAGCGTAACCTAACCCGTGCAAGATCACAATCGAAAGATAATGGAGCAGTAATATGGCTGTCTTTAGTACAGTTAAACAAAAGAGCACAGTAAAACAATCACTGGTACAATTGGTTATAATAATGGTTGTTTCCATTAAATCAATCGCGTTCTCTTGGTAAAAGTAGGTCACTACATATTCATATGATGGTTAAGTTCGATATTTACTATATTACAGTTCCAAAACTTTTTCGCTTACATAAATTATGCTTGTACACAGAGTGTACTTTGTAAAAGAAAAATTGGTGAGACTAAAATTTATGAACAAAACAATTACGTGTAAGTTATCAGGTCTCAGATTTCGGCGTGAAATTCACTCATTCATTTGGTTAAATAGAGTTTTGGCATTATAGCTGATGTCAGTTCATGATGAAAACCGTAAATCTAATTGTTAATCCTAACCATCAACTATAAATCATGATTCTAATTCCTCACATTGGTTTATAACCTTCATTTGATCCTAGTTATTAGGTGGACACTCCCAAGGTCTGTCTAGCATCGCTTAAAGGTCATGCATAAATTATAGTCTTACCGAAAAACCTAACTTAATCCAAGATATTATATCACTGACAAGACTTGAATTTATTTTCTAAACATATCCAACTTTATATATATTGTATACTGTTTACATTTTAGCCTTGTGCAAAATGGAGAATTAGTAATTCACGTAAAGAAATTGGACCAATTTATCGATATCGTCTACAGTATAATGAGACAACTAGTAAATTACTAAGCACCTCCGATTATGAACTTGACAATTTTCGTTCATGTCGAAATCCAGGCGGTGTAAAATCCCAACCATGGTGTTATCCAATTAAAGTTCGTGGTGTTTCTTCTGGTATACAACATTGTGATATACCAAAATGTTGTAAGTTACTTCTTCTTTTTTTCTCTTTTCTAAACATTAATTTTTATTGACTGACTCCATGAATTAAACTTCACTCCATTAAACAAAAGAGTTTGGTCATATTCATCATGTTTTGATAATAGATGATCGGAGGTAGTTTAAAGGTAATTACAAATCTAGGTGATGTGCTAGCTGGTACTCACAAACAAAACCTATCTGAATTCTTAAGTGAATTGGTACTTCTTGTATGGTATTCGAACCGTCAACCGACAGAATTCAATCAATACCAAAAAACAAGACAAATATAAGAATGGGTTTTGTGGAGAGTTTTAGAAATTTCACAGGTTGAAATCATGAGTCAGTTGAAGCTAGACTTCAAGAAAAACTCCTGGAGTTCTAGTGAGAAGCCGTTACCAGTGGAGTTCAACCGGTCTGTTGTGAGATAACAACTCACTGAGGACAATGGTGTGCGGTGGCGCAACTTCGTGGATTGGTTGAAGTTAGACATTAGCACCGTTGGATGCCAGCTCAGTGGTCTAGTGGTTAAGTGCTCGCGCGCGAAGCCAGTAGGTCCTGGGCTCGAGCACCGCGTGGTGTGGGATCGTGGATGCGCACTGCTGAGGAGTCCCATACCAGGACGAAACGGCCGTCCAGTGCTTCCAGGTTTTCAATGGTGGTCTAGCTTCAACTGACTCATGATTTCAACAAATATAAGATTGATTGATTACCACTCAGTTATCAAGTAATATAAACTTCCCACTCTTAAAGAAGTTCATATTAGGTCCAAAAATCCTACCAGTAAGGATTAAGTTTAAGAAGCTAGGTAATTCTGTTTCAAACCCATTAGAAAGCATCAGCTCTCCCAAGAATACAAGTATGTCTTTCCGAAAATTTCCAAATAACACGAGATATAAGTCAAGTTTTCTGATGACTTTCTCGAGTCACAACGTAACAATATTAATGCAAATTGGTCAATCAATAATAATCATTGTTATTATGTTGAATTTATATATTACAACACCTCAGACTACTGATTACACCATAAAATGATAAAAGTTTTGTGATGTGTGCTACTTACATTGACATAAGTAGTATATGACGCGAGTTAAACACGTAATGTATGACATCAGAAGATGGGAGAAGATCAAGAAATGAAGAGAAGGAACACATTGCAATTTGTAAGAAAACGCATGAACAATGAAATGTGAGACAATGTTTACAACAGGAACAGTCCAGGTTGATATGATGGATTGATATTTTGCAAATTAACGATTTGCTATATGGTTTTTCTATTTTACCAAGTAACTCTGTAATTTTGTGCTATGCATAATTCGGTTGTCCTCACCTATGTTCTCCTTCGCTTCAGTCTCGCTATTAATCTTTTTTTCCAATAGAATTCAGGTGTCTCCCTAATAAACCTTAAGTGAACAAGGAGTTTAAAGATCTAGTTTCCTGTTAATGGTTTCTCATCTAATTAAAACTAATTCATATAGTAACTAACAATTTGTTTAGGAAATTAAAATTTAGGATTGTTAAACGAAATACAATAAACGGTATAGGGGTTGTGGAGATTACTAAGTTTTTGATTAAGATCATGAACCGATTGATGATAGACCACCGTTGGAAACCTGGAATCACTGGACGGCCGTTTCGTCCTGTTGTGGGACTCCTCAGCCACGCGCATCCACGATCCTGTTCGCGGAATTCGAACCTAGGGCCTTCGTTCTCGAGCGAGAATGCTTAACCTACTGGACCACTGAGCCGGCATCCAGTGGTGTTAATGTCTAACATCAACCAATTCACGGAATTGCATGGCCATCTTCTATTGTACTGAGGTAGATACATGTCTCTAGCCGACACGGATTAACTCCACTGGTCACGGCCTCTCACTAGAACTCCGAGAATTCCCTCACGAACCAAGTCACTAGTGAGCAACAGTGGTCTAACATCAATCAAAATACAATAAAATTGTTAATGTTGATATGACTCGGATAGAATGTTAACTTGAATCTGCGTATATGTTAAGTGAAATTTAAGATCCATTATCAGAATTAAATATGGGTTAGATAGTGCAATTACAATTAGGTCAAATGTTTACTGGAAGGCTATATTGTGTGAAAAATTAGTAAGACGTAATAAGGAGGGATAAATGAGAAGTGAATGAATCATGTATAGGGGAGATTAATAATGTTATTTAACCAATAGTAATAATAATAATAATAATAGGAAGACAAAGATTTGTGAATAAAGATAACAGAGACAATTACGATTGACTACGAAAGGTCGTAGTCAAATTATGTCATTCAATAACTAAGATTACTATTGATTAATTGGCCTTGATATTGGCCAAAGGAGGAAGAGTGGTTGAAGATATTTCTTTGGTACTCATAGCTCCGGTTTCTTCATCCTGATGGCTACTGCTTGAGCCGTTTGAAGGACTTTAAGTCTGCCAAAATTTTTGGTAAAAAATTACTGACCTTATAAACGATTGAAAATGGTTGGTTTATACTGGCACAATGACCAGTTTGTAATAAATGGGCCAGTATCGAGCTGTTCACTTTTTTCATCAAACCTTTGTTTAGCTACTCTGGGAGGTGTTCACGAGCACGAAAATGTAAGTTCCAAGAACTTCGACTAATATAACTCGCTCCACAGGATCAGTCGAACTGATAAATACAAAATGAGGCGGTCATTCTAGATAATTAATCTTTTAGCCTCGATGTCACCATTGGGCGCGTAGAAAACACTAGTCGCAGTTCTCCGGCGTTTTTTGTATTGTCCTCCATGATCTCTGAGTTAATATTTCACTAGTCGTTCAAATACTAGTCTTTTAATATGATGGGGATCTTTAAACGATTAAAATGACAATTGTTCGTGGATTTGTTGAGGTTAGACATTAAGACCATTGGATGCCGGCTCAGTGGTCCAGTGGGTTAAGCGTCTACGCTCGAGACTGGAGGCCCTGGGTTCGAACTCCGCGAGCGGGATCGTGGATACACACTGCTAAGGAACCCCACAGTAGGACTAAACGGCCGTCCAGTGATTCCAGGTTTTCAATGGTGGTCCAACATCAACCAAATATTTTTTTCTTTCTAACTGACTTAGTTGAATTTATCTTTGTTCTTACTTAACCCTTCATTCATTATCTGAGATGGATAACTGTCTCCACCTGACGTAGATTAGACTCCACCAAATTTCATCATAATATTTTACATATAATAAAAATATTTAGCCATAAACAATTAACACCATACTTGGTATTGTTTACTTATATATTCCCATTGTTGTTTAGAACTATAATTGATCAGTCTCTTATTGATATATGTACATTCTATCCGTATTGCCTTGATATTGCCTTAATTCACAAGCTTTATAAATAAAGATGGATGGTGGCTGGCAGTGGAATCTAGGACGCGCGTTTCGTCCAATTTGGGACTTGTCAGCCAGATGTGCTTGCATCCTAGAGTCGATGTTCATCCCGAGACTCGGACCTAATACCGTCCACTTCAAAAGCCATCGTTTCATTCACTTAGCTACTAAGCGCTGATGACCATCTGCTTATGCAATGAGGTGAAGTTTTAAATTCACTTGATATTATTTGATTTTATTCTTTCATTGTTGTTTAGAACTACAATTGGTCAGTCTCTTATTGGCATATGTATATCCTATGCTTATTACCTCGATAATGCCTTAATTCACAAACTTTATAAATAAAAGTAGATAATGGCTAGCACTGAAATCCAGGACCCATGTTTCGTCCTACATGGGACTCGTCAGCCGTATATTGAGCTGACAAGTTCTGATCTTGGATTCCACCGCTGACCATCATTCAACTTTATAATATAATATACTTTAAATGAGATGAAAATTGGCCAAATCTTTAACAAATCAATTCAATATTTTATTCAATCATTTGAACTACTTATTAGTTGATTGAAATTAGTAAAACAGATTTATCCTTAAATGAAACTATTCAAGTCAATTAACATATATTAGCCTATTTATATAGAGTTAGTTATTCATATTGAAATAGAATGAAGTAAATAATTGAAGGTTTTCACTTAAAATCCTTTTTATAATCGTTTATATTATAAATACATTACTATAGGCCTTCATATTACTATTATTATTATTATCATTATTGTTATTAAGTAAACATTAAGTAGGTTGTTGATTAATTAAGCTTTGTCCAATGTAAACAATACAAGTGAAATTTCATTGATCAATATAGAAATACTATGTCATTATTCTAGTGTAATGAATGAAGGCTATAATAGGGTAATTCAATAGATTAGATTAGGTAAAATCATCATATATTACATATATATGTGAAATATAAAAAGAATATACCATTGAATATACCATTTGTATATCCTCTATGAATTGGCTCTTATTAAACTATATCATTCTGAAATTGTTGTTGTTGTTATTATTACTTATAGTTATGTTCATATTCTGTTAGTTAGAAGTCTACATTCAATTCTTGATATATACTACTTGTATTAGTTCATTATAAGTAGTATACAATTAACTAGTTGAAAATGAATAACTCTATCGACAGTAAATTCATGAAATCATTCAGTTGTTTGTTAAATTCTGTTAGACTTAAAGTTTTTCAAATAGAAGAAATAGTAGCCATTTTTTGGATTATATAATTGGAACTATGTGTACAAAAGTAATACCATCAATTGCTTCTCTTATCTTGACTAATAATGTGGGGTCCCTTATTTTGTCGTCATTTAGATCAGACGATGTTTGATGACGGGCTCTCCACTTTAATGGCCTAGGATCTGACTCTAAGTAGATCGCATGAATGATTGTTACTGATTTGTATATGTCGCCTATCCTCGTATGTCTTTATAGACTTAATCCGCCTTCAGTGTATAACGGAATTAAATAAGTCAAATAGCGAGAATGGACCTTTGAGCACACATATAATTTGTATACGAAGCGAATGGAATAGGACGAAATGGAACGACGCGCAGTGGAGATGGTGGGTAAGCCAATTCCATTTAGTCGAGCGTTAATCAATATTTGTAGTCACACAAACATAAGTTACAGATATGTGATGAATAGGATAAGATGTGTACATACATTTATACGCTCATATAAAAACAGTGAAGATTGAAAAGCGGATAATTAACAAGGTGAAAATATGACTCCAGTAGAATGAGTAGACTGGCTTGTCCGAAAACCAGAGTAAGGTATATGAGCTTAACATAATACACGACACTACAATAGTAATCTTAATTACTGAATGAGTTAATTTGACTAATGTACTTACAGGCTTTTGAAGACAACTATAATTGTCTTTGCTGTTTTTATTTAAATGTCTCTGTATTATTTTTGTCATTATTATTATTGATTGAATATTGTTATTAATCTCTCGAATACGTGATTAACCTAATTACCATTCACTCCACTTTATTACTTCTTGCTGATTTCACATAACTTCACACAAAATAAACAGAGATGGATGGTTATTATTAGTGGAATCCAGGATTCATGTTGCGCTCTATTTAGAACTCGTCAAATTGATGTACCTGAATCCGAGTCGATATCCACTCCGGAACTCGAACTCAGTACCGTTCTCTTCAAACGCCATTGCGCTATCCACGCGCGTCCTAGATTCCACTACTAACCACCATCCATTTCTGCTTATAATGCTTATGACTTCGAGGAAAATCGAGGCAATCCGAACACGATACGCACATGCTAATAAGAGATTGATCAATTGTAGTCCTAAACATCAATTATAACATCCAAACAACCAATACAAAAATGAATTTATACAAAATAGTCTTCCAGTGGATATTGGATCAAACTTGTAATCGCATTGTCATTTCTCTCATTACATCTGATCTATATTTATTCTAAACATGGATCCCACAAATTTCACTTAACGTATAAGCTGATTCAAGTTAACATTTCATATTACTCATTTCAACATGAACGATTTCATTTTATTACAAGCAATCTCTAATTCCCATGCTATGGTTTTTGAATGAAATACTATGCCTTAAACCTGGTCGACGATAAACATTCCTTTACTTACTAAACGATTATACACCCTTATTGTAAAATTTCCTTGGCAACATTTTGTTCACATCTCAATTCAAACTATCACCGAATTGTATCTATATTTTCCTCCTAGTTCAAAATTTACGTTGTTTTTTCCAAACTACTAACAAGTAGTTGCACACTACTGTTAAGAATGTTATGGACATTGCATAATATACAATGATTTTTATTTTTGTATTTTTACAATATAGCTGATCCAGGGACGCTTGGTTATCCATTATTTATTAATGGTAGTCAATGTATGCCAAATTTTGTTCTTCAAAAACAATTTGTCAAATTGGAATCATCTACTGTTGTTGTCGTTGACTATTGTGTAGCTCCGCATGGTTTTATTTATCAAAGGCATAATAATGCTAAATATAATAAATTCAAACAATTCTGTTTATTTCTTGTTGGTAAAACAATGTATTGTCCAGCAGGTAAGAGAATCACATATACACATATGTTTATTTGAAACTAACTTGATAAAATCGACTCATGTTACGAATAAAATTCATAAGACTAGTATTAGCTTAGAGCTGTTGATCAATTACTTTGATAACCGTTATTACATAAAACCTAACGGTGTTTAAAATCAGAAGGGAATAAGTAGGGGCCACTACAGTTAATCGGCGGATAGCAGAGATCACAAAGCTACAAGCACCTCGAGTAAGTTTGAAGCAGAGAGATGAATGTGTGTTCGAGAGCAGATACAGTGTCAAATTTATAGTCAAATTTAATAAGGCGTAGCTTGGCAAAGCAGAGGTGAATAATAGGACTCGAGTACGTATGTACATAGAAAAGATAATGATTTATCGAGCGATTTCTAAGCTATCAACATTGTCTGTTGAATAATTTAGTAAAAGGGGATTAAGCAAAATTGACCATAATCGAAATTGATTGTAGGAGAGTTGCTATAGTCTTATGCTGATACGTTTAATGCGATTAATATAAATTATTAACGATAAATATGAGACCCCTCAACAGTGCACGTCTACAACCCCGCACAAGAGACTCGAACCCAGAACCTTACGCTTACGCTTAACCTCTAGGTCAATGATCCAGCATCCAACGCTGTTGATATCTAAATTCAATTGATCCATGATCTTGCCCAACCCTTCATCCATTATTTGAGGCGAATAACTGTCTTCACCTGACACGAGTTGAACTGTATTGGTCACGGCAACTCATTAGAACTCCAAGTGCTCACTAGTGGCTAGCTTCAAGAAGGACTATTTTTCACGGAAAACGAATGAAACACAAGTTTTTATGACAATAAAAATTATAAATCACCTCCAAAAAATCAAAGGCAACTCCTTTATTACACTTCAAGTGACTATTTTTAATCTTGATTGACATAACCATATAGATAAACTGATAATTAGTATCCTCGTTATCAGGTAAGTTAACATAGACTTTTGAATTCCAGCCATTGATGAGATCGTATTTAGTTCTATGAATCAATTCCTGGTAACTCACAATTACTTTGTTGCTATAAGGTAAGTGTGCTCATAAAAGTTAATTCATATAAGAGAGTATTCTGAGAAATAGTAATCTTTGAAATCTTCGACATAAATGATTTCAAATTACTTCTGGAATATGCGAGATATAAACTTCTATTAAAATTAACTCATAAACATTTGATTTAATAAATGTACCATATGCATTTTATATAGTAATCATGTGAACTGTTCTATTAAATGTAATATCGGCGAGACTAGCCAATCAAATTTACAATAACAGGTCTTGAATTTTGGCGCGAAATTTAGTTAAATAGCATTTTGGCATTTTAGCTGATGTCAGCTCGTCATGAAAACTTTAAATCTAACTCCTAACCCTAACCATTCATAGTAAATCATAATCCTAATTTCTCACACTGATTTAAAACCTTCATTTAGACCTAGTATGTAGGTGAACATGCTCAAGGTTACTATAGCGTCATAAATTATAGTCTCACCTCAATAACATTTCGTGCCAGGCATATATATATATATATAACTACTGGGAAGAGTTGGAAAGGATTGCCCAGGTTACAGTTGGATGGAGAATGCTGGTGAGCGGCTTATGCTCCATTGAGAGTAACAAGCGTAAGTAAGTAAGTAAGTAATATATAAGTCAAATACCTTCTGAGATCCATGGTTCAAAATAAAAAATGTTTCATTTTGATAACAAATTGTATGGTTATAACACTCATGCTCAGTAGTGTACTTTCAATCGTGTTGTGACATCAGTTATTATGATACAACTAATTGTTAGATACACACGATTTACAAAACCATACATTTACTTTTCTGTTAGGATTATTTAAGGAAAATTCGACTTTTACAAATTATCATCTTAATTAATTTCCCGTGAACGGGATTGTGGATGTGCACTACTGAGGAGACCCATATATCAGGACGAAATGGCCGTTTAGTGCTTCCAGGTTTTCTATGATGGTTTAGCTTCGATTGATTGATGAATTCAATCAATAAATTACTATAGTCTCCACAACCCTCCCCCTTTCTGATAATTCATATGTAATTTATACATCATAGTTTGTTATTATATGTAATAAAATTATTGAATACATTAACAGGTTTTATGCGTACTAGACGATTTCAACCAAGTTTAGAATTTATTGGTCATCTCTCTGGTCCAACAGCATGGAGACCAACATTTGATAATATCTTACAAATAATTACTTGTTGTGTAAAACCTGAATTTTGGACTAATTCTACACGAACTCCATATATATCTATTGAAAAAGTTTCACAATATAAAGGAGACTATGGCGCTAGTACCAGTAACAATAATAATAATAATAATGGTAAAGAAGCACAAGAGTTACGTAATACAGACACGACTATATCACCTTTTACAACTGAAGATGAAGATTGGTTTTATTTAAAACCACGGCGTAGAATAACAGTTGGTGATTTCTTTCCATTACGTCGTCGTAAATGGATAACAAGATGGAAACGTTCTATTTTTGAAAATGATACAGATGATAATGTAGCATCAGAAATAACAAATTCTGATTCTTTATCATCATCATCTTCTTCTTCTTCTTCTTCCTTAACATCGTCATCTATAACATCATTGTACAATCCAGAAACTTCATATACTCCACAATCTACAGTACTGGATCCACCGTTATTTGTTTCTATTTATCAATGTCCACCAGTTAAAGGAACAAGTCGACTTGTTGCACCATTGTTTCGTAATGTTCTTCCTGATGAAACACTTAGTGATGTATTACAAAATTTATTTCCTGAAATAAGTTGTGAATATCGTGAAGCTAAATCTGAATTTATACCAAACGCTGAAACTCGAAGTGAGTATTATTACCATTATTTCTATTATCACATTAATTTTATTTCTCGTCGGATTCAACATAACTTTTTTTCACATTGAACTGATTGAATGACTGTTATATCTAGAAGGTTGTTCTTGATATACCGCGTATAACGTGAGCACCAGAACGCAAGAACCCTTCCTAGTCGCAGTGAGAAGACAGAAGACTAATGAAAGGAATATTATTCCCAGTCAGTGTCAATTATATTACAAAATTGTCAGGTATTTGTAGTTTTTAGTAAGAACGAAATCATCATTACAGTCCTCCAACCCGCATACAGGGGGTTATTAGCATTGTCTAATCGGGAAGCTACACACAGAGATTCTAGAATATTCTTCCAAAAGGTGATTGGATGGAATATCTTCGGCTCCTTCTGATCCTCCATATCCATCAACCCGGTTAAAGCGCCGGACGTTCGCTTTCCGTCCTCTCAATTTAGTAAACAACACCCCCGCCTCGAGAAGGCAGAGAGTAGGACTTATCTGTCACTGGTTGTATGCACGTGGCCATGTGAGAGCACTTCGAGAGGGAGAGCTGACTCCCTCCACTATCGGAAGAATATTGTCTAGCTTCAATAAACACTCTTGATTATGCAGTGAACTATATCAAGTACTTTAACAAACACCTTAGAAGCAGGTTTGTTTGATAATTTAGCTTAAGTATCATCAGTTCCTTAACATGTTTGTTTATTGATTTAAAGCGTTTCAAGAACCAGATATTGCCAAGGTTTACTTCTTTAATAATAATATGAAAGCTATCTATCATTGGACTTTAAATTTCTCTCAAAAACACATAAGGCGTTATCTTAGTCCTTATTGGTTAACTTAAGGCCGTCAGTATATTATAGTTTTACGTAATTTCTATTATTGTATCCTGTATGACTCTCATAAGTGAATACTACTATTGAACAGCATCTTAGCTTCAATGCTTTTCCAGTTATCATCATTTCATGATGAAAATTAATCTAGAATGATTAAAATTGTTAATACTTTAGTTACCTAGTACAAATTATGATTTCGACTAGATGTAGAACAGAAATAGTAATGAAGTAGGAGCTGGATAGCATTATAAATCATTATAGCTGAGCAATAGACTAACCACTAGGATTATTGGATCATATCACTTGATCACATGATATGCTCGATCGAATTTGTCGACGAATAATCAAGAAATAATATCACAATCAGTGCATATCAATAAACAGTACAATAAGCTTAACAAACGATGTGAAATCGGTTTTACAAATAAATATATCAGAAGGGTTTTTGTGAATGTTATAGTAACTTTAATGTTTGAGATCATGAGTCAAATGAAGCTAGACCACCATGGAAAACCTGGAAGCACTCGATGGCCGTCTCATAAAGTGCTTCCAGGTTTTCCATGGTGATCAAGCTTCAATTGACTCATGATCTCAACCACTGAGAAAATAGATATTCAGTATAACTGTATATATTTATCATTGTTAGCTAACAAATTATATCTTATTATTTATTATATTTTTAGTTAGTCAATTAGCTCTACTTATTAATGAACCAACATGTCCAGTTGGTTTTGTTAAAACACAAATCTCTCGACGAGTTGTATTTATTCTTGGTACAAGTATTAGTTTATGTTGGTCAGTTTCAAATCGTTACAAATTAGACACAACAACAACAACAAATAGAAATCAATTACCGATTGGAAATTATTGTTTAGTAACAGAACATTCATTGGATAATGTAAAATCGAATTATTTACAAGAAACTGATAAAGATAAACGTTACAACTATAAATGTCCACAAGGTAATATCACAAATATTAACATTAAATGTCTTTATCTTTCAGAAAAAATGCACAATTAACCATAAACTGTTTATAAGCTAAGATGGATAGTGGAATCCAGGACGCGTATTTCGTTCTATTTGGCACTCGTCAGCTGGATGTACCTGCATCTCAGAGTTGATGTTCACTCTAGGACTCGAACTCAGTACCGTTCACTTCAAATGCCATCGCGTTATTCACTTAGCCACTAGGGTTTTGATAGCCACCTGCTTGTGTAAAGGGGTGAAGTTGTATTCACTATAAATCTTTGCTTATAAAGCTTGTGACTTCAGGTAATACTGAGGCAGTTTGCACAGGATGCATATATGCCAACAAGAGACTGATCAATTGCAGTCCTAAATAACAATCGGAAGATAAAAGTAAACAAGTGAACATAAACTGCTTAGTTTTGATATTTTACAAGACCGACACGAACTTTGTCTACCAGTACGATGTTTATTTGTAAAACGATCTGTATTTATCCCTCTAATGTTATTTGTGACTTAAACTAACCAATCCTTGTTGACGTACATACATTTAGAGAGTATGCCTATATCATGTTTGTGAATGAAAATTGTGGTACTTGTTTAAACTTTCCACAGCAATGGATTCACGTTTTTAGGGTTTGAGTTTTAGTACGAACATCAAATTTGAGATTCAGGTGTATTTTAGCTGATAAATCTTATATAAGAATAAACGTGCATCTTCAATACCAGTGCTAGCTGTAGTTTACAAAAAAATCAAAACTCAAGTCTGTAAGTGATATTAAAGCAGTTATTTAATATTTATGCATATCAACAGAGACTGATCAAATTTCAGTCTTGAATTTCAACAATACAAAACCTGCTCGCGACGCCAATATAGTATTCTAATTATAGTATGAATTAGGAATTCCAGGATTAACGCAATTGAATTAAGAAGACACAGGCACAACGAATGTACTGTATTTAGAATTCGAAATCGAGCATTCAACAAGTACAAAAGAATCATTAGTTAATTCAAACACCACATCCGCCACAGCTTAAATAGAAGTATAAGTGTTTCTAATCGGTTGTACGTCTTCTTGTTAAGTTCATCCTGAGTCTGTCCGACATTGTATAAGATAAAAACTTTGTAGTATCTAGAAAGTGCTCATTAGTATTGGAATTAACAAACGAAATCGGAACAGACTCACCTGGAGTTGAATACAACCAGCATGTCGGTTTTGTAATGAAATCATTAATATCTAGAATTCGAACCATAGATTTTTCAACACTATCCCCCCCCACGAAATAGTGTTGGATCTTTATACTCCCAAGTTATGAATAATGTGGCTTCATTTAAAACATATATCTCACATTGTTTAGAGTAAACATTAGAACTGTTTTTGTGATAAGAGTAAACAGCAGTTGATATGAAATCATCCGAAATATAATAAAACTCGAGGTCACTTAGTACTCGTGCTTCGCATTGGGCAGGTTTTTCACGAAGATCAAATACATTATGAGGATAGGTAATATATGATATGACATCAGGATTTGATTCTTCTGAAATATTCTCATGAAATTCATCAGGACTGTCATTGCAGAGCGTAGGATCGTTAGAAAAATCAGCATCTATCCAAACCACATCAGGTTTTCGATCATGATTAGGTTCATTTAACATATTTTCCTCAGAATTGCAAGTAATTTCATTAGAAATATGTGAATCATTAGGAAAAGTCATACTTGGTACAATAGCATGAGAATTCTGATAAATCGGTTGATTAGGAAATGTTGTCTCACAAGAATTCTGGATTTCATTTAACTCTGAACTGCCATATGACTCTGCACTGTCTTTTGAAATCGTTGATAAAGATAAATGATCATCATGAATACTCGACTCAGTAGAATCAGAATTACAAGACTTAATATTAATTGCAGTAAGATGAACATTAGCATTACAAACTGACTGAACTTGTCCAATATCACGACATTTGAAGCATTTAGAATTATGAAATTTACATGAATTAGAAGAGTGGAACTTGCAACAGGACAAACACTGACCAAACTTGTCCCCATCCTCGTGAACTGCATCCAAATTCAATGAATTGTCTGCATAACCTTGAGTATGCACTAGGTTGAGATGACGTAGTAATGTAGTGGACTTTTTTATATCCTCATGAATCATTTTACGAAATCTTCCTCCTTTACGACATTTGAAATTTGTATACTGAGGATAGTCTAGCAGTAGATCCTTGAGAGCTGTATAAGAAAGCGAAATGGGTTTTTCCGGCATAGCCAGAGTTCTTAATAAGCTGTATGCTTCTTTTCCAATGAATGTGAGGAAGTGTGCTACAATATTAACATCCTCATCATCTTCCTTGGTCATAGCCCAGATTTCGAACCTTTCAAAGTAATCTTCAAAAGCTTCTGAAGTTGAATGAATATCTAACTTTTCCATTGCAGGCTCCATCGCGACGCCAATATAGTATTCTAATTATAGTATGAATTAGGAATTCCATGATTAACGCAATTGAATTAAGAAGACACAGGCACAACGAATGTACTGTATTTAGAATTCGAAATCGAGCATTCAACAAGTACAAAAGAATCATTAGTTAATTCAAACACCACAATAACCTAGAAGCACTAGACGGCCGTTTCGTTCTAGTATGGGACTCCTCAGCAGTGTTCATACACGATGGCACTCACAGGATTAGAACCCAAGACATTCGGTCTCGCACGCGAACGCTCAACCTCTAATTTGCACTATAACTGGATGAGTGATCATTGATACAAACGAAAATAAAAAAAATAATAATGGGCTTTATGTAACTTGCAGGTAGTTAATGAAAGTCAAATGTTGATAATAATCATTAAATAATTGCTTCTTCATCATTATAATGAAAAGATACTTTGGCGAAACAAATTTAACATTTGAGGGGAGGGGTTTATTGTGTTAGAAACGCCTGATTTGTTTAAGTGTTTCTTAAAATAAAAGTTTAAGTTGGCTGAATGATGTTTAAGAATAAACAAGAATACGATTATTTGAATAGTAGAAGTGTGCATGAAATTCTCTTAAGCCGACAGAATCAGAAACTATCAGGTTTATTTTGTGTATTTTAACACATAAACATTGGTACAAAGGGGTATCAAATATATATGCGCCACACAATTACAATGAGGCCAGTAATACGTATAATCGATTTGTGTGTTGGCTCTGGTACTGTCTGGGTGCCTAAACTAAAGCAGACGGTTTTCTTAGGGGGCCACATCCCGAGCCTTTAACCTAAAGGTCTACTCCATAGGCAGTGAAGCAACGTAAGGACATCCAGTTCCATGGTAGCCGGTAACCAACAATAGGTTCATACGTCATTTGTTCCCTCAGGATCCTGAATCCCATGTGCACCATTGGTTTGGAATGAGGGTTTTCTAACTCCCCTAGGTGGGCTCTCCATGTTCACCGACCTGGTTAAAGCGCCGGACATTCGCTTTTCGTCCTCTTAATTTCGTAAACAACAGTAATGCCGCGAGAAGGCAATAAGTAGGACTACCCAAACAGTAGCTGTATACGCGTGGTTATGTGAGAGAATTTCGTGACATGGAGTGAACTCTCTTCACATTCGACTGTACCAGGGAATTTTGGAGGTCGCTTTAATTCTGTTTTATATGTTATCATAGTCTAAATTCTCTTTAGTTAATATACCCATTTCATTATTATTTACTTTCGTTAGGTTTACGACAAAATGAAATCAATTTTGTACAAGTTGGTTATCGTTTAAAATTGTGTTGTTCTGTAAATTCACTAGCAAATTTTACTGATTATGAAGATGATACTAAATTAGATAAAATTAATTATCAAGCCCCATTAGGAATTACATCACCATTTGCTATAATACAAAATGGTCCAACATGTCCAACATTTTATTCAGGCAATGTTAAATTAACAGTAGTACAAGTAAGTGAAATGAAGTGAATTATTAATCTATTATTAGAAAATGGGTTTTGTGTAGATTGCAGTAATTTAATAGTTGAATTTATGAGTTTATTCGAACAAGACCACCATGGAAAACTTAGAAGCATCGAGTGGCCATGTCACCCTTATACGAGACTGCTCAGCAGTGCACATTCACGGTCCCACAAGCTGAACAGTGAACCCAGGACGTTCGATCTCGCACACGAACGTTTAACCTCTGAACGGCTGAGCCGTCCGGTATCCAATTGTGGTAATGTCTAACTTCAACCAATCCATAAAATTGAGTCACCGTTCAATATTTTCTTCTGTGAGTCACTGCCTCACAACAGACACGGTTGAACTCCACTGGTCTATGACGAAAAGGATAAAGATTCTGTGTAATTACTTGGAAATGACATTTGTGAGTTGATTCGACCTTTTTTTGAATAGATCTACAAAAGTACTCACTTTCATTTACTGAGGACTATAAAGATCATTAAAATTTTGAATGTCTTCACAGTGGTCAATGCAAAACTGTTAGTATTTTCACATGCTTTTACCGGGAATCATTCAATAAAACACTTTACGATTTGAAAAAGGTCTCAGGTTTGCTTGATTTCCTTTGATTACTGAATAAAATACTTTTACAATTTATTCCAAATTATAGTATAATCGTCCAATTCCTCGTCCATATGGTGATCAAATTGAATTAATTGGACCAGATAATCCAGTTAAGTTAGATGGAATACCAAACATAATCATCTGTCAATATTTAAATCAAGAAAGTAAGTTATCCCGAAATCATCGTTTCGTTAAGTTATCGATTTTAGCTTTATTGAATTTCATTGCTTTGTATCAAAAACTGAGTCAAGTTAGACAACCGTTCAAAACTAGTAAAATTTTACACCTTAGCATGGAATGAATCAACAAATATTATTTTAAGTCCCACTTAGAATTGAACTCAGGACCTCTAGAACCCGTGTCCTGAGTTTTAGAACTTGGACTTACTTACTTTCCTTTGGCCTACAGGACTCCATGTGAGGACTTGCCTTGTGACGCAGTTGGGTGCTTTCCTCCGCCTGGAGCCCCTCTGGGGCTACTGCCGGTTCCAAGCCGGTATGGAGGGGGAGGGTTGGGCATGGGACTAGCGACCACATCCCGTAGAAAACTAACTCGCTAAAAAAACGCTAACCAGAAAAAAATATCGAAATTGGAAGCAGTAAACAAATGTTTTTTTCGTTGTATGAGCCTGATTATTAGTACTTAACCATGAGTTAAAGTATTGAAAATAATCACTAGTGGGAGTGTACTGGTTTTGTGAATGGATGTTCGAAAAATGTTTTGCTCTCTGATGCCTGTGTCTCAATAGTTTTGATCCATCAAGATGGGATAACTTACTATTGGTTAATAAATGGAAACAGAAATGACCAGCCTCATCAAACATGAGGTTATCTTATATTATGAAATATGTTTCACTTTAATCCAAACAACAACCTAAGCTAATATCGTCCTACTCTGATCATATCCCGTTCTTGATCGATGGTTGGATAATTGAGTTGTTGTGAACATTAGGTGATGAAGTATCGTGATTCAGTATCCAATGCTAGTAATCTGAATTATTCAACTCGTATTCCGTTATAACAAGTCCTACATCTGATATAAATAAGACATTTTCTCCAGATTTATCGAGTTATTCTCATCCAGCTTGTTGTTGCATGTTAGCGAAGCGGACAACCAAGTAGAAGTTAGTGTGATTTAACGTCAGTAACTGAGATTTGAAAGGTGACTTAAATGAGATTGTATATTTTAACATAATCATTCGTTGTTTAGTGACAAAAAAAATTATGTTTAATAATTTGGATATTTCTTCATCCAAGTTCTATTTTAATATTATTAAAGGGTTGTGAAGATTGTTGAATTTCACCAAAATTATGAACCCATCTAAGTTAGAATATAGGCATATTAGTGACCAGCTTTGAGAGAGAATTTTTGGAGTTCCAGTAATAAGCCGTGGAGCTAATCTATGTTGGGGTGTAAAGTAGTTACTCACCAAAGACTGGAAAATGGTCGCGAAGTGTCATGGATTGATTGAAGTTAGACATCAACACCATTGGATCTCGACTCATTAGTTTAGAGATTATATGTTCACGAGCGGCAATAAAGGTCCTAGGTATGATTCCCATGTGAGGGGTTGTGTATGCGTGTTGCTGAGGAGTCCCATACTGCGACGAAGTGGTCGACCAGTGCTAAAATAAATAAAATTTCATTTACTGACACGAGACATTAGTTTGGATGTTTAACTTAAATTCATTTCACATCATTAACCGTGAATTTGCCTAAAAAACTATTGAAATCTAGGAAACACTGAATATATATTTCGTTCTAGTATGAAACTCTTTCAACTATATGTATGAAGAATCTCATTATGGATTGATCCTGGCTATAATTCATTTGAGAAAATGAAGGGAATTTAACTTTTTTTGTAAATAAATACATTCATTGACTGAGATTACATAACTGAGAACAAATTTCTACAAACTCTCATCCACCCTTTGGCCTTTAGATGGTATGTGAGCACAGGAACTTGATATGTTTAAGTTCACACTAACCTCCATGTACTACTTTGTTAGATTTCGAGAAATACTAAACACTACTCCACCAACTTAAGCGTATTTCTACATAGTACCTAACAGCTGATAATCAGTGTGTACAAATACGTTAATCACGAACGTGAGTTAAAAAAGCAACTGATTATCTCAAACATTTTGTCTTAGTCAATTTTCGTTGAATCTCTGACCACTCATCCCTTGTTTCTCTACCATACTAGAGTAGAAGAACATGTTCAAATCCATCTAGGTGATGAATGAAACGAAATCTACCTCTTCAACCTGTTTCACCCCTATTGAACAATAAAATTTTATCTACTGAATGTTTTTGTTAGTAGTAAATAACTCCTTGCTTAATTTTTTTTGTTTGATTATTATTAATTATATTAATATGTAGTTAAATTAGGGGTGAAATCACTTCGTTATGATTGTGATGGTTTGGGACATCGAGAAGTTATGAGCTATGGTGGGGCCACTTGTGGATTTGAAGCGAACTCTACGGTAGCTTTCCCACCTGGGAAATATTGTTTCTTACAATTATCCTCTACATGCCCTACAGGTAATCTTAGTTTTATTTGTTTATCTGATTTATTTAATTATGCTGTATCAAAATATTTAGTCATGAACTCGATTCGAGCAATATTTACCTCTTATTCAATAGGATAGTTTGGGATTTCTGCAGCAAACAACTATCTAACTTGGCGACTAAATTTTAGCATTGATTGGTAAATTTCACAGATGGAAAATGTTATGTCCATATGGCCTGTTGATTATCACGTGACTAGACCGCCATTCAGAACGCCGACTTATACGACCTCGGCATTGTGCCAAACCAATGACGTGTTAACCAGTACGAGCAGCCTATAGTCAACTCTAAGTTCTCATTGGTCCTCTGATATAATAGCTTCTAACCTAACCCAGTCGTTTCAGTCCAGAAAACTAATACCAGCTTCGGCTATATGAATGGTGTATTTCAGGCATACGCAGTTTATATACTAACAAATCAGACCGCATCATACTGCAAAACAGAAAATAACAATTATATAAGATCAGACCAAAAAGTGGCTGTGATTGTGAGACACTGTGACTAATAAATTGAGAATAAGTTCAGAATAGTAAACCGTATAATAGTTGTCAATAAGCTAAATGGAAGCTTACAATAAAAGGAATATGGATATACATATAACATAGTTACTTAATAGTTATATCATAAGAACATATATAATAAAAGTCCATAAACAGATCCTAGTAGTTACTATTCGCTTATTCTTCGTCCGGATATAAAAGAAAACACTGTTAATTATGACGGAAAAAGTAATGGTATTAGTATTAGTATTAGTAGTGGTGGTATCAGTATAAGTACTGGTATTAGTAGTGATAGTCATTGAGATTAAATCAGTTGGTTAACTGGTATATGTATATAGCTGGCTTTTCAATAGAATATACTTTAGAATGAAGCCTGGGGATTTTTAGGATGATTTAAGTGTTGTACAACGTTATTGAAACTTTTATCAAGTTGGAAGGTCATTCAAAATGTATTTTAAGGCTACCAACATTCAAACAATTAACTAATGTTGAATGCCTAGCGCTGTTCATGAAGTTTGAGAGTGTGTTTCTTGGTCTAACTGGTTAATAGTTATTTCATCCTGATGTAAATGGATAAAATAATATGAAAACGATGTTTGATTTGAATAAATGAACGACTACCATTGAGTTTTCGATCATTGTTGGACCTTATTGAACCGTCAAACTTCATACAAACAGTAATATTGAGTGATTATTATCTATTGACACCACACAATTAACATCTTTGAACTTCGTCACTAACGACTTCTTTCTCGAGTTAAACATTTTCTTGAGGCCAGAAGCTAGTGAATGCATAATTACTATTAGAGTGAAAGGCTTTTAAAAATTATTTTTACTTAACAACTATTCATCATTCATGCAGATGAAAACATTTTTTTAAAATCTAGGATTCATATCAAGAAGTGGTGTCGATCGATTCGGTTTCAGTTTACAAAGTCTTGGTAGTACATGTTGTCGTACTGAAGAATCAATTGGAGCAATTAAATTACCAATTAATTTAGAAGCCCCGTTTAAACTGCCTGCAGTTTATCAACCATGTCAAGCAATAGAGAATTTCAGTGTTGATGCTGAATTACATCAATGTGTTTATTACCCAAAAGGAAGTAAGTTTATATTTTTTTAATAAGGTGAACAGGGAAAGCTAGAGACCAAGCAATTCATTTACAAGTAACTATTTTACTTGGCACAGTGAACCAGCCATTTGGGTTTGGTGAAACCTCATTTAGTGGACCTTAGGGGATTTCATAGCAGAAAGTTAGTTTTTTAAGGCATGTTTTTCTTTTGGGTTGAGCCTCGTTTTTAAGATAGAGTAGACTGTCTTGGATCATTTTAGGTGAGGTTAGATAATGAGGTTACCACATTTATTCAGCGGCGACACGTGGATGCCTTAAATCGAATTTGGTTACACATTTTACATTCATTAAAGTGTCCTTTTTCGTCTCTGGTAAAACTTCGTGTTGTCAAGTCATCTAGGTGTATCGTAGTCAGCAAATACGGTTATGTTTTCGTTTATTGAATCACTCAATTGTAGATATTTTGGAATAATTTACCTGAGAGAAATAATTCGAAGTATGACTTTGACTATGTTGTAATTTTCGTCCATCATGACTGAGTGCGCTACACTTGACACGTTTATAGCATGATGGAGTGGTATTTTTGTCGTAGAAAACTTTGCATCAGAAACTACAGAGAACGATATATCACCTCAATAACGGATTACAATAGTGTAAATAACATTTCCCGCTTCATTTTGGTTGATTACAAGATGCAAGGTCAAAAGTGTGAATGAGAACGGAGTTTGTCCTCATCCATCTTTTTTATGTGGTTCGATGGTAAAAATAGTTTGTTTATTTATTTGCCTAACACCAATTGCACTAGTTGATAGAGTCTACTGAAGATTACTTTAATCTGTCACAGAATGATCTCATTTGGGATAGAATTGAAAACTAGAGATCATTGAAAACCTATTTCGTTCTAGTATGGGATTCTTGAGTGGTGCTTATCCACAACCCCACTAGCAATTAGATCCAAACCACATAGATCTCTGTTGAGGATGTTAGATCCCCAGAACTCACTTAGTAAATGTCTTAATTTTGTAATTTTATTTTGGAAATTTAAATTTCCTTGCCTTCGCGCCAAAAGCGCTCTTTTCACCTTCATGTCGTATTTCTCACTCGGGAAAATCTTTAATGCTAATGGTCCGTTGTGTATTTTTAGTATGCTATTTCGCAACGCTTTCCAAGGACAGTTTTATGCTGTATATATACGTTTGATTTGTGTTTGTTATTATTCACTCATGCTTCTGGCATACGGAATATACTTTCCCGTTCCAAGCTTGGACTTCTTCCTCTAGTTAGCGGGGCTGGGACGCATCAAATAGCTAGCTTATTGGTCTACGGTCACAAGTCTTTGTTTCGTTCGCATACTAAGTGAACTCGTAATAGCTTCAAACCTAGCAGTCTCGGACTGAAGTCTTTATTATCAGAAACTTGGTATCAATCGGTGATGAATGTAAACTACGATTTGAATAGCCAACTGGCAACAGATTCGAAAGAAGTGAAAGAGTTATGTAATATGGTTATTTAGAAATGCAGGTATTATCGACAACTTCAATTTAAAAAATCCACATTTGACAAAGTTTGAAATATGGTGATAAACTCTCAAACATAAGCATGGAGCCCTATCAGCTGATAGATTGGGTATGTTTAAACATATCACGTATTTGTGTTCATATATCGTCTTAAAACACGCTATTCGAAGATTTCCACTAGTCCCTTAAATAATGTTTCAACCTACATGTTCTTGTCTAAATCAAAAGGAAGAAAAGTTTATACACCAACAATCTGTATACTTATTTCTTTGCTTCTGTCAATTACAGCATCGTAGCCACTTCTACATCTCACTTACGTAATAGATAGTAACATTATACATACTGAGTTTCTTGGCAAAAAGTTTCAGTCAACGAACAACATCTACTTTTAACTGATTCATGTGCAATATTTTGTCCCAAAACAGAATGAACTGTGAGTATCGTTCACTTCAGATAATAAACAATGAAAGCTCCGGAATTATACCACTCCATTTCAGAGAATTCTATCTTGGCAGTAATTTTGTTTACTCCTTTCAGTTAATTTATGGATTAGGCAGATAAACGTATCACTAACTCTAATATTCATTTTCACATGACAGTTTATGCATAAAGCCCAGTAACACTGTCAGGCCAGGTCCTACATTGTATCTGACTGACTGATCTAGTCATCGAAATCAAATTGTTAGAGACTGAAATTAAGATCTTGTGAAATACAGCTGTTTATTTCAAATCATTTCGACTTGTCAGCTTTTTTCTTCATTTTTTATAATAATTATTAATCACATTTTGTCTTCTTGGTACTTTTTTTCTCTTAAATAGATAGATCACATATAATGCTGGTATGGCCACGTGTTGTTTCCAGTTTAAATGACACTGTAAACGGGAGTGATAATAATAAAACTTCTGTGCCAAAATACTGTTCAAAATTACCTGGAAAAAGTAGGTTCAATCGTCATAACAGTAATTCTTTTCACTGAAATCACGTACCGACCAAAGTTAAACAACCGCTGAAAACTTGGAAGTATTTGACGGCTATTTCATCCTAGTATGGGACCCATGACCCTTCAATTGTGAGTCGAACCTATGACCTGTAGTCCCGCTCGCTAACACTTAACTTCTAAACCATTAAGCCGGGATCCAATAGTGCATAGATCTAACGTTTTTGATCGGCTGATTTAAAACACGTTAACCTTAAGCTGATTGTTATACTAAGTTATGATAAATGATATGCCAGACAAGTCCAGGCATTCCACCTACCGCTACTCACATATCACATTAAGGTCAAACAATATGTAGGTGATGATAAACAAGGTACGCTATTCGAGAAAGTCGACTCACCAATGTATGTATATTTGTGTTTTTGTGTGCTAATTGATTAAGTTTACCACTGAAGGTTTCCTAATCATTTCTCAACATTCCTGCTTTCGTTTGTGTTTAATCAAACGTATAAGAAGCGTGAATTTAAACCGGACTATCGAATAACATAACAATAAACTAAATTCAATTCAAGTATAATCTTAATATCTTCACTTATGATGAAATCAATTTTAGAATTGTTAAAATCATTCTTTAATGTATTACTGTACTGTACTTTTTATGATCAAATTAAAGGGGTCGGATTTAGAAGAAGCCAATTGGGTCGTTTATCTGCATTATTCTTTAATATAAGTGAGTTAATTCAAATATGATCAAGTGTAACAAAGAGATTGAATTGAATAATTTGAATGAATAACAAAAGCTATTGTAGTGAACGAGAACATTAGTGGAGACAATCAAATGTATTTGAATATAAAATTACAGAATGCCCTAGTCAAATTTGAGAACCATACAGTGAATACTTCATTTACAAAATGTCAATCAATCATCTCAGACTTCATTATTCTTTCGTATTTACACCAATCACTCTCTGTTCTTGTTCTCTTCTCTTTGATTTTCTCAACTTTCTGCCAAAACGGCATTCCACTTTCGACTGGTGATACATACTACTTAGATCTATCAACATCAGTAGCACACAACATAGAAGTGGTAGTAGTAGTAGTAGTAGTAGTAGTAGTAGTAGTAGTAGTAGTAGTAGTAGTAGTAGTAGTAGTAGTAGTAGTAGTAGTAGTAGTAGTAGTAGTAGTAGTAGTAGTAGTAGTAGTAGTGGTAGTAGTAGTAGTATGTGCCATAATAATGTGTTTTTTTATATGAGGTATCAGAATTTTAAAAGGTGATGAAGCGTCCATTGAGCTATATAAATGTTTATGGCAAAATCACTATTCTTGATTCTACCGTAATTTTGTTAAACGTTACTGTTCATTTGTTATTTAAAATTTCGCTAAGCTAAAACATGTCCAAAGAGGGAATGGGATGATTAATGATATTTCTTGATGACTGGTTAATAGAAAGCCTTGTATTTAAGTAACTTGTTAGTTGGAACTCATCATTCAAAAGTATCTACAACTTAGGGATGACTAATGCTCTGTTTTTTTGGTGAAGTTATATTGTGGCTAGCATTGAAATCTAAGAGTCACGGTTCATCATGTTTAGGACTCCGCAGCTATATCTACTGGATCACTGTGTTTATGGTTATGGTGAAACTCAAATCTGGAACTCCAAACAGCAACATATTAGCCACTGATCTACTGAATTCAGATAGCTGCCAACGTTTTCAATGGGTAGGAAAACGTTTTTAACTGAAGGTACTCTCTAGGTATTGCACTAAAGATCTAGATATATCAACAGACTGATCACATTCATTCCACAAGATCATCAGTAGAAAAACTCAAATCATGATATATACATATGGCATTTCTTACAGATTATTTCAACTTCCACTAACCGAGTGTTCTAACCATAAACATTACTACTAATCTCGTTTTATAATTTGTAATTTATGCTTAATTTCAGTGCAAGATCAATGGTTAACATATAAACGACCACGTTGGACAACACGTACAAGTGATTCAAGTGATATATGCTTCAATGAATTGAATTTGGAAAATATTCCCACATTAATTCATCCATCAACTGGATATTGTATATCAGTATTTGGTAATTGTCCATACAAATGTAAGAAAGCTTTGTATTAAATTAATAATAACATTTTTCTATAATGTATTTATCATAGATAAACTTTGTTTAGAGTGTTGCTGAAAGTTAAATAGCAATGGATATTTGTTTCATTCTGGTATTGTGATGTGTACTACTGATGTCGTTAAATATAAGTAGTATGTATCATCAATCAAAAATAAAATGCCTAGAGGCAGAACATCAAATAAAAGAAAACGAGAACAAAAAATGATTGATATGGAAACGAAAGAACAAAAATCCCATCGACCAAGTTGTAATGTGATCACTAGTCTAGGTGACTCGACATTACGTGCACTATGTTGAGATGAGATGGTGGTTGGAGGTAATTGACAGGAAACCTTAAAACTAGGTTTCATGCTGCTTGTCACTCGTCGGCAAGATGTACCTGTTATCTTGAAGGAATTGACGCTCCCTGACGGATTCTACCCCGTATTATTCATTTTCACAGTCAGAGACGTTACCACCGGGCTATTCGAGTCACGACTGTCCTCCTGTAGGGCTGAGCCCTCACTAATTTATTAGGTGACATTTGTTTATGATTAAATTATGCACCGAAGTATAAATTTGTTTTCTAAGTTGATCAGTTTTTAGTCATAAATAGTTTAAAATTTTTTTTGAGAATTTACTGATTATTCATAGTTAACTTCGTAAATGAAAACTAGAAGATTTTGCATAAACTATTACCTAATGCAAAAGTATTCATGAAACAACAGAGACTAGAGATTACGTCAAGACTTTCTCAGTGTGAAGTAATGATAAAGTGGAAATTGTAGTGGACATTTTAATAAATGTTATCTTTCAAAACCTATCGGTCTCGCGCTGGAACGATAGGTCCTGGGTTCGAATCCCGCGGGCGGGATCGTGGATGGGCACTGCTGAGAAGTCTCATTCTGGGACGAAACTGCTCTCTTTTGCTTTCAGGTTTTTCATTGAGGTCTAGCTTTAACTGACTCGTGAATTCATTTATTAAATTAATAGAATCTCCACAATACCCCTTCTGATAATTAGTGAATTTGTTGAAGAAAATATGAAGATATAATACATATATAGTTAACTAGCAAGCGTACTTTGAGTAATAAATTCGAAGCACTGGATCCCTAGTTCTCCTTAGAAAAGGATATTTCATCAGTGTATGTCTAAAATCTCACCAGTGATAGAATCCATGAGTTTTTGATCTTGCTGTGATAGCTTAAACTTTAGATTACTTGGTAAATGTCCAGTGTTTCATACTGCTTAATTTAAATAATTTGCGATGTTGTACAACCATCATCCAATGCCATCTGTAGATATCTGCTCCATTCATTGATTAGCTCAGCATGAAATACGATACTAATAAAGATCATTACCCCAAGAATTTTTGAAGAAACCTCAGTATTCAGTTAATTAAATTAGATAAGTTTGATTGAGCACTGATCAAGAAACCTGAAAATTTTGGGCAACATCACCAATACGATTGCTCATGTGCACTTCTAAGTAGTCCGTTTCGGGACCGAAACAGTTGTTCAATGCTTCTTGATTTCAAATGGCTATTTAACTAAGGTCAGTTCATGACGTAAATTATACAAGCAATTACTTTGTTATTCAGAGAATTTTAATGTTACTTTGTTCTTGATTTTTCTGCTGTAGTCTTTAGAGAAGTCGGTGCTGCACCATATATGAATACGGTTATTTGTTGCCTTATTAAAGAATATATTTCAGAAGTCGATAAACTTAATCAGACATCATCATCATCAACAACAACAACAACGTCAATAAACACACCAACAGTTCGTTCATTTGTCACTTTGGGTTGGCCAACAAAGGATGACAAGAGGGAATTGAAAAATTTCACCGGCACCAAAGTATTAACTACGTATGAACAAACCAATTCACAAAAATATTTAAAAGACTTAAGTTACTGCCCTCAATTTCGTGATATACAATTGAAACGACGTATTGTTGAAAGTATGTATATACCAGAGAATGTCTCATTATCATCACGTCCTCAAAATAAGCAATTGTTTGGACAGTATAAAAATTTACTTACATTATTCAATGTCTCCAAATCGAACGGTTTACATTTTGATATTCAAACTGGTATATGGTCCGAAAATGATATTGTACATGTGATATATTGTGAATATGGTACAGGTAAAACACCCGGTACAGATGATCATCGAAGTAAGTTTGGAATTATTTTTTTATAATCGTTTATTCTACTTATAATGAATTTGAACAGTTTAAGAGAATGAGCTAAAATTATAAGCATGAAAATACCTTAAGTCCTGAAGGATAGTAAAATCATCAAGTTTAGAAATATGAAAATTTGATTAAGATTTTGAAATGAATAAAATGAATAAGATTTGGGGGCAATTTTTCATGCGATGATTTCATTTGGGATTTCAGTGAAAATGTGTTAATAATGGATAACTGTTTGATCTTAGTTTGGAACTGATCAGCAGTGAGCATCCACGATCTCGTCAAAGACTGTACACAAAATCCTTAAATCTCGTGGAGGACGTTTAGCCATTAGACCCCTTGATTAAAATTCACTGGTACATATTTCCGACTTTAATCGATTTAGGATATAGAGTTAAGATCATCCAATATGATTTTTAACGACTATTTCAATCAAAATTACAGGTACACCTTGCTGACGAGTGCCAAATAGCACGAAACCTAGGTCAGAGGTTTCCTGTTGACTAACTTTTTTTCAATCCAGATATGTACGAAGTCATTCAGTACTGATTTCCTTCTAAAATTTCGAGAACTCACTCAAAATAATGGAGAGCTTCGACAATAACCACTTCTTATTACACAGCCATTAGTGAATAGAGTTTTTGGTGAAAAAGAAAAAGTAGATTAGAATAGAACCACTTCTATAAACTTTGCATTCTATTCTGATATGATAATTTCGTAATTATTTCAGCATATGTTCTTTTCTTCGTATTACACAGATTGGCCTGTAGCAAACTATGCTATACCAAAATCATTAAATGATTGTCCAAAAGGTTCCGTAAAAGCAACAATGCGACATCAACAAGATAGATATGGATTTCACTATTCACAAGTTAGTGTTACTGATGTATTAGTTTGTTTTAAAATCATTATTTATTAACTGATTAGTTATTGACTTTAATAAGCTTACAGTTATCAATTCAATCTTGACAATCTTGTCAACCTAAAACTTACTTAGAAATGATTGAAAATAAAAATGTCGACCATATAATGCTGACATTGATCTGAAGGCTAAACACTCGTCACGAGTTCTAAAGATCCTGGATTCAATCTATTTTGAAGTCATGAATGTACACAGTTGACGAGTATCATATAAGGACAAAATAGCTCTCTAGTACTTTCAGTTGTTAGATAGTTTTCCAGCTAAAGTCAATTCGTTATGTGAAATCTCAAATTTAACAATCTCCATAAACCCTCTATGCTAACAATTGAATGATTCATGCTTAAGTATACGCAAACAACAGAGGATAGTATTATGTTTGAGAATAAGATATGTTTAGAGCAGCCTGAATAAATTGAATTGTTTCGATTACTAGCAATAAACACTGGATAACGATTTTCAGTTATCCAACCAACGATCAAGAATCGGATATGATTAGAATAAGAGCATATTAGCGCAAGTACGATGCAGGATGTTATTTGGATCAAAATGAGACACATTTCATAATATAAAACAACCTCATATTTGATTTAGCTGATCACATTTGTCTTCATTCACTGACTAATCACAATTCATTCTAGTTGGACATATCACAAATATAAGTCAAATTTTGAGATTCATCTTTTAAAAGGAAATAAACAGAAAAAGTACTTCGTTTGAAGCTCTGTGTAAAGAACTGACTATTAGGAGAGACACTGATAAATTCATTTTGTATTGTTTGTTAGAATCTTTTCATTGATGTTTAGGACCGCAATGGATTAGTGTCTTATTGACATATGTGCATCCTATTTGGATTGCCTCAATATTGCCTTGAGTCACACGCATTATTAGCAAACATGGATGGTGGCTAATAGTGGAATGCAGGACGCCCATTTTGTACAACTGGCGAGTCCCATAGAGGATGAAATGTTGATGATCAAATAAAGTTTATGATTAATTGATCACTTAGTAAGGACTATGGGCTTATTTGTCAAGGCATTCAGTATTGATCAAGCTATTTTACCGACCAAGTTACGATATTACCGATATTTGAAGTGATTTGGGGTTACCTGAACTAATTAAGATGTTAGGTGGTTTGAGGTAATCAGCATGAAATGCCTCATGCCGTGAAATTAAGTGATGAGGGTTTCAAAACCTATAAGGAATACCATTCTCCTCAAGATTGCAGGTAAACCTTGCTGATAGCTATCAACTAGTGTACACCTTAGATCAAGTATGATTTCCAGTTGACTGCCTACAACCACCTAACTAATATAATTAACATTTGAATTAATAAAAAGCTACAAAAACCTTAAAATACTTCTAATGTAAATGTAACATGTCCTTTCTACTGATCATTTCCTTTTATTTAAAATACCATTAAATAGCCGATTCATCTAGATGGAGTTTATTTTAAGCGTAAAAAAGATATACTGTTGGACTATTGTGTATTCACTGATGATCAAACTGCACATCGTACAGGAAACTATGGAGGTGAAGAATCTCTTCCAGCTGGTCATTACTGTGTACTACGCGTCAATGGTAACTGTCCAGTAGGTAAGTTGTTTAATGGTTAAATAATAGGTGGAATGCTGATGGATATATGCCACAGGTCATGATATGACTTAACTTTCTGAAGAGACAGATATACCCTGTTAATTAAGAATAGGGTTTGACTTTTTACGAAAAACAGATTTACATTAATGAATGATTTTGTTCATTTAACTTGGTTCAGCTTAGCCAATAAAAACTAACCCTTTACACTTAGTTTACTGACTAAAGTAGCCAGTTGGGATCTTATATAAGAAGCTCACATTGTCGATATTAAACTCTAACGACCACTCAACAATTCTCAGCAAAAGATCTCAATTAAATTCCTATACTATAAGTATTTGGCTTATGAATATTACAAAAACATTGACATGAAAAATATTTTAGACAGTGACTATCTGTCATTCATAGTCAATTGCGTATGTTTACAATCGAGCTAGCTCCCACGATATCTCTGTTCATCACTGAATATATCTAATGTATGGATTCTGTATTTATCAACCTTTCAGTGTGTTAGTTGACGAATTCCTCGGTAATTAGATTCGCGTTAAATACTCATGGTTGAGGGACATAAATGGTTAATTGAAATAAATCTTTAACAAAAAAGTCCATGGAAATAAATATGTGTTTTGAAAAATGGTGACCCAAAAATTTGAGCAAACTGCCGTCAAGTTTGCGCCTAAGCCTACTTCATATTCCAAGAACTTAATTCGCTTACGTTTGAAAATATGTTATTTTTACCATTGAAGATCAGGCATCAGAAAACAGCTATTTGATACTACTATGAAACTTCTTAGCAGTAAAAATTCATGACTCCTGGAGGTCTCGAACCTAGGAACCCGTTACCGGTAAAGTTTAACTGTGAATGAATGCAGACAGTTATCACTAATGATTGTGGGTAATCATCGCACGACATCCTGAAATAGTTGAATTTAGATTTATGGAACAAAGATATAGATGTGTGCTATCCAATTAATATACAAACGAAGGTCACAAAAATGTCGTTTTACAAAACTTAGGGTAACTGGATCGTCACTCTTGATCTCACTTTCTACTCATTGAATCTACTACCCTTAGACGTTTTTCATTCTTCAATTACAAAATGGTCATAATAGCGTAGTAGTGGGACGATTTGAAGACACTAAAACATAAAACGATAAGCAACCAATAAGCCTGATATGTGAAGACTTCTAGTGAGAATTTGAACAATGAAAATAGAGATGGAACGAAAGCATTTATAATAGTTTGGAACGGATAAAATCAAAGTACCTTAGATGTTGTAAAATAGCTATTTATAGCTCAGTGAGCGCATTTGTTAGACGGACTGGAATATATTTATTCATGTTCGAAACTCATGAATTGTTTTCATACATATTTTTTACACTATTTTCCAGATTTCAGTGAAGGATTGTTAAGTATACTTGAAGGACCGGAAAAGCTGACACGTTCCAAAGACACCTCAGATTCACAAATAAATCGAAACATAGATTTACTACAACAAACAACAACATCTACACCAGATATTATTCGTATAAGAGCACACATGAAAGAGAGTACATCAAAAATTGACCGACTCAATTATCATTTCTGTTGTCGAACTGATTCACCAAGTGTTGACAGTCCAATTGATGGTTTCCCCGCTGAAACTGGTCCTTTTTATTTGTACAGGTAATTTATATAAGCGTTTGTTTCTCTGCCAACGGTTAATGTGATGTATCACGTTTTTAAAGTTCAATACTTCTGTGATATAACTAAGTGATTCGATCAAGTTGTCATTATAAGGACGTTTTAAATTTGAAACAACTTGCATGAAAACTGTTATCATTATTGTTATTATTATTATATACTTAGGGTTGGAGATAAATGTCAACAAATTACTGGAATGCATGTTACTGAAGAATACATTTGTGTAGATGCACCTAATCGAGGTGATCCAAACTGGTGGTCAATTGATCAGAATCATACTTGGTCACCATATAATGTGAAAGGTTTAACACCAGCACGTGTACCATATCATGATTTTTGTGATGTTGAAATCAATTTATGTTATTATGAACAGGGTAAGTAATATTAACAACAATTTAATTTTTATCAGAAAGGGAGTTTTGTGGAGATTGTAGTAATTTTAAGTAGTTAAATTCATGATTTAATCAAAGGTAGACCACTGTGGAAAACGTGGTAGCACTGGATTGCCGTTTCACCGTAGTATGGATCTATTCAGCGATGCTTACCTACGACCCCACACGCGGGACTTAAACCCAGGACCTATCGGTCTTGCACACGAACACCTAACCTCTAAACCACTGAGCTGGCCGGTATCCAGCTGTGTTAATGTCTAACTTAAACCAATATGCGAAATTGCGCCACCGATCACCATTGTCTTCAGTGCGTCACTGCCTCACAATAGACACGAATAAACTTCACTGATCACTGCTTCTCATTAGAACTCCCGGAAATACCTCTTGAAGTTAGTCACTAATGAGCACATGATGAATATTATCAGAAAGGGTCATTAATCACTTTTTTTATGGTAATTTTAGTACATTGAATTTGTATGCTGAAACATTCACACATCACTATACTTTGTAAAAATATTCATTACCTGAAATTTTATAAAAATATTAGAATGCTAATTATGCAAAATCATTAAAAGGAAGTGTCCGAATATTAAATTGGTCATATGATTACCATCGAAATATACTCAGAGAAATCTTCGAAAAGTCAAAATTATAAATGGACAGCTCAGTTTATATATGTTAGTATATATGACCTTGAAGCACAACAGAAATAGAAATTCTTCCACCTGGTCTATTGTGAGATAGTCATACACTGAAGACAATAGTGGATGTGTCTCTCAATTCCGTGAATTAGTTGAAGTTAGACATTAACGCTATTGGATGCCGGTCAGCTCAGTGGTCTAGAGATCAAGTGTTCGCATGGGAGACCGATGGATCCTGGGTTCAAATCTCGTGAGGCGGGATCGTGGATGCGCACTACCGAGGAGTCCCACAATAGGACAAATAGGTCTTGAAAAGTAGTTACCCCAGGCTTCTTTATACTTCAGAACTATCAACGTTTTTCTTGACGGAAAAGAATTAAGTTATTTGAGACTTGTGGAGTAAAATATTAGTTATTCATAGATCTAAGAATTAGTAATTTTTTCACAGTCATTATACATTTACATTAATTTTATGTTTCAGCTGCTCCTGTCTCGGAAAATGAAGTGACAGAAAGTAAGTTATGAGATATTCTACTATCAGTTAACATACTGATAATTATTTGGTAATTCAAAATATGCTTACACTGATTATGTAATCCAACTTTAATTGATTGGATAACCCTAAGTTCATCACATAAATATCCCAAATCTATATGACTCAATAAAGTGATTAGAAAAAAAAGATCAGATATCTGTACAGTTTATATAAAAGACGATATTACATACAGTTATTATGTATAGATGATAGATAGCGGCTAGCAGTGGGACCCAGGACATGCGTTTCGTCCTATTTGGGACTCGTCAGCTGGGTGTACCTGCATCTCCGAGTTGATGTTCACTCTGGTACTCGAACCCAGTACCATTCGCTTCAAACGCCATCGCGTTATCCACTCAGCTACTGAGTCCTAATAGCCACCTGCTTGTGCACTGGGGTGAATTTAAATAAATTTGGTGTGGTTTGGCTTGTATCTTCCAATTGAGGTTAAGACCGCAACTGATCAGTCTGTTATTGATCAATTGCAGTCTTAACCTCAATGGGAAGATACAAGCCAAACAATACTTATTGAATTATGTATAAATGTTCAGTCAATATTCTCACCAAGATCATCAGGTTTGAAACCAATTATTATGGAATAGAAAAGTACTATTTTTTTAACCAATTAGAATTAAACTGTATCTGCCATCTAACTCTCCCTCTACCCTTATTTAAAACTATTGATTTTGCTGTGTGTTTTTGCTCAAAGATATAATGGCATCGACTAGACAATTAAGAACCATGACTTATATCTTCATGATAATAAGCAAGTTATTCATTGCATGAATTCGTTAACTCAAAGGATAAGGTGTTGCGATTTGAAGTTAAAGGTATTTGGTTCAAGTTTCAGCGTAAATATCAACATTGAGATGAGGGTACATGCACTTGATGAGTTTCAGATAGGATGAAACGTTTATCGTAAATTATATTGCTCATACGAAATATACTAAATCAGGTGCTAGATTTCAAAAGTAACCATATTATTATTATAAGCATGTTTAAGGAGTAGCGTACACAAAGATAATTCCACTATAATAAAACAAAAAATGACAAGATAAAATGAAGATATAGGTAATAGATTTCAAATATGTTATAACTTGTGCCCTGTGTCCTGTTAATGTATAATGTAATGATACCGCCAACTGGAGAACAGTGACTTATCGACCGGACCAATGACGCATAAAACAAGTACGAGCAGCCTGGAGTCCTTATCGGTCCTGCTTCCCTGCTAGCCCTACCTGTTAAGTCCAGAACACCAAGCTCAACCTCTGCGATATGAATCATTTATTTCAAACATACTGGGTTTATATACCAACCAGACAGACCACATCGTATTACAAAATAGGAAACAACATTTGTACAATATTTAGCCAAATGTGGCTGTGAATGTGGGAGGTAGTAATTGATAGACTGGGCATAACTCAAGAATGGTAAATCGTATAATAATAGTTCATAGATCAAAATAAAGCTTATGATAAGAGGAACACGAATATACGTAGTTTAGTTACTTAACAATTATGCAATAAAAATATGTGTATAGTATTTGTCCATAAATAGATTTCAACAGTTACCATTCATTATTCTCATCGAGATATAATAAAAGATCAAAGTCTTCTATTTTAAAACACTATTATACCGACTTAAAGTTAGTCAGTACTAATTATTGAAACATCACTTGTAAATAAATCGATACTACAGAAGGTTAATCGCATCTTGAAAAATTCAATGATAATACCAGAGATTAAAGATAAATGACCTGGATTCGAATCTTACACGAAGCACCAGTTCTCTTAACACTTTAAATATATCTTGTTAACCAGTACAAAATAACACAAAACTTCAATGAAGTAAGATTCCTTACCGACAATCTTCATACACCCAACATGTATATATGTATATATAAATACCTTTGATATGTTCAATGAACAATACAATATTTCTGGTTTAAGCTCCTGGATAGTAAGAGCTTCTGCTATTTTTAAGAGTTGGATACGAATAAATCTGGATAGATTTGAACGAATCATATAAACAACCTTAAAATCAGATTGTGGATCTGTAGAATGGTTACAGTCGATTAGGTGTTCAAGTATAGAACTCCTAACTGCTTTCCTTTCACCCTTATAGAACCAAGCTGGGATATATTCCCATATCCAAGTTGAGAGCGAATAGATCCAACACTTAAAAAGAGCCGAGGCTCTTACCATTCAGGAGTTATGCGTACAAAAGCAGTACGTCTCATCGTTATCGTTACCTTGGCCTTAATTATTTCGATTATCCTATTATTATTATTATTATTAATACAATATTTCTTTATACTTTTCTCTTAAAATATTTACTATATAGGTTATTATTTTCAAACTGAATGGCCATTAGGTCAATATGCATTACCGAATGTACATAGAAATGATTTAGATAAAGCATGTCCACCAGGATTTACACAACATTATTATTCATTAATTAATAATCAAGCAGCATTTTTTGAATTAGAATTAATGCCAATGAGTTTAGGACCATATTTTTTAGAATTAATGGGACATAATTATAGTGCATTAAATGTACATTATTGTGAAAGAAATAATCCAAATATAAATGATGAATTAGTTAATGAAACAGGAGAAGTTATAATTGAAGCAAATAATGAAGAAGAAACAGTCACTTCTTCTTCTTCTTCTTCTTCTTCCTCATCTTCATCATCAATAATAACGGGATTATTAGGAGATGATAAAAAACTTCCTGAGTTTCAATGGCCTAAAGGTGATTACTGTGTAATATCTACAGCTGAAAATCATCAATGTCCACCAGGTTAGTCAACTGTGTTAGACAGATTGGTGTTTTTCGTTCAGAATGTTTATTTTGTTCTTCTTTTTTTAAATGCGTTTTATAGTATCTCATATATATCTATCAAAAAGAAGTTCTTATAAAGCTGGTTGTTCTGAAGGAACTATTCTAATAGTAAGACTTCAATTAGCATATTACATTCATAAAATGTTTTAATGAACTTATAACAGGATATTGATTAGCTAAGTTTAGACCGATTACAAATTAATTCAGTCGTGATTCATCTCTATCGAATACTTGAAGTTAACTGATGAAAAGCCTTAGATAAGAAGATAAGTATGTAAAATGAAGAAGAATATATACCACCCGTAACATACAAAAGTGATTAATCATGATTAGTAGGTTGATAAAACCAAAATATTAATCACTAAACTATGGTAAACAGATTTAATGATATCATACTTCTAATGTAATGGTATGATGTGCGTGACTTATGCAGACAGATATAAGTAGTATGTAGTAGGAATACAAAGTGGAATAAAGAAAACGGAAAGGAAAATGGCGGGTAATCAAAATAATATCATAATTAAAAGAATAATGAGGTATGAGAAGGACATCTGAAGAAAGATGTGCAAATGATGTGTTTAATGTATGGTATTCATATTTTGTTAGAGGCACTATGTAATGTGCATTACAGAACAAACTGGTTCACCCCACTAAATCCCACGGACTATGCTCCTTCACGAGGAGTAACAGGCGTAAGTAAGTAACTGAATAAGTAAGTAACACTAAATCCTCGGTTCACTACTATAAGAGTGTCTTAACTATGATCTAAATAGATGTGGATTGTCCTGATAAATTATGTAATAATAATTCAACTGGTACAAAATTGTTAGGTGAGAAGAAAGAGAGAACTTCCACAGAATTATATCGTAAACACAAACATTCATGAAGTAGATCTCAGAAGCATCTTACACTTTATGGATTTTTCAAACTTGGTTTTCTGTTAAAGAAAAATATCGCATACATACATACATACATACATACATACAAACAAACATACATACATACATACATACATACATACATACATACATACATACACACATACATGCATACATATTAACCTACTACACACTTTTATGATTTTAGTATGATTGTAATTAGGCAGCAACAGTGAAACAGACTAAATCCATTCTTCAGTAAACGAAATACATCCATTGAGATATTAAGTAAGAAAGATTGATTCAGTGAAGAGTTCTCTTTTCGACGAATTCATTTTCAAAGCTGTACAATCGCAAATATATATACCTATTTTTTTCGTGATAATAATTATAGTAATAATGATAATAAACTTCTGTTAGACATGGTAATAGTGAAGTAGAATAAACAAAGATATAAGAAATATTTTAACCAGGGAAACTTATAATAGTAATAATAATAATGGCACAAGTAGGTGGCTATCAGGACTCAGGAGCTAAGTAGATAACGCGATGGTGTTCGAAGCGAATTTTACTGGGTTAGAGTACCAGATTGAATACCAAATCTGAGATGCAGGTACACCCAGCTGGCGAATCCTAAGTAGGGCGAAACGCGCGTCCTCAATTCCACTGCTAACCGCTATCCATCTTTACCTATAAAGCTTGAGACCTATGGCAATATCGAGGAAGTCCGCACAGGATGTACATATACCAGTCCTAAATAACAGTGGGAAGATATAAGTAAGCGACACCAAGTAAATGATTGTTAAGTGCTTAAATATTTATCGTAAAGATAGATAGGGAAATTATCATTGGGAAAGGATGGCTTATCATGATAAGGTAGAATGTTGAAAGTGAGATAAAATGTAATCGAGAAGATCATAGAAACAGAATTAAACCAATTGAGAGTAGAAGATTCAAGGAGAAAATGGAAGGGAAAGTAGATGGCTGTAAAGGAAAACGAATATGATGAGAAAAAATATTAAGACCATGGTAGAATAAGAGGTTGTACCAATCTCTTTAGGACACACAATTCTGGTTTTCCTAGATATATGGCTATTGTTTCAGCAATGTGTTCGATTGTACAACTTTGAAAAAGAGAACTCTTCGCTGAACCAAACTTTTTTTTTATTTAAATTCATTCTATTGTAATAGTTTCGGACTTCTATCTGAAGTTTGTGCTGATGATCTCGTTCAGAAGAACGATGAAAGCTCCACGACCAAACCATCCAGCTCAGAGAACAAAACTCCACCTGAGCTACAAATCTTCTCAACCATCTCAATAGGTCCGAACTTTATTTTCAAAATTATCCCAAAAACTTAAGATGTTTGAAATACATTGGATAATTTATGTCTTTTATCAACTAACAAATTTTATTATTATTTTGAGTACATATGTTATGGATACTAAGATCACAGTGTTGAACGTGTTAGAATTCATTTACACCCAGTGAAGTGATATATCAGAATCTCAGAATGTAGTAAATAATTATATTTATTTCAGTAAAACCACTAAAGCCCACATGTGCCTTTCAATACCCATAAAATTTGATAGTATAATTGTAAATATAAATAATTAGCTTTCAGTTGACCGCCAAATGCACTAGTATGGCTGAGGATGAGGAGAGTCAGCTCTCTCTCTCTCTCTAAATGTTCTCACACGTCCATGCATATACAACCACTCCCAGGGAAGTCCTACTCACTGCCTTCCCGAGGCGAGGGTGTTGTTTACGAAATCGAGAGGACGAAAAGCAAATGTTCGGCATTTTAACCGGGTCGGTCGACAAGCAGAATCCACCTAGGAAAGTTGGAAAACTCTGAGTTCAAACCAATGGTATACATGTGCTCCAGTATCCTGAAGGAAAAAATGTCGTATGAACCAATTGTTGGTCATCGGCTACCATGGGACTGCATCTCCTAACGTTGCTCCATTGCCTTATGAATCAGACCTTTAAGTCAAAGGCTCCGGGTGTGGCCTCCTAAGAAAACCACCTGTTTTGGTCTGGGCACCCCGACAGTATCACAGCCCATACACGAATCAAGTGACTTGTTTGGCGCATATGTATTCGGTGCTCCTTTGTACCAATATTTTTGTGTTCACGTAAATAAATAAAGCTTTCAACTATTGATATTTACTGATAGAAAATTTTTTCGAACACATAATATATCCAAGATAATTCAAAATAAACTAACGAAAATTGATAATCACATAAAATAAACAGTAGTCCAAGGGGAAAAAACAATTCAACAGACGTGACTATAATTTATGGACGACCTTTGGATGGACCTTGAATGACCTTAAGAAATTTCAGTCAATCAGAAAACAGTTGGTATGGAGTGAGAGTATGCTATACAAAACCAAAAAAATACAATGCATATACTTCTTTGAAATGATTTAAAAACTTTTCAAGGTTAGGAAGAAAATCTGCAGTTCTGAAATCGTAATGCATACGGTATAAGAACTCATCCACTTGACTTCATAATAGTGCACCTCTGGAGCAATGATAAGATGGTAAAAATTTGTTTAGCGTCGACCACATTGCTTCTATATTATTGGTGTGTACTCCCGCGGTGTGGTCTACAAAATGTCGCTTGTGAACGATGATACGATGCATATATACAAGTCTACATAAACATCGATATTCTCTCCAGTCATCCGTGTATATTTTGGTAACCGGATACATATACTCTCCTATAATTGGCATCATCGCTTTAGCCTGTTAATTTCTCACTCTCTGGAAGTGTCTCTTTTGAGATGATCTATCATATATATCAAAGATCGGCTAAGCATACTTAAGGAACTGCTACCTCCCCAGTCTTCCTTATTACTTCTTACTCTATTGAGTCTGTGTTTTTTAACGACTGTTTCGTCCATTTCTACGATTTTCCCTGTGGTGTATGCTACCCTTGTCGACAGACATAAGCACAATGTAACACCAATTGGAAATGGAAAACCTAGCAGCAGGCGGTTGTGAAGGTCGGTTTGAAGAAAACGGAGATGGAATTGGAAAGGAATTGTCAGTCGGGAGAATCATGCAGATTGTCATTATAATTGCACATGTATCTTGACAGTACTTATACCATTGAACTGCCAAAGCTTCAGTAACATCTACAAAGGTTGCAGTCATGGTTACTGGTGCTTTTATTATTCATTTTACAACACTTGTCATAATCTGTTTTAGTTTCAATCGGGATCAACCGAAAAAAGTTCCTGTTCTAACAGACTTTCCCCTCTAACATATATTGCACCGAAATGCAACATCGTCACGATAGTCTTCACACTGTCCAGTAGCCAGTTGAACCTTTCAATCACAAATAAAGGAACTTCTCAATAATCCCATCGGTTGTAGCCACTCAACTATAACGTCCTCCTTGAAATCTGCTATAAACCAATCGTGCGAGGGCATTAAATATTTTAAATAGGCTCCGTGACCCTGAAATCGCTAACTCGCTTTTACTTGGCTCGTCCATAAATTATAGTCTCGTCATGATAACATCTAAGTGAACATTCAAATATTCAATAAACAACAAATAACGAAGTAGACTCATTGCGTCATTAAGGGAAAACAAAGGTCATTCAGTGAAAAAGCGTTTTATTTCGACAATTTCATTTATTCAAGCACCGTATGGCCGTTTCGTCCTAGTATGAGATTCCACAGAATCCATGATCCTGCATCCAGGAATAAAACCCACGATCTTCAATCTCGCTCGCAAACGCAAACCTTTAGACCACTGAGAAGGCGAAATAACCGTCCAGTCCTTTCAGGTTTTCGGTGGTGCTCTAGCTAAGATCAGTTTGTGATTTAAATTGTGAACATTCTACAATCTCTACAAATTCCCTTTTACTAAGAATACTTAAAAATCATAATAATAGCTAACTAATATTTGTGAAAAGTTATGTGATAGGAGTTGAAAAAATAGCAATAGTCGATCGAAGATAGAAAGGATGGACAAGACTGTGTTAGAATGAGAGATTGAACATACTGTTTTTATATGCAAAGGTTAGACCTTAATTAGTGGATAGTTACTGCCTCTATTGTATATCAGTTTTTCATTTATACTCTTTTTGAACCGATTGTATGGATGATTTTGAATGAGAATTTTGGTAGAGTAGTAACCAGAATTAATCAGATGTTTCAAGATTGAGCTTTTGGTTGACTTTTGTAGTATTTTAAACAGCCAGGCAGGGTAACGTTTAAAGGTATGCTTCAAGAGAGCTTTCTTTGTACAGTGCAAACGTTTTACTATAGACTACTATTTTTAACAGACGTATTAATCCATAAATACGATTGTACAGCATTCTCAAATGACATACATTTATAACATATATGTATATATATTTCCAGGTCTTCATAGACATGCCCGAGCATTCTCTGAACTTTGTTGTCGTACTGATAATATTAAAGATCCTAAACCCGTGAACTGGCCATTTATCGAAGATTTCTTCTTATTTGGTGGTGAAAAATGTTTACCAATAAAAGACACTCATGTAAGTATTCTCAGTGTAACGAGCCAATATTTATTACAATCGAATTCTTGTTAATAATTCATTTGATCATTGTTACTTCAACTGACGTTAAAGATAAATCTTAAGGATGGTTAAGTGATAGGCTGGATGAGTATATAGAAATTATGATCTGTCCTCCCATTATGTCTCAGTGTCAAATGATAAGTGAACAATTATAAATGAAATACGCTTTTAGAGGGATCAATATGGTATATACTCTAGATCTTAGCCTACATGTCCTTTTCTGGGTTGGAAGGATGATTGTATGTATACTTATAGTTAAAGTACATTATAATTTGGTATGATTCTCAGTTATTTCTCAATTTTCTCCTTTCTATAGTGAGTTTAGTATACCATAGGAAGTGCATATCACGGCTGTATCAAGCCGTCGGGCACAACATAATTGCTTTCAAAAAAAGTCTAATGTCAAGGTGCTGTATATATAGATATAACTGGGGCAGTTAATTACCGACAGACAAATAAGATGTTTGTCGTTATGAACCACATTGAACAGATTTGATTCAGAATGAATCGAAATGACCGAAAATTGCTGATAAATAATCAAAGTAACACAGAACAAGATTGAAAAAACACAATAAAATCACATGATTATATATAGCTGAATTAAGACAAGTGAATAAATGTTTACAAATCTCATTGCTACCTACATGGTTTTTACGAAACTAAAACAGTGATTTACGGCTGGTCTAATGAATTACCTAATGGACAAATCCAGCCTTATGTCACATTAATAGAATAGAAATTATTGATGTGATAGGGTTTTAGAGACTGTTGACTTTCATAGTTCATTTCACAAACTAATCTTGGTAAGACAACCACTGGAAATCGGAAATCACTGTACAGATGTTTCGTCACTGTATGAAACTCCCTTAGTGGTGCTCTCTAGTAATCTTACCAAGGCGGAGTTGAGTCTAGGACCTTCAGATTTCAAGATGATCTCCTAACCTCCAAACCACTAACCTGGTATCCAATTGTTTACATTTCTAATTTAAATCAATCCACAATATTGTGTATATGATCGTAATCTATTGAAATATGAATAAACCAAGAAGTTATGTATGAAAAACTTATTATTTAATACAAACACCACAATAAGTTTACAATCAAGGTATTCACATCGGAAATATATGTTTACACACATAAATCATTTAATTCCATTGAAGTCAATAAACGAACATAGAAAACTTTACAGTGAATAGCATTTTCAAATTATACAGATTATTGACAGCTAAATAGACCCTGAGTTCTTTAAGTACATACAGCTTCTTTGGAAAACCTGGAAGCACTGAACTGCCGTTCCACCCTAGAATGGGACTCATCAGCGGTGCGCATCCACGATCCCGCACGCGGGACTAGAACCCAGGACCTTCGATATCGCACGCGAACGTTTAACCTCTAGACCGCTGAGCCTGCATCTAACGGTGTTAGTGTCTAGCATCACCCAACTCACAACTCATGAATTCAACTATTAAATTACTATAATCTCCACAAAACCCTTTCTGAACATACAGCTTCTTAAAGGGGTTGCTGAATAACACATGTAACCAATTCTTATAAATAGTTTTATCGATATTCAATATTTCTAACGAACATTGGACATGAATAGCATTTTTATTACTGAGAAATATGTTACTAGTTTGTTTCGTAAAGCTGAACCACATAAAAATTCATGCAGAAACATAGTTACCCAGACAAAAGGTTTATTAATGTCAAATGAAATTCGATTATCAGTTGCAAAACAATCTGTACAGTTTATAAATCTTAATGCAAAATGAATTACCCATAACCTAATCAATTCAACGATAGTCCATTTTGAAGTTTCATATCACAAACTGACTTAAGCTAGACAGTTGTCGTAATCAAGAACCGCTGGACATTTGTTTCTTGCTAGTATGGAAATTACCATATCCGCACAAAATGTTAAGGTCAAAACCTTGAAGCTTTGAGGAGAGTGTTTAACCTTCAGATCATTAAGTTAGGATTTAGTGGATTTCACTTTATTTTAGTAAACAGTAACGAATGAAACATGAATTTCTCCAAGTAACCAAAACAGCATTTTAATTATAATTGACAAATTATTTAAATTCGAACGTACCGTTTCCTCAATGCAATAAGGAAAATTCGATGAAAAAGCTTTGTGAAACGCATAATAGATCTAAGTTAGACCACCATCTAAAACTCGGAAGCACTGGACTGCCATTTACGTCCTAGTATGGGACTACTCAGCAGTGCTCATAACGACCCGCTGCAAACCAGGATCTAAACCAAATCCTTCGATCTCCTGTGTAAACGCTTAGTCTCTAGATGACTGAGCTGACATCTGGTGGTGTTAACGCCTAACTTTATTCAATCCATGATTTTGCTCATCCATCCTCCATTGTCTTTGTTGGGTAACTGCTTCCTACCCGACACGGATTAACTCCACTGGTCACCGCGTGTGGGATCGTGAATGCACACTGCTAAGGATTCCCATACTAGGACAAAATAGCCTTTCAGTCCTTCCATATTTCCAATGGTGTTCTAACTTAGATTGGTCCATGATTTCAATGAAATCCAACAATCCCCACACACCTTCATACTGAAAATAACCAGTAAATGAAGTTGTATAATGTACACTTTTTAATAATTCACTGAATTCACTTGTATTTTTTGTTAATATGTATTTTTAATAATAAAATACTCTCAGGTGGAACGTTATCTTGTACGACTGGTTTCTGGTTCAGAAGGTAAGCATGAACCTCAGTGGGATGTTCTATGCCATTATTTACCGATATCATGGATGAATGACACTATAGAATGGCCATCTGGTGAATATATGCTTCCTATAGGAAGACGTAGTGGCTTGCGTACATCATATGTGACGACAATTGCTGCAGATAATGAACAGACTAATACAACAGCATCATCTACAAATGTTCAAGATGGTAAAAATTTTATCAGTGGCAGTAAATATCAATGTCCAGAAACATTTGAACGTAAACGTTTTATATTTGCAAGCAGCGAAACTGAACAACAATTAATGAGCAATCCGAATACCAATACAGAGACTATATTCAACATAACCGCCTACGTGACCATGGAATTTTGTGTACATACTAATGAACAGAATAGTAGTAGTGGTACTACAAGTAAATTTTCAACATGGCCTGCTGGCGATTACTGTATATTTACCATGAACACACATTGCCCGATTGGAATGAGTATGTGATAAGTAATTTACGTCCGTTTTCTCCCTAAAAAATTTTCACTGTCACTGTTCAATTTAAAAATAAGATTTATTTGACTTTTAGAGATCACTTAAGCCAAATCCTGTTTGAATTTTGCTGTCTACAAACTGACGATCCTGTTTATAATCAGCTAACCTATAAATTTAACCTAAATAGTTAACGAACTTTTTTTTAAAAATATGTTAGAACTTGGTTTTTCAAGGAATCATAAGCAAACTTATGTGATTGTTGAAGTTATATATGACATTAATTGTACAGAACTCCACCTGGAGTCCCTCCGGGGGCTACTGTCGGCCCCAAGCCCGGATAAAAGAGGAAGGTTGGACATGGGGTTAGCAACCCCATCTCGTAAAAAACTACCTCGCTAAAAAAACGCTAGCCAGAAAAAAATTAATTGTACAGATCATCAGTTAAAATCGTACTATATACATGATAGGTCAGCTTTTATATAATTCAATATGTGTACATATCCATCCAGTGGGATAATAATAAGATGGTAAAACACGATAATCTCTTGCCAGGGAATCAAAATTTATCAAAATCGCTAACTGATATAAGTTAATAAAATAAGCCGTCAAGAACCAGAAAGCACTAGACAGCTGTTTCGGCCCAGTATGAGACTCCTTAAGGTTAAGCACTCACGACCCTACCGAAGATAGAACACAGGATTTTCAGGTCTCATGCATAAACACTTAATCTTTAGATCACTAGACCAGGATCCATTGGTATATAAGTATTACATCCATTAATCTGTTATATTGAATGACCATCTTCCATTGTCTTCAGTGTCCATCTTCTTCACACGATAAAGCCGAACTCTGCAAGTCATGGCCTCTCACTAGAACTCTAGAAATTTCCTCTCAAAATTAATCACCAACGTGCATAATCGCAAATCTGAATATCATAATTTAATTTGTTTATCATAATACACTGAAATATTACACCATCAAAGTACAATGCTAAGCTATCTGTTTTTTAATCATTCAAAATTTATTCTGTTAAGTTTAAGAATAAAGTGAATTGTTTAGCAATGGTATCACAATACTAAGCTCTCATCTACTTTCTTCGGTGAGTAACTGTCTCAATAACATTTAATAATCTTCCCAAACCTTTATACTGATAATCACATATAAATTTCGGGTTTTATGATGAAGGACATCGAAAAAGTGAAAACCCAATAAAAAGCAACAAACAGGCTATAGTCTCAAATATTTCATCTTACTGATAGCTTTAAGGGTTGACATTTTTCTCATCATTTTTAATGTTCTATAAGTGTTTTGTATTCATCAATTTTGATCATTCTTCCGTTTATCTCGCGAATAAGTACTACATATTGAAGTGTAGTTTTCATCTAAGAATTCATTTCAAGTACTAACTTTCATTATATTTGTATTCGTCATCCGATCTATTTGTTGTGACTTTATGTCAGGCTAGTTATCACGTGATTTATCCACCAATCAAAATACGACTTATACAATCTTAGCACTGTGAGAAAACCAATGATGTTCGACCGGTATGAGCAGCCTAGTGTCTTATTTGGTCCTATGTCTGCCTAACCCGTCCACTTGAGTCCAGAACACAATACCAACTTCCAATATGCGAATCGGATCGAACTGAATCTTTTGTTTCAGACATACTGAGTTTATATATCAATCAAACAGACCGCAACGCACCATAAAAGAGGAAATAACATTTGTACACAATAAAGGCAAAAAGTGACCGTGAACGTGGGAGGCAGTAGTCAATAAACTGAACATAGCTTAAGAACCTTAAATCGTACAATAATAAGTTATAGGTCAAAACGAAGCTTATAATAAGAGGAATATAAATATACATAATCTAATTATTGAATATCTATACCATGAGAAGGTATAGATAATGTTAGTCGATTAATATTTCTCAGAAGTTACTCGTGATTTAATCTACTCTGGGATATAACACTATTGAACTATCATCCTATATTGAGATGTTTCAAATAACTCCAGATTCTTAAAATGAAAGTTTTAATGAAAATTCAACTTCAGTAAGTAGTACTTACTCAGTAAATAAACGAAAGAAAAAATGGCCGAAAATTCTCCATACAACACATATACGACACCAAGAAGTTGTCGGGGATAGCCTTAACTACATTTAAACAAATGTGAGTACTTTTATTTTCATTTTTAGACCATTTCTTCTTTTGAATATCTATAATAAATAAACATTTGATCTTGTATTTGATTTATCTCCTAGAAGCTTCCAGAGAATTTCCATTGAAAATCCCACGTTTCATTCTAAAAAGTATACATTCCATATCACCAGATGGTGAAATAATTCCTAATAGTCATTGGCATGAAGATATTGAAAATCATGTTGTTTATTTTATGCAATGTTGTCGTGAAGATAAAACTTTACTGTTACGTGTACCACCATCAAAAGATGGTTTTTATTTAGCTAGTAGTTCCGGTTTATGTTCTAGTGTACCGGGAACTGTATTGGATAGAGAGAAAATTACCACCTATCTTACATCACCATTACATAGTAATAGTAATACTATGATTAATAATCGTAAATCAACTGTATTAAGTGAAAAAGATATGCTATTATATCGTGAAACACTTGCTCAACGTGAAGGTCTCCTCTATTTATGCTATTATCATCCAGCCAAAGGAATTGATTATACTACATCAATACTTGGTACACGTTATTCTATAAGTCAAAATATTTCTGAAAAAGATATTGATGAAATAGCAAGTAAGTAGTAATATTGTGTCAGTTTTGATTTGATTTACTTCTTTTGTCAATTATTCAGTCATAAATAGGGTAGAATACGGAATATGTGTGGATTGGTTCATTAGACTATTAAATTCAACCAATAAGATGATGGGAAAATCTTCATAACTTGATTGGCTGAATCAACCTATTATAAAATGTTAACCTTGCAATTTCACATTAAGGACTAGTTGCGATTGGACAACTGTTATGATGTAATGTATTGTGCAAATATATCACAGAATTTTGATATCCTTCGTCTTCGCATTGCATTATTGAAATGTTACGATGAAACCAGAAAGCATTGAACTGTTATTTTATCTAACTTGAAGTATAGCTATTCAACAGAAAGTTAAGCTTTATGTTATTACAAATGAAAATTGAAAGCGAACTAGAAAACTTTACGATTAGTTACAGTATAGTGTAGATCTGACAGTGGAATATTATGTTTATGTAAACGTGAATAATAAACTTAAACGCCATTTCGTCCTAGTATGGGACTCGTCACTAGTGAGCATCCACGATCCTGCACCCCAGATCCAGGTTTCCCATGGTGGTCTAGCTTTAAATGACTCATGAATTCAACTATTAAGTTTGTATGTAAAGATGGATAGTGACTAGCAGTGGAATTCAGGGAGTGCGTTTCGTCCTATTTGGGACTCGTCAGCTGGATATACCTGCACCTCAGAGTTGATGTTCACTCTGGGGGTCGAACTCAGTACTGTTTGCCTCAAATACCATCGCGTTATCTAATTAGCTACTGGGTTTATTTATTATTTAGGTAGTTTATGGATATTAATAGTTAACAACTCTACATAACTTGAAACAATAATAAATATTTCGATAGAAAGTAAACTATTGTGTTCTGCTGTAAGATTCATTTACAAAATGTATTACCTAGAGTATAACAAACTCACTATGCAACTCAGAAAACTGAAATGAGCATAAAAGTTTAATTGGCAGACTAACTTATTATTTGCACCAATTATTGTTATACATACGATTTGGCTGGTTGGGTAACTTTGATTAGGTGCATTATCGGCTTCTAATAGATTGCCCAGCTCGTGATATCTCGCTTACCGCCTGAGCTTCAGAATAAATATGAGGATAGGCACATAATATATCCATACTCATCAGATTATCATCCCCCCCCCTTTCTGAAAACATGTCCTATCCATGAGGTACAACTCCATGAGTTACATGAGGGTACATCATCACTTTATTCACACTAGCTAATGTAATCCTTAAAAATATATAAACTGTTGTATTTCGAATATTTCATTTCAGTTATTGTATTGTATATGCCATTCTACATACACTGATTCTTTTTTTTCTTTTTTTCGTCAATTTATGTGTGTGTTATTCAATTGTGAACAGGACTATGTGGTTGTGCACCGAATGCATTTTGTTTACTAAATAAGCAAGCAGAATGTATTTGTAAACCAGGTTATTTCGGTGATGGACGTTACGTATGCGCACCAATAACTCCGCTAACGGATGAATGTGCTGACTTATGTGACCCGTCAGCTGTATGCGCTGAACATTTGGGTGTTAGTTTAAAGAAAAAGCAGGTAATGTTATCATCATTATTTTAGTATATTAAAACTGTGGTGATTGTTAGGTTTTCATAGACTACATCACGTACTGACGTTAGTTAGACAACCACTGAACATCTATTTGGTCCTGGTATGAACCACCTTGGCAGAGTGCATTCAAAACCCTATCGGCAATCAAATCTTGAATCTTCAGGTCTCACAATCGAGCTCCTAACCTCTAGAGCATTTAGCCGGAATCTAGTAGTGTGCGACCACCTTATAACGTCTGTAATCAAACTCTATAGTTTCCAAATGTATAATTTTTGTACTAAAGTGACTAAAACAGGTGAATTAGACAATGTTATATGTCAAAATACTGAACCTCTACATCTATTAATCCTTAAGCATATCTAAAACATGTCATTTGTAAATTTGAAAGGTCATTTGAGAGTGTAGAAGAAATTTTTTTCTAAGTTGTCAAGTTATAGTCAATACAATTGAGAGCTTGAGAAAAACAATGGATTACATATCACTTTGTTGGATAACTATCTACCTTGTTACTGATTTTGATCTGTTTCCAGAAGCTTCTAAAATGTTGAAGTGAAACAGGAACCTAAAAACGTCCATGCTTACTATCTCAAAATTAACCAAGAAAAAAACGTTTCTCTTCAAAGATACCATTGAATGGAACACAACCGCAGTTTTTTGAGAGATTGTGAAGCGGTTAGAAAGTCGTTATCAAGTGTTCAAGTATCAAGCATAAATAATAATACCGTTTCAATCAGATCCCAAATAACGTAGCTAAGTGCAACTCATTCCCTGAAAATAACTCTGTAGTTAATACTTAAATTAAAACTATTCAGTTCAATATTGTTTTTGATCACCTTGTTTTATTTTTTCTCGTCTAGTTACTCAGTCATATGTGTATTTGCCGTCCAGGATTTGTTGGTGACGGTTTCTCATGTAAATCAGATTGCGTTGCACGAGAATGTCAACCATTTAGTAGATGTATACATAATATCCCAAGAGGTAAATTAATATAGTTGCATTTTAGCTTGTTTTTAGTTTGTCTTTTTCATTGTTAGTAAAACTGTATAAAATTTAGAGGTAAATCTGTGATGTTGTAGATTACATTGTTACTTTTTAAGTGATATATCCGACCAAAGCAAGCCATAACTGGCTAGTAAGTGTGTGTTACATATATAACAGACTTTTTTACATCTTACACTACTTCTCCACCGGTTCCCTCTTGATATTTGTGTCAATAATAATAGCATGTCAATGAATGATATTATTGCTATTTAGTTCTTGACTAAACAGTACGACTTTAGGTATCTAAGTTCACGTGATTTAATCAACCTTAAGTAATAGGTTTCTTAGTGTTAAATGCGTTCGTATGATAGTGATGTTCTCCTGTTAAAATTAAAATAAAACAAACTTGGAGAGACCATCTAAATCTAACAGTGATTTACACCTGTCAATAAGTGACTCCAGTAAACTTGATTAAAAATATTACTGTCTTGAAGAGATTCGATATTTCATTCTGAATGTTGACCTCTAAGCCCTCTGGATCCCAGCAGATACAAAATATTATCTTATGTGGTGATTTGAGATGCCTACTAATCCTGGTTTCACATGTTCAAGAGAAATTGACTCGTAACTTGTTAGTATCCTTGATACAATAGGCTACCTAATATAAACTTGTGACAGCACTCCTGAACCCAATTATAAATGATTTGATCTTGTGGACTGACTCTCCTAATAGTTGACTAAATAATTTGATATTTAAACACCGATTTATTTCTCAGACATCTGTTTCTGCACGAACCAATGACAAAGAGATAAGAAGATAGTATGACAAACCTCGAAAACTAAAGATAAAACATATTCCAAAAGCTGCTTGATCAGATACATAGACAGACAAACTATGGAGCACAATAATTTAAAACTTACAATATGCTAAATTCACTTTGCATTTTTTTTGTGAATCTTCTCATTGATGTTTAGAACTACAATTGATCAGTCTCTTATTGGCATATGTGCATCCTGTACAAACTGCCTCGATATTGTCTTAAGTACAAGCATTATAAATAAAGTTGGATAGTGGCTAGCAGTGGTACATTCAGGTGCATCCAGTTGACGAGTCACAGATAGGACGAAACGCAAGTCCTGGATTCCATTACTAACCACTATCCATCTTTACATATATTGCCAAAAGCTAGGCATTTAAAGTAACAGTCGTCAGAGTAATAAATTCTTTATTAAAATTACGTAACTTGTCGACGGAAAAATATATGGAAATAGTCTATTGATCAAACAAAATCATGGAAGCAAATGACCAAACTGTAAATAACAATGTCCTGAAAAAAGTAGGTTACACGATTTTTAATCTCCCTTTAATTCTTCTTGCTATAACATCTAACTTTTCACCTGGTTGTTTATGTACGTAACTAATTCTGTTTGTTAAGACATCAAATTCGAATATCTTGAATAAGCTCCACATATCATACAGATTGTGTTTTATTCTGTGTGGTAAGGTTTCTTGTTAGCTTATTTCTACCAACTTTCCAAATATCTAACTTGAACAACATCGACACATGATGTTATATAACCTGGGTCAATAACCACATGGTATTGTACCATTTAAAATATCTATTAGAATTAAAGATTAGAACAAGACTATCTTTAACTGTCTCATTAGGGTGATATTCAGGAATACAACGTTGTATTTACCTGTTTTTAGTATGGAAATCCGTATCAAAGCTCATTCACTTACTTACTTACGCCTGATATTCTTCGTGGAAGAGCATAGACCGCCTACCAACACTCAAAGCTCAGTAACAGACTTTAATTAATTAACTTGCAATCTAAAATGGTTAAAAGTAATTCAGCAGATAATAGATAAATACTTAAGTTTCATTTGACTAGCCTAGTCTTCTTTATCATATCTTAAAAAGATGTTTGATCAATAAGTGTATATAATTATTTATTTATGCATTCCTATGTCACAAAATTCTAACTTGACAATATTCATTTTAGGTATCACTGAATGTGTTTGTATTGAAGGGACAATACTATCTGGTACACGTTGTCACTTGGATGTATATAAAACATTGGAACAAGAAAAAGATTTACCTCAATTTATTGTAGATCATGATCATTGTCTCTCATCAGAAACACAATTAGCTTTGAGAACATTGAATCCACCAAAATACTTTTACATATTTGTCCCATCCAATGTAAGTAATGTTCATTGATACTATTCTTGTTATTATTATCATTATTAACATTTATTATTCACATCAATTGTGATTCTCATCCCTACACACGTTCAATTAACTGAATCATGAGATATACAGTGCATTAGTTACGATTAAATCTTATGTCTGTCAGACAAATAACCTTCTTCCTAGCCCATAACTATGATATTAATATCTTAAATCCTATTGGTCTCATGATCTCCACCTTCCATCCTCAATATTCCAGTCGGGAAACGAATAAATCAGGCTAAAAAACCAAGAGCTAAAACTCAAAATCTTATTGAAATATACACGTTGATTACTTAACCACACATCACTATAAATAAGAAATTATAATTTCTACATAACTGATTGATGAATGTGATACCAAACTGAATAACAGATGAATGATTAATTAACCATATCGTTGTATTACTATATTGATTTCTTAATTGTGACATATCACATGATAACCATTAAGTGATTAACACAAATTATCATATATTGAAACATATCAGATGAGTTTTGTGGATATTATAGTAATCTCAATGGTTGAGATCATGAGTCAGTTGAAGCTAGACCTCTATAAACAACCTGGAAGCACTGGACGGCCGTTTAGTCCTATTGTGGGACTCCTCAGCAGTGAGCATCCACGACCTCGCCCCCTGCGAGATTCCAACCCAGGACCTACTGGTTTCGCGCGCGAGCACTTAACCACTAGACCACTGAGCCGGCATCCAATGGTGTTAATGTTTAACTTCAACTTATCCACGAAATTGAGCGACATATCCACCATTGTCTTCAGTGAGTTACTATCTCACAACAGACCTGGTTGAACTCCACTGGTCACTACTTCTTACTAGAACTCCAGGATATACCTCGTGAAGCCAGTCACTAGTGAGCATATGTTGAATAATATCAGATGGGTTTTGTGGATATCATAGTAATTTCAATGGTTAAGATCATGAGTCAGCTCGACTTAAACTGACTGGATGATTGTTAGTATTATATCTATCCCATCATAATAGGAAGATCTTCCATTCAATCTAAGATCGAGTTCATGCTGAGGACAACTGAATTTTCTAAATTTAGCACGAAATATATTGCACAGGAATTTATAGTTTATAGTACTTTATCCTTACTTCTGATTTTAATTTTACATGAAATCCGCTTTAAAAACTATGATAGAACGAATTACTAAGAATTCGCGAAACTCAAGTTATCAGCTAACCGATTAGATAATAAGTTTAAAGAAGATAAAAGCCTTAGTTATGGAAAAAGAAGTTGTAAAGGTTAGCACGCTTAAAGGGGTTAAACTAAGAGAGAAACAACAAAGCAAGATAAAATGCTAAATGACAACAAAGTTGATGCCATTCGGTATAGTTCAGAGAAATATAAATGACTAAATACAACTTAAACTACTGACTAACAATAAATAGTAATATATATATTGAACAAAAAGTGAAACACAAGGCATGGCATTATAGGTTTGATAGCACAAATGAAAATAACACACTTGTTTATTTTTTTACAGATAATTCGAAGTTGCACAGATGTTAAAGAGCACATAGTTGTACGATCAAAACCCTTGACTATAAATGAACTTAAATATGCTACAGTTCAATCACCGATTAGGTTAATCACTGAAAATAATACTGTGATTGAAGTATATCCCATGGTGAGTGACGTAATAGATTTGATATATACAAAGTAAATCTGATTTATATTCCAAATAACAGTTATCTATATAATACAAGTAAGGTTTATTGATTGAAAGGTATCATTTAATCTACTGACTAATTTTATATATAACTGATTGGAATATCAGTTTCGGGGTTGTGAAGATTGTTAAGTTTTTGATTGAGATCATGAACCGATTGATGTTAGACCATCATTGAAAACCTGGAAGCACTGGACGGCAGTTTAGTCCTTTCGCGGGACTCAGCAGTGCGCATCCACGATGCAGCTCGCGGGGTTCGAACCCAGGGCCTCCAGTCTATTAATTAATCCCTGGAGTATTCTATACAGTATTTATAAAACTAGAATTATTTATAACTTTGAAAGAACTATTTCTCTCTGTATCTTTTGGTTGAAATTTCTAATAGATGGTGATTACTGAGCATTAAAATCGTTCACAGTTATTATACGGTAGTTGAATATTTCATTATCACATACACTGAACAGTTAGAACAAGTCTTTTAATCCAGTGAGTACACTGTACTTATCAATTACAGACCTGAACATCAACCGGAAGATTCAAACAAACAATACGAGAATGAATATAAAGTTCATCTCATTGCACAAGCCAATGGCTACCTGGACACAGTAACTCAGCGGTTGATGCGATGGAGCTTGGAGCGAACGGTTCTGGGCTCGAATCTCGCGAGGCGGGACCGTGGATGTGCACTGTTGAGGAACCCCACAGTAGGACGAAACGGTCGTCTAGTGCTTCCAGGTTTTTTGTGGTGGTCTAGCTCTAACTGACTCATGATCACAACTATCAAAATTTCTATAAATTGTTTAGTTTTTGTTTGATTTCCAGTAATTCATTCAATATGAATCACAAATAATTTCACTTCAGTTTATTTATTTACTGAAATTGATGTATATCAAAAGAAACTTGGGTCAAAATGATCTCATGTAATCTATTTAATATCGACATTTAGTTTCATAGACTCAGTGTTACACACACATACTGATTGAACTATATATCATCAACACTAGAACACTGTTAAGTAAAACTCAATGAAATAATATTATAATCCATCTATTTTGAAAGCACCTTTTAGCCTAATCCGTATTCCGAATGCTACTGGTTAATAAGAATGAATCGCTTTTGCTAACCTATTAGACTATAAGATAGCTTTGAATGATTGAATAAACTTCAAATATCGTGATAAGATATATCACTGATTTTATCCAAGTTGTGCGTATCAACGTGTTAATTAGTTCTTTATTAGTAGAGTTGAGTTGGTTAACTCATTGGCACAAATTTCTTTTATGACTCCTATGAAACTATGTTTTTATTAACCCCAATTCTTTTATAGGTCAGTTAGATAAATACATTCACTATGTTACGAATATTTTTTATTTTGTGAACCAACCAAATGTCTAAAACCTTGTCTATTTTATGAAACTACTCGTAAGTAGTTAAATTGATTGAGTAAAAATATCTGTGATGCTTGTGTTGTTTTTTTATAACAGAATGGTACACTTATGATCGATGGTCACCTAGCTCAATTTGAAACTGTGAAATTTGTCAATGGTGAACTATACTATTTATCCAATCCATTAAAACGTACTGTGGTAAGTTCAAAATGTTGAATTTTGAATACTGGATGTTAAAAAAGACTGAATTGATTTGAAAAATGGAATGACTTCTGGTTTTGATTAAATATAACGAAGACGTTTGATTTTCTCAGCACGAAGTAATTCAAAAATTTTCCGTTTCTTACTTCTTGGTCGATCCTGGCGATAACATATTGAGTAGTCGCCAGTTAGAAGTGAGCAGTCCAGTTAAATCGACATCTAAATAATATACATTCTTTTCGCTGCATATTGTCAGCAACCACGATACCTATGATTGAGCATTTTTTTTAACTTGTACAACGAAAGGTTGTACAGTTTTCAGAAACGTACCTGAATAGATTATACGACTAATAGTCATAATAATATATTAAAACAAACAAAATTAAATAACATGTTGAAATATCTAGATGGTAGGAGCAGATAGCCCGTATGTTCAAGCAGACCGCAATTGATTGACTGAACACACATTATATTCAATTTAAGATATAAGTATTTACATAGAATAGATTTATCAAACATGACTGTTTGACTTCCACGTAACTTAGAATCTAGAGTAGCAGTCTATTCAAATAATGAAATGTATATTAAAAGACAATAAGCTTACAAAAAATTTTCACCGTAATCGATCAGTCAGTCAGTCAGTTATCAGTCAAGAAACACTGTTTAGTTATAAAGCAATCAATGATAAAAATGCAATGAAAACTACTGTGAAATGCTGATATTGTTATGATTAATAATGAACCAATACATGTTAATTATATTATAGTTACATATTAGGAGTTGGACTAGTGTTATGAGTTAGAGTTAAGGTTCTTGTCACTAGTCGGTATCAGTTAAATTGCTTAAATGTCTGGGTTAAGTAATAGAAGTTAGAGTTATGTGTTGGAATTATAAATTAAGGTTGAAGATTTCATCCTGAATTGATGTTAACTATAAGGCAGCGATGCCATGCCACACTTTTATTTACTTAGGGTTATTATTTCTGGTCAAGAGTTAGAGTGAGAGAATACAAAGTTCATTATACATTGATTCACAAATGCTATGGTACGGTCAGGCATATATAACAACGGTCAGGAATGTCCTACTCACTGTCCCCTCACAGTGGGGGTGTTGTTTATAAACTCAAGAGGACAAAAACCGAATTTCTGGAACTTGAACCAGGTTGGTGATTATTGAACATCTACTTAGGATTCTTGAAAACCACTGGTGCACATAAACTCTTGGATCCTGAGGAAAAAAACAGTGTATGAGCCTATTGTTGGTCACTGGCTACCATGACAGCACATCTCAAAAACGTTTCCCCACCTTTTTTGGATTAGATCTCTGGGTCAAAGGCTCGGGTAGTGGTCTTCTAATAAAACCACTTGCTTTAGCTCAGGCAACCGGGGATTATCTCAACCCTCACGAAAAGTTTGCGTGTTGCATGTATATTTTGGTGTCGCTTTGTACCAATGTTTATGTGTTTAAATAAATGAATATAAACTTTGACAGAGTCTACATCAACAGTAGTTATTTCATGTAATTTGACTAAAGCACCATGTCATATTCACCATTTGGTTGCGTAGTATGTAATTAAAGAAACCAATTTCAAACAGTTTGGAAACTAAATATCACCAGTTTTCACTTCATTAACAATAGCATACAAGCAACGTTGCATTGTGTTGTTTTTATCGCGTGAAAATCCGTTAGGTACCATCTTAATTGCGATCGGTGAGCTCAATCCCGTCAGTTTAATATAATTTTATCATGTTTCCTTATGAAATAGTTGAAATAAGTTATTCTCATACCCTGTACTACTGTAATGAACAGAACACGGGTGGGGACAATCGAAAGTACTTAACACAAACTTACAGGACTTGTTAATAAAATCTAGTCTTTTGTGCTGATCGACTTTTATTGATCAAATCAAAATGATCACAGCCCATTTTTTTATGTACAACTGGTTGAATTTGATCAGAGGAAGGAATTTTTGATCTAAGTTTCATGCTAACTAGATATGACTGCAATCATCAAGATAATAACGAGAATGTAAATTAATCACCGTAAATACCTCAGCCCTACATGAGAAAATAATTTTGAAGACTGAGGCAGTGAATGATATGAAAGCGAATATCACGGAGATAAAATTTTCCAAAAATAATACAAATAAACTAACTAGATAATTGTAAAATAACGCAAAACCTAGATCCAAGACTTTCTATTGATCAAACTGAACCAAATAAGATCTAGTTTTCATACGCTGAAATCTGTTGTGTACATACTGCTCAACGCGTGCCTATTTATATCATCATCAGTTAATGTTTGAATAATCCTACGGATCATATATGGAACTGAATTTCGATCAATCACTCTTGATATGCGTTCATCATGTACGGATTGTTTTGATATTGTCATTTTATCTTAAGATTTTAGAATAAATGAATTATGGCTATCAAAGGAATTCAGGATTTCCGTTTAGTCTTATTTGAGACTCTTCAGCTTTTACGCATATACATTCAGCTTACGAACCACAAGTACGATGAAATGAGCGTCGTAAATAGTTATAATCTATGGTTCTATCTACTGAATCCTGTATTCTGTTAAATATTAATCATAAATATAGTTATAGCAATTTGAATAGGGAACAGAATTAAAACTCTTCAATTTAATTACTAACACCATTCTTTCTTTCTTTCTTTCTATCCTTGATATTCTTGTTTCAGCATATTTACAAACTGAACAGTTACATTTTTATATTGATAACTATATCCATTCTAATTATATGTGGATTTATATCATTGGTTTTATATAAAGGTATACAATGGTATAGAACTGCAAGTATGAGACAATTCCATCGTGTAAGTTTTTACCAACAATCTCATTATCATTAGTAGTAATTATAACAATAAAGTGTAATACGGGTTTAATTTGTTTGTAATTGATCTGATTTAGAGTATCATTGAAAATTAACAATCACTGAACATTTGTTTTGTCCTTGTACGGGCCTCTATGATAGTGAATATTCATAACTGCTCCTAGGATTGAACCAAGAGTATTTAGGTTCATTCAACAAGATTGTAATAACCAGCTTACTAACCGTGTTTCTGAAGATCTAGTAGAAGTCGTGACCGATATAGTTCAACTATTTACCACGAATTGGTTGAATTGAGAATTACACCTTTGGATGCTGAACCATTATTTCTAAAAGCTAAGTGTTTGCCGAGAAATTCGAGAATCCTATTTTCAACTTTTCTGAAGGACTCATTGATATACGCTGCTCAAGATTTTCGTAGTAGGCCAAAACAGGCACTTATTACTCCTTGAGTTTCAATAGTAGCCCAACTGAGGTCAATCGGTAACCGATACAATTTAAGAATCAAACCACACAAAACTCCTTCAAGCTAACTCTTTATAAACATTGTTACTTATCTATGCAGATGGTTAGTACATAATGAAACTATTTAGATCAATGTTCAGAGCTGATTATCAATTTTAGACTATTAAAAAGAGGAATATTTTACGTGTCTGTGTCAGTATACTTACGAACTAAGTACATATGTATTCACTGACTTATCTTGGAGCTATACATGTTTTGAGTGACGTCTAGTAATACTACCTATATTTTCTCATCAAAAATACTCTGAAGCGTAAGTTATAAATTAGTCAATGACTTTAATAACCTATTGACATGTTTTATTCCCATTTCTTTCCCCATTCCCATATTTTGACCTTCCTCAGCTACCTAGACAAGTTTTTATACATCGAGCATTTTGGAAACAACAAACTGACGATATCCTTGTAGAAGAAACTGAAGATCATGCCAGTTCGTAAAATGTGCACAAAATTACACGAGGAATCATGAACACACCATCACTACTTCTAATAATGCTAACAGCTATAATCAGTACTATATAAAGTGAATAACAGCATAAGTCGTCGTTTTCTCGAAAACTTCTTAATATATATTTTCATTGTTTCTTTTTTACGTATCACCAAAAATCATTATTATTATTGTCCAACTCCTATTCCCTTTTGTTTTCATAAATAAATTTCAAATGACTTTTAGAGTTTTCAAAATTAGTAGGCTGACTAAATCTAATCTATTAGCATGGGTAATATATCTGAGTGAAAACAAATTTTAAAGTCGACACTACAATACAATACTAATGATACTATGTGTCCAGTCTGTTGGATATAAGATCAGCACGCGACGTTAACCATGAAGTTTAACGATCTGGAGCCCCTTTGAGGCCACTGTCGGTCCCAGGCGATAAATGAGGAGGGTTCGGCATGGGGTTAGTAACCCCATCCCTTAGAAAATTAACCCGCTAAAAAACGCCAACCAGGAAAATAATTCAAACTATTTAAACTCTGCCCTGGGAGTTAGAAGATCTTCATTTAGAAGAGTTATGACGCCTCATGATGAATTTGACAATGTTGTGTTGAAAATGATGAACGTTTGCATCTGTTACGTCATAAACACTTCGAAAAAGTGTTACTTGTAAATTAGAAAAGTTATTTAACAAAGGTCAGAATGATTCGTAGTAAAGTGTCAAATTATCATCACTATGATAGTAACATAATATGCCATGTGAATAAAATGCATAGTAGGAGAATTTCGCCTTCTTAATCGAGGTAACAATTGTAATTACAATAGCGTTGTGTGTATATAATATGTAATAATACGAGGTAATAACAATAAGTCTGTTATACACAGTTTAGGTATCTGGTGCTCCAGTCGTGGACCAAAGTAAACATAGAGGTTGGATATATCTCTTCTGGATACATAAGTCTAATTTTCTGGAATTGATCCAGATGGCTTCAGATATATAGAGGAGCCGTAATCTAGTTCCTTTAGGTAGATCGTCTGGAACTTGATATAAAACAGAGAAGCCTTCATCTATTTTAACTTGATGTTCACTATCAACCAAGTGAGAAAGAACGGAGCTGTTAATCGATTTAATGACTCCTTTTCACGATCACACAAGGATAATGCCCTCTGAGTAGGCTTATGTAATGAACGGCTCATTCGCCTTTCCAATCCCTATCTTTTTCGTCTCGTGTACGCCTGGTGCGTTACACCCAATTAACAGCTTGACATTCTCATGTTCTACTCCTGGAAAATTTGTGTCCTTTAAGTTGGACCAAGACGCTATCTGATATGCCGTTGGTACAGTTCTGTATACTGACAGTAGTCTTTCAGCCGTCAACACTTCCTGGATCTAAACAGACGACGAAAAATCTAACGAGTGCAATTCTATATCGACCTCATTGCGTACCGACGACGATTTATTATCACGAGACTTCAAGTACACTATTTCAGGCTTTTCATCGAGGCCTAGCTCATTGGCCAGGTCATCTACAATGAGAGAAGTGTCTGATCCACTATCTAAAAAGGCGCGGATCCGAATGACCTCCTTGCCATGATTTAATAGTATAAGAATTATAGCTAACGCGACTCCTTCCCGAGCGTAATTTTTGTGCTTTTCAGCTCCGTCTTCTGTTTCTCTACACTGATAAGCGATGACATGAACGTCCTGAAGCGTTCGTCCGCCCCCCACTTCATATGAAGCAGAGTATGGTACCGCCAACCGCACCCTTCAACCAAGTATGGTCTTGGTGACTGACATTTTTCCGCTACATGGTTCGCCTTTGAACAAACTTTACACAACTTCTGCTTAAGAACAAATCCTTTCTTTTCACTAACATCCTTATCTTCAAACTTCTAGCCCTGGTCTAAAGAATGATTCTCTGAGCACTTCAAACAAGATGAACTAAGGTAACCATAGCCGTCATGTAAGGGAACATTGTTATCACCAGTACTTGTATGGGATATCCTTACTGTGTTGTAATCTGCACTAGATTTTCCCTTTACGATACCAACATCTCTATGGTCACCATTACTACCACGGTTATCATGTAGGCCAGATCTGGTATTAGTCATATCAACCTGTTCCTTAGCAAACTCAGTAAGATAGCCAAACAAAGGCTCTCAACCTCTCTTAATAATCTCATGAGCACCTTTAGCCACTCTTATTGAACATGAGTTGGTAATTTCAGTAGTTGTCAATAAATGTGCGCGCTACGTGTTTTTAATCAAACGATTCCTCCAAAGACTTTAAAACTTGGCGATAACCTACCTCCGGTTCCAGCATAGTACACTGAAGACACGTAGCGATCCTCCGTCACAATACTAGTTTAAGAAATTCAACTTAGCCATAAATCCAATATATGTTTCGAAGTTTCTAATAAAATCCCAGTAAGTTATTAGTGTACCATCGCATCTTCTTTCTTTGGTAAATACAAAATTTCTAGTATTGCATTCTCACTGTCGTTTACTGATTGACCGGGACGTTCGGTTCTCTAGAGACGTAACTTTCTAGTTCAATTTCTTTTTGCAACGTTGTACATATCGCAATAATAATTGTAATATATCAAACGTTGGTCTACAAATGACCAAAAGATATTTTGTTATATTTTTCTACTTCTGAAATAATATTTAAGTATATTTGCAGCTTTGTTAACAATTTCCAGGAGTTAGAGATCATTACTTAATGGTAGGACATAGCTTATTTCCACATCTAAGGGATCGAGATCTTCATTAATATTTAAATTTCTGGCCTAAAAAAAGAAGTAAACAAGAAAATAATAAGGTATTCGGGAATAGACCATTTAAAATTAAAATTGTTTATTGAATGATGGCATGAAAATCAGCTGAATGACAAAAATAGTCTTCAGTACTAATTTGAACAAACAAACAACGAATTGATAAAAGTACATTATCACTGTTGAATTAATCAATACCATGTAAGATGCTTTTATTGTCGGATGCGCACTGCTAAGGGATCCCACAATAGGACGAAACAGTCGTCCAGTGCTTTCAGGTTTTCCACGGTGGTCTAGCTTTAAGTGACTCATGAATCCAACTACTAAATTACTACAATCTCCACAAAACCCTTTCTGATAATACTTATAACGGTAAAGTGGATATGTATCTATAAATTAAGTACCATTCTTCTTATTTTGATTCCTACTTCCATTCAACCTTGTTTATTTCGGATGTTGATCTGTGTTCTGATTTGTGGACTTGTCGAGTGAAGTAGTGCCCAGGAATACTAAGCAATAAGAGTAATTGGGTTTTAATAAGAGATTTGATGACATCATTTGATGTCTGTAATTAAATTTCCTTAAGGTCGGTGGTGTACTATGATTTTTACAAAAAGATCATTACTAAGATACTTTATCATTTGCAAGCAATTAAGTAAAATCGTTTTAATAACATACGTTGTAAAAATGATGGTTATAATTGATAATCAACATACTTGAATAGCAACATCCCCATAAATTGTTCCTTTTGTGTGAATTTGAACAAAACTGTCGGCTGAATTACTCATTGGATTCCCTGTATCAAATACAAACTCTGTTGCAAAATAAACACGTCTTAATTTCGTACCCAGTTCTAATTCATCACCTTTTAGAAAGAATTGGAAATGTTGCATGTCGAATAGGCCTAAAGAATGACAAAATAAACATTTACATTGTTCAGTAGAATAATTAATTAGGGACTTGATATTCATGAGGTTCGGTCTTCAGTGTATTAACTTGTGTGTAATGAAGATGGTATGAAAATGAGCGGTCTCAAATTAAAGCATGGTCATTTTAGGACCAGCCCCCTAGTTGATGTACTATGGTGTTTCTTCCTCTTTTACAGATGATTGATTACTAGGTAGTGGCTGACATCATGCTTGTTTTTCACACTGATCGGATTATGCGGTTCATGGAGAAATACTGAGTTTTTGTGTACCTGGAAGTACGGACAAGAAACGCCAAAACTGTTTCATGCTAATTGGTAGTGATCAATTAGGTGTACTTGTACTCTGAAGGGGACCGATATATACTGTGGATTTCTAATCCAATTCAGTCAGTTTCACAGCTTTTGATATTACCACTGAGGTTGTCGAGTCACAACTGAGTTCCTGTTTGACTGAGATTTTGACAGAGTGTTGACCAATGTCATGTTAGTTTGTTCTCTAGTGATTATTGAGTTATAACGGTTCATAATCCGTGGAGACTACTTCCAACTATTTGCCTAGACATCAATGAAATTGGTTGATTAACTACTTTCTTTATTGAATGTAGTGATTTATCAATCTAGTCACTCTTTTCACTTAGCCGTATTTTGGCTAATGTATCTTGTACTCATGTTATACATTTGATGGACTGTCCGGCAGGATATACTATTGAATTTTTTTATTTCATCAGTTCAAGTCTAATAATCTAAAGATTCCATTGTCTTCGGTAGCCTTTCATAAGCAATTCATTCTGATGACCTAAGGTGAGTATAAGCAAATCGCGTGCCTGTGCCATTTTATTTCAAGATCAAATGATAGATAAGATTTTAAAAACGAGTTATACTATTTGTTGAAGTTTATTAAGCGCGTTCTCAACATCTCATCCAACATGTTCTTGACTGAGTTAGAAATAAAAATAGTATGTATACCTATGATTTGAATACAGTGTTATTTACTAGGGTCATTGAAATTTCTTATTCATTTCAGTTTACTCTACTACATATTGGGTTTGATTTACCGTAGGAAGTGTTTATCGTAAAGGAATCGAACCATAAAATACAACACATTCGCTATTCGAAAAATTGATCCTATCGATAACAAAATGAATGAATCAATGAATGAATGAAGGAAATTCACAACTTACCTAATACATGATTACCATAATTCTTCGAAATTTTTAAATGTCTTGCATATCGTGGAATCACGTATAACATACGATATTCTTCATTCATTGGGACTAAGATGGATTACAAAAAGAAACTAATTAGAACTTCCCCTGTTTAATGAATGAATAATGGAAATGCTTACAAAGGAAATAGCTGATGAAGTGGGGCGACTCAAAAGTTTACAAATGAAAAGACCACGTTGTCTCAATCAAAAATCTCCTGATTATAGTTTTAGTATCAGTATCAGTCTGAATTAATTCGCTTAATAACAATAATTTTCTCAATGTATTATAGAACATCTTAACATTATCCGGTTACCAACTATTTTGTGATGTGACTAAAAGCTTTCAGAATAATAGCTTAAGTCATCTAGAGTGATGAACAAGATCTATCATACGTGTTACTGACTAATAACTGGAGATAATAACCAGTTATCGAAGTTAAGAAACATTCTAGTTAGCAGATTTAGATCTCGAAGAAGATCTAGCATCATCCAAAATTACTGATATAAAAGTCAATTAATTTACGCGTAAAAGTCTATCTAATCGAAACGGTTAGGGTAATGAAATTATTAAATACGAGTTTATATATATATATTTGAGATGAGGGAAACTGAACTTGTAGGACTACCTACATAAAATAACAAAATTGTATTTTGAATTGTATGACTATTAAGTAATTGGTCTACTGTATTTTCTAAAGAAAATATGTTCCTCGTATGGTTAACTTCCTCTTTGATACAATTTGTTGCTATATAACTAATTAATTACCTCAATCATTTGCTATCTGCCAGTCTTGTTATCAGTGGGGATTGTACATGGTCTCAAAGACGGTGAAGAGTTCGCATCATTCGGGGAACGTTTTTTACTATCGATTACATGCACTCCAACAGAAAAGTAGAGTAATCAATATTTCTCAATACATTTTATGTACATCTTACTGTGGAGATAAATATTCGACAAAGTTGAACATTCGGAAAAGCCCTATCTGAATTTATTGTTTATATTTTTGCCGTATAATTATTAAATATTGTACTCTCCTACTTGTAGGATCTTTTTAAACACAGAAATCACTGATGTTCTACACTTCCAAAATTATCGTTGATTCATTACAGACCTATCAATCGGTTTTCTTCCACTTATGTCGCAGTTATGTTCAGGATTTCATTCTATATTATTTTATGAATAGTCCATAAATTTGAACTGAATAATTAGAAGTTATCTTCTTTCTGGGTTGTTCTCTATCCTAGCGGTCAGACGAGTAAATGTCAGAAATTGTATTCTGGACCGATGGTGATGTAGTGTTACTCCTGGCTGTTATCTCATTGGTTTGCCAAAATACATTGTTACTGGATATATGGTCTAGGCGAGCTAATCAATACTCGGAATAAATTTAAACAACTGCTCTCCTGTCTTACGCTTCAGTCCCACGAGCCTTAGATAACTGGACATGAAAATATGTTTATTTTCAGCAGCATCAAAAGTGTAAGATAGATCCAAAGTATAGATATCTTTAGTGGCTCGTGAATCTGACTCCATTTAGATCGTAAGAATGTTCGTTATCACCTATCCTCGTATACAATTATCGACTTAAATCACGTTAGTCAATAACGGAATTTAGGTAAGTCAATTAACGAGAATGGCCCTTGAATACACATATTTTGTGTGTAAAGTGAATGCGATAGAACAAAGCGAAATGACGCGCGAAGTGGAGATGGCTGGTAAGCCAACTCCATTTCCAGCCGGGCGTTACGCAATATTTATAGGCAGACAAAATAAACTACAGACACGTGATTAGACATGGATATGAAGTGTACACACATATACGCTCATATAAAAGCAGTCAAGACTGATAAGCGAATAATTAACAAGGTCAAAGTATGACTCAAGTAGAATGAATAGATTGGTTTGTCCGAAAACTAGAATAAGATATATTATGGGCTAAAAATAATAACTGCCACTACATATCTTATGAACCTGATATACCTTACGGGAATTTCATTACCACTGCTTGTACACCTTAGAGATAAGCTTTTATCAGTTAAACGTGAATAAAATGAACATTAGATAAACCGATGTCACAATACTGGGATATTAGTTGAAATTGGTGGGAAACGTTAACACTGACAAGACTTTTAATTCATCACCCTTTGAATTTTTCTCACGATGCAACGTTGAAAGAAGTGTCACCAAAATAATAAAAAATGTTTTAAATTTAACGGATTGGTAAGATGATGCATCTGATCAAATATTTTCACTAAAATTCCATCATTATCGGAAGTTTCCAATACGTGCTATGTGAAAGTTCTCAACGTTCAATATGTGTACTGAAATCAATCAATTTCAATTCCCCTGTTTTCATTGAAAATGATGATCATAATAAAAAAACAATGTACACAATGTTTCTGATAAGGAGAGCTCAGATTATCTAGTTTCCATATTAATAAATAATAGTCCTAACCAGTAAGGTGTGCCATGATAGCACTTTTTAAATTTATACTTCCATGGTAATTTCGCTCTTATCTGATTGGTTGTTATCACTTTTAGTCTGTTAATTTTGTTGTATCTCAAGGTCAATGTTTATTAGTAACCATACACATGGAACTGCACCTTTGTAGTTCGGATTTCTCTAACCTTTTTAAATACCAAGAATTTTCTAAACTATATTTTCCCTGAATTCCATAACATTGGGATAACTGTTAAAACATCATGCATCTATCACCTGATCTAGAAAGTTCACATTAGTTCCTCTTTGTATTAGAAGAATATTAATCGTCCGTAACACATAAAAAAAATACTTACGAACTCGTTGAATTCTATGTTGTATAAAACTACAAGTTGAATTATTCCCCTGACAAACTCCACATTGATCTCTTCTAGCTGTGCCATTCACCTGACCAAGACAATCGAAATTCTATACAAAAAATATTAACAAACCCATAAGTTTACCCTGAAATTTAAATAACTGTTCAGTTACGAAACACTACATTTTAGAGTTTAAATCATGAATCCATCTTAGCTAGACGATCATCGAAAACCGAGAACCACTGGATGGCTATTACACCCTAGTAGGAGAATTATCGATAATGCATATTCACGACCAGGCTATCGGGGATCAAACCCAGGATCTTCGGTCTTGTATTGCTGAAATTTTCGAGGAAAAGTACTTCAACTTTAAGTTCAGTACCAATTGATTTGTATCACTGATATGGGAATTTTATTCATTCCATGTAAATGCTACGTTTAGACTTAATAAATGTTCTTAGAATGTTTATATATTTATTTCAAAAACTTTATTCAAAAATAGAATATCATATATACTAAAGAAGTTGATGGAAGACCTTGTTATCACAGAAAAGAAAGTAGGATTTCGGTTATTCCTACTATTTTCAATGATCAATAAATGTACTTCATCTGATCCTGAAGGTCACTGTTCCGTTCATTTAATGAGTGCCTAGTACACATTGTAACATATCTTCATCATGAATTCCATTTCAAACTTTAAACTATATTATTATTTGTATTTTCTATTATACATTTTAGACTGTGCTACAACATACTGATATATTTATAGATGAATGTCGTGGACAACTAAAGATACTTCAAATGAAATCTTTGGTAAAAATTACACTCCAATATTTAACATTTCCTAACTGAATAAATGTAAAAATGACAGAGACAGATGGGTGTAATATAATTATTGGAGATAATATTAGCCCATATATATAATTGGAAATATTATTTGAAGTTATCTATACATCAATTAAAAGTACATTAAATTAATCTTGAAGGTTTTGATGAAGTTCCACTCTTTAGAATTAGCGGTTTAATAATAAAACTTTCATCATCCATCTGAACAATGTATTTAGCACAACCTCCAAACAAAAGTGATCCTTAAGAATTTTTCCACAAGCGTCTAGTAGCTCGTTTCATTGATCAAGAATTTGATTAGTTGTTTTTACTACAATTGTTATAAGCATTATATCAGACAAAGTGGATACTTTCTTCATCTTTATTTTCATAATCGCTCACTAAACTGTCAAATGTCTCTGCGTATTTTTACTTATATTAATCCATGCGGACAACTGTGGATATATATTTGACTGACGAATATTAAGAATACCAGAGAATTTTTGGAATCTTGGTACTCAGTCCAAGTAACAAAGAGTGAACAAATTGATATCGATCCAATTTATTACCCAATCAGAAAAATCATGAAAAAATATGGGACCAAGAATCAGACCAGATCAAAAAAGGATGCAGACAATAACATATTAAAGGTCAAAAATAACCAATCAAGAACAAGGTTAACGGAGCAATCCATTAGTCATATGTAGAGAAATTCAAATATCCAACTTTTTTCTGAAGTTCATTCTGACGATGTTGTCGTCCCCAAATGCCTTGATAAGGCCGAGGGTGAGGAGAGTGCATATACACTCTCTCTCGAAATGCTCTCACACGGTCACGCGTATACAGCCACTACCAGAAAAGTCCTACTCACTGCCTTTTCGCGGCATTACGGTTGTTTACTATATCGAGAGGACGAAAAGCGAATATCCGGTGCTTTAACGGAGCTGGTGGATATGCAGGATCCACCTTGGGGAGCAGGAAAACACTAAGTCTAAACAAATGGTACATATTGGCCCAAGTATCCTGAGTTTAGTCATTAATATCAATAACGAGAAATTACAACTTGATCATAATGTCAAAGATAAAATGTTCTAGAGTTAAATAAATAAGTTCTTATATCATTCATGTTAGAAATTTACAGCAGACAAAACTGTCATATTCTAGTGAAGACTAAATTACGAGTAACTTCCGAGAACTATTAACGAACTAATATTATCAGAATTGATTACCTCAAGTGGTGTTCGTCAGGGCTGTTCACTCTCTCCATTCTTGTTCAACTTTGTCGTTGACGTACTTTTAGAGATAACACTTTCGTCGTCTAGATTTCCAGGGGTTGAACTTCTACCGGGAGGTTCGCTTGTTGACTTAGAATATGCTGATGACATAGTTTTATTTGGTGAAGACGCTGACAAAATGCAGAGTCTTCTGACCACTCTAAGCGACAATGCAAGCATGTTTGGGATGCGATTCTCCCCCTCGAAATGCAAAATGTTGCTTCAGGATTGGGTTGCATTGACACCCGAACTAATGATAGGGAGTGAAGTAATTGAGTAATCGATCGCTTCAATTATCTTGGAAGTCTCATCAGCCCTTGTGGTCTGGTGTGTGACGAAATCTCAGCACGGATACAGAAGGCTCGACTAGCTTTTGTCAACTTGCGTCATTCATGACGTAGGCGAGATATCCGTCTATCAACCAAAGGACGGGTTTACTGCGCAGCAGTTCGTTCCGTCCTACTTTATGGCAGTGAAACATGGCCGGTAAGAGTAGAAGATATTCCTAGGTTACTAGTATTTGATCATAGGTGTCTTCGAAACACTGCTCGTATATCTTGGGACCATCGAGTAAGTAATGCAGTTGTTAGGAAACGGGTACTAGGTAAGGATGGCAAATCAATTGATGACGTAGTGAAACTTCATCAGTTGAGATGGCTGGGACATGTGTTACGTATGCCCAACCACCGACTGCCTCAATGTGCGATGTTTTGTTGTATAGGAGTAGGTTGGAAGAAAGCTAGGGGCGGCCAAACCAAAACATGGCACAAGTCCATGAAGTCACTGACAAGTAGACTGAGTCATATTGGTAGGTGTAAACTACCTGGTTGGGGACCGCGAGATGATAGCAACCGATGGTTAGAGACCCTGAATTACATGGCTCAAAATCGTTTGCAATGGCGCAGGTGCATCCACTCTTTGTGTTTCCCAAATTCCAATCTTCTGAGCTCTTCATGTCCCTTTCTTTTTTCTCTTTCCAAATTTATTTCACTGGATTATACTCGTCGAATAACATCTTCAAACCCTAATTTTTCTGATTACAGATTATAATTTCACTACACCTAGCACTACGGGATTTGAATCGACCACTGCATCTCTGTGCTAATGTGGTGTGGCAACTCGAACTGATGTACGTACGTACGAAGTTCTACGTTGTTACTGACTGACTGACTGACTATCTATATATTCTTATGGTATAATTATTCAGTAATTAGATTTTGTATATCTATATTAATCTTATTATAAGCTTAATTTTGATCTATAGATTATTATTGTACGATTTACGGTTCTTAAGTTGTTATATTCAGTTTATTGATTATCGTCTTCCACGTTCACAGACACTTTTTGGCATGATCTTGTATAAATGTTATTTCCTATTTTGTGGTGTGATGTGATCTGTTTGTCTGGTGTATAAACCAAGTATGTTCGAAACAATAAATGATTCGCATAGTGGAAGCTGGTATTAGTGTTCTGGACTCAACTAGACGGGCTAGGCGAGCAAAGGACCAATAAAGAAAGCTAGGCTGCTCGTACCAGTCGAAAGTTATTGGTTTAGCTCAGTACTAAGATCGAATAAGTCGTATTTCAATTAGCGAATAAATCACATGATAACGAGCCAGCCTTTAAAGTCACAACAAAAAACTGCTTTCAAATTTCATTTATCAATATAATAAGTTTGCAATATATTCTAAATTTGAAAGATAGTAACGAATTATCATCACTTACAATACAAACTGATTGTATACAACGTGCATCAGGATTATCATATGTACATGGTGTTGAATCTCTAACTGATATTGATGCATCAAGAATTTGACCATTTTGTAATGAATAACAACTTAAACTACATGGTCCTTGGAAATAAGAAAAGAGAATACAATGAAGTAACAACACAAAATAAAAATTACGATGAATTATTGCTGGTTTTGTGGTGAGTTCAAAAAATTGATAAGTCAATCACCTTCCAATGCACTAGTTTACCTATAGTGAATTAATCGTGGTAAATTTAATTAGAATACGAACATAGAATATTCTTTTCAATAAATTCTCTTCAGATTCTACAATTATATGGGTAAATTTACAGTCTGTAACTTTAAATGGTATACTTTGTTTTAAAACTGGTCACTTTTCGGAATATTGATTTGGATATGTAATTGTAGAACCTTAAGAGAATTTATTGGAAAGAATATTCATTGTTCATTTATCTGTGTTGTAATTAGAGTAGCTTATACATGCCTGTGTGTGCACATGTGTGTGTGTGTGCCTAGATACTGAAATTCAATAGAAACGATTCATGATCAGTTGTTACACGATCAAATCATATTCGATTATATCCCATACTAATATTTACTAACTGAATGCATACAAACAGGAGAATTAGAACGGACGAGCGGATAATATGTGGAAAACCTAGCAAGGACAGTGGGAAAAGCAGCAACAGAAAGAAATGTGAAACAATTATGTGACACAACGAACAAATGAGCAGGAAAATATAGTAAACTGGAGCGACCAGTCAAGAACAAGGAAGTATAACCAAATACTGAAATTCAAGAACATAGGAATGTGTGTGTAGAGCACTTTTAAGAACTATTGAATAGACCAGCTACATTAAACCTACTGTACATCAAAGCAGCACACTCAGAACTTCCTATAGCCATCACTCCAACAATAGTCGAATAAATCAGAATGACCATCAGACAAATGAAGAGTGGGAAAACACCAAGACCTGACAACACATCAACTGAAGCACCGAAGTCAGACATAACAGTAAATGGAAAGATCCTGCACGCTCTGTTCAGAAGGATTTGAGAAGAGGAACAAGTCCTGACGGATTCGGAGAAGATCAGAGGAAGTGTGAGAACTCAGCTGTAGAGGCATCACACTACTATGAGTACCAAGAAAGGCTTTTAACCGAGTGTTGTTGAACCGATTGGAAGATCCGGTAAACACCCAACTTCAAGATCAACAGGTTGGATTCTGTAAGAATAAGTTGTGTACCAATCAAACAACAACACTACGAATTACGATTGAACAATCAATTGAATGAAATTCTACACTATTCATCAACTTCCGTGACTATGAGAAAGCGTTTGGAAGTGTAGATGGGAGAACATTATAGGACCTTGTTTGACATCACGGAGTACCTGAAAAGATTGTCAGGTGTAAATTTGAATCTTGTGTATTAACTCATTATAATGTATTACTTACTTACTTACTTACGCATGTTACTCCTCGTGAAGCAGCATAGGCCGTTCACCAGCATTCTCCATCCAACCCTGTCCTGGGCAATCCTTTCTAGCTCCGTCCAGTTGTAATTCATCCTTTTCATATCTGCTTCTATTATCCGACGCAATGTGTTCTTTGGCCTTCCTCTTTTTCGCTTCCCTTCAGGATTCCAAGTTAGGGCTTGCCTCGTGATGCAGTTTGACGATTTGCGTAATGTATGTCCTATCCATTTCCATCGTCTTTTCCTAATTTCTTCTTCAGCTGGAAGTTGGTTTGTTCTCTCCCACAGAAGGCTGTTGCTGATGGTATCCGGCCAATGGATGTTGAGTATCTTGCAAAGACAGCTATTTATAAATACTTGTACTTTCTTGATTGTGGTTGTTGTAGTTCTCCAAGTTTCAGCTCCATACAGTAGAACTGCTTTGACGTTCGTATTGAAGATTCTCACTTTGATATTCTCTCTCTCTCTTACCCCATATTGACCATATTTATTCTGATAATTTATCTCACAATTTCATTTCGCTTATAAACTGATTTAAGTTAACACTTCATCACAATTGATTGATCACTGGGTGATCAATGTCATGCTTGTCTAGTCCTTATTAGTGCAGATCGAATGCTATCGATCATGTTGCAATGTGGCCACCAGTCTAGGTGACTCGACACTGCGGGCACTATGTATTGAGATTTAGATGGTAGTTGACTACCTCCAACTACCATCTAAATCTTAACACTTCATATTAGTCAGCCCCAACATTAACGATTTTATTTATATAACAAACAATTCCTGATTCACATATTACAATTTCCAAATGATGATGTATTTTGCCGTAAATCTGGCCAATTTTATGGATTATTAATCTGGATTTATAATTGTAGAACCTGATGAGAAATTCATTGAAAAGAATATTCTTCGTTCATACACTTGTGTTTTTAATATAATGGGAATTTTTCAGCAATTGAAATGACTTACTTTGAGAATAAATATAAGGTAACCACTTATGATATATTCCTCTTAATTTAAATTGATCAAATCGTGAACATTGTTCTTCTCGATAATCTATAGATTTTAAATGATCTTCGTTCTAAAAAAAGTAATTATAGACATAGCAACAATAATTAAAAGCCACCATCCAGAAAATACAGGTGTTTAATAACAATTGTCTACGCAAAATATTTCAGATCCATTGGCCGGACACTATTAGCAACAACCTACTGTGGGAGAGAACAAACCAGATCCCAGTGGAGGAAGAAATCAGGAAGAAGCGCTGAAAGTGGATAGGACACACATTGAGGAAAGCACCCAACTGCGTTACAAGACAAGCCCTCACATGGAATCTTCAAGGCCAAAGGAAAAGAGGAAAACCAAAGAAAACATTACGCCGAGAAATGGAAATAGACATGAGAAAAATGAACAAGAATTGGATGGAACTAGAAAAGAAGGCCCAGGACAGAGTGTGTTGGAGAATGCTGGTCAGCGGCCTATGCTCCATTGGGAGTAACAGGCGTAAGTAAGTAAGTAACAATAATTAAATGTTGCCAATGAAATAACTTGAAATTCAGTGAACAGTTAATCCAAGCCATTGTAATCAGTAAAATTGAATAGAGAATTGGAATGTGATATTCTATACAATATTCCATTAATTATAATTTGTGTGTATTCTATATAACGTAGAAATCAGTTTATTTAAATAGGGTTACCGTTTACGTTAATTATGACCATAGAAAGTTTTTTCTGAGGTCCATACTAATGAAAAAATCATTAGAAGACGATGACCATTAGAAATGATCTTTACTAAAAAGGCGGAAGACCAAGTGGTCCTAAGTTTAAAACGTTTGTCAAGTGACAGTTAAACGACTGTAAGTTGGTTTTTTTTTATCTTTCACGGTAGATTTTGAGTAAATAGCCATAAATATTTAAAAAAGCGATAGTGATCAGTTTAAGTGTCATGGAAATGTGTGCCCGATAAGTTCAAGTGTACAGTTTTTCTCACTCAATTAAATAAAGACATAACATACTGAGAAACAAATCATTTCTGGTTGTAACGATGATCGAACTTGGATCTGAATTACTGACTGAGTGATAACCAGAGCATAATTTTATTAAAAAGATAATCACTGAACAAATTATTGGTTTTCATTATCAATCTTAAAACAATAATAACCGACTATATTATTTTTAAAATTATTTAAATTAATGGACGAGAGGTTCGCTCTTACTCTTAATTACGGCTGTTACTCCCAATTGAGCATGAGATAGGTTTGAGGAGTGGATAAAGGGTAAGGCGTGAAGAACTATTCACTAGTGTGGGGGCAAATGTAAGAATAAATTTAAACCACAGTTGTCATAATGTTATTCATATTAGCCGTGAAGAGAAACAGACCAAAGAATACACTGTGTCAGGAATTGGATGCAGACATCAAAAGAACTAATAACACTTCGAAACAATTATAAAAGACAACGCACGACAGAGTAGGTTGAAGAATCCTGATTGGTGGCTTATGCCTCACTAGGGGTGACAGGCTCAAGTTTATAAATAATTATGTTCACTAAAAGACCTGAAGGTCTGATGTTTGACTCCTGATGAACAAGTGGATGCACACGGTTGAGGATTTTCATGCCAGAATGAAACATTTATCCAGTGCTTCCTGATTCCCAGTGATATCTTCATTGAGATCGACCTACGATGAATAAAATCTACGAATTAAATCAATCTCTATAAAATTGCTTCAACTAAATTGATTATCTTCACTTTCTCTCTATATATATCCGTTACTGTCATAAGTATTTGATATTGATAACCGATTATCTCGAGATGGGTTAAAAATGTGATAAAAACTGTTTTTTATTCATACTGATATCAACGTAAAGATAGCAACTTACTGTGTTTTTACCGCACAATTCATATTCAATCATACTCTCGTTATCATTGAATTCACATTTGTTTTGATTTCTTCCATAGTTCAATAGATTGAGCATAACAAAAATCACATGTTAAAGTGAATTTTTTTTTTCTCAAAAGAACTAAACAAGTAAGATTGTTCATAGCTATTTCAATGATCAATAAGTGTGTTGTATCCTGCACTTTCAGCGTTTATCTAATGAAGATTACTGGATAGAATCTGTATTCACCCACCAAAATGGACTGAAATAATAGCTAAACATGCTAGGCATAACACAATTATTGACAGTCAAAACACTATGGGCAACTTCAGTTAAAAATACTTCCCCAAACTTTTACGAATACACACGCAGATTGAAAACAAACATTGACATATTTAAACAAATTTCAGTAAGCCAATGTATTAAACAAATATGTGAAGATTCAACACTTTTCGCCAGATAAGGAGAGTATGGAGAGAAATGATCAATTCATCAAATCAATATATTCGCTGATAGCACTTAGTACAACCTCGCAAGTTAGGCTTACTGTAAACCATGAAGTTATAAAAAGTTAGTTTCAGGTTAATAGTGGATAAACTGCCACTGATCTGTTAAATTGGATTTGTTGTAAATTCTAAACCGCTTGATTGCTCACCTTATTAGAATTCTTGACTACAGAGTCCTCTTATAACAAGTTCACTGATGATGATGGAACCAATGACCCCATGACATTCACCAATGACTAAGAAATCTTAACACATATTGATGTACGAGCTCTTACTCCCGCTAGTGGCTACCAAGAAGACAAAGATAGCAGTTGAAATACTTTTTATCATGGCATTGTCAAAAGTCTATATACATATGGATTACACGGCTACAGCGCACAACAAATAGGAAATCATAATGTAATCATTAAGCGATACATGCCACAAAACTGAGCAGTATGTCCACAATAAATTAACGATCATTTTGGAAAGGTAAAAAATATATCAGTATAGGGGTTGTGGAGATTGTTAAGTTTTTGATTGAGATCATGAATCAATTGATGTTAGACCACCGTTGGAAACCTGGAAGCACTGGACGGCCGTTTCGTCCTAGTATGGGACTCCTCAGCAGTGCGTATCCACGATCCCGCGGGACCAATTGATTCATGATCTCAATTAAAAAATATATGTCAACAATGTAAGGTGGTTGTAAGTAGTCTACAGGAAACCCTAACCTAATCTTAGTTACAAGTTAGTTGACACTTGACGCCAAGGTATGCCCACAGTCGTAATTAGACTGATACTTCCTGGTAGATTTGATATATCATTTAAATACGATGTTGATTATGTTGATTAAGTATTATGATTCTTAAAAACAGACTATTCAGCACATAACGAAAGAAAATAGTTCTAAACTAAGCAACTGAGAACAACAACACACTGGACAGTTACTTCAAGAACAAGTTTCCACCACAAAACTCAGATATTTAGATTTCATGAGAATTAAGGTACCATCTAAAGTCACTGGGTCACAATGAATCACTTTGATTTTTTTCAATTGAAGACAGCTTGTCATATTTTGTTACCGTTATTCACAGTTTAGAATGTCGTTTGCCGTTTACCCTACATAATTAGTTCTTCGAGTGACTCCTGATTCGTCAATGAGCGAAAATAGACATATATGGCTGTGGAAATAAAAGGGAGTATTTTCGAGATGTGTACTCTGGTTTTTACGGTGTGCTCAATGTTTGTGCTTGTATTAGTAAACAGTTGTTAATTTAATCTGTTTCTTAATCATTTTTCAGATATTGTGAAACCGTGTGTGTCTCGTGAGTATGGCGTAGTGATCTATCGAGTGTCGAGTCGTTAGAGTCTAACTATTTAGTGCGTCAAATCATATTATTTATTATCAACTGCATAACAGCGAAAATCCAAGATTTTCAAAGTATTAACAATAATATGTAAAAGACTAATCTATTGCAGTCGTAAACATCACAGAGAAGGTTCAAACAACAAACACGTACATATAATACGTATTTGCACTGTTGAAAGGTCCCATAATAGGATGAAACGGCCATCCAGAGCTTCCAGGTTTTCAATGGTGGTCTAACACCAATAGATTCATGATCTCAACCAAAAACTTAATAATCTCCACAACCCCATACTGATAACACGTATTAGTTGGCAAAAACTTCCATACTATACTTTCTTCAAAGCATACATTTGGCTAGATAGGAAGTTATTCAATGTCACTAACCTATTAGAGCATTTTCGTGTACGATAACGTGTACCAATCCCATTCGTTCGTGAACAAGCGGACCAGGATGTATATTGATGTGATCTTTGATTGGTTTCTAGTTTCTGAGGTTTCAAGTCGATGCATTCACCATGAAAACATTCCTAAAGGGGGAAAATGATATAAAAGCTAATTACTCTAATATTGCTTGTGCAAAGCTTTTACGCTTTGTCACATGGAATCAATTCAAAACTTCACGTTAGATCCAAACAATAAAATAAAATCAAACTTCGGTATGATTGAAGGTTAGTATACTTAGTATACATCCACTGCTAGTCACTATCCATCTTTACATATAATGCTTGTGAATTAAGACTATATCGAGGCAATACGCACAGTAGGCACAGATACTAATAAGAGACTGATCAATTGCAGTCCTAAACATCAATGTGAAGACTCAAACAATCATTTACTTATCTGGTTAGTTGTCAAATCTGTGTATCATTGGAGCGGGGAGCTATTAACACTAATCAATAAATATCTTAATCCATGTTTACGATTTGCAACCACCGTAACAAATAAATTGAAATTAAATTACCAAGTTTTATATGCTTGTGCCTTCCCAACAAGTTTATCATATGAGTGGACCAAAAATCAGCCCCGTTACCATCCTGATGTAATCACGTGGCCAGAATTCTAACTTGTAATGATAAAGAACCAAAACATGTGACTTGGATTGAATTTTAGACTAATAAGTTCCACATACATGTCTGTCTTACTAAAAGTTTTGCTCAAGGTCATTCATCGAAATATTAATTTGTGGAGTCGATTTTCTCACGTAAATCAATGTATGAAAGACAGACACGTCAAAGCATGATTGTAAGGTATGATGACAAATACTTATGGAAGTTATCCGGCCATAATCTTGCAACGGGTTCAACACTTTCTGTCCGATTCTTCAACTTGAACTTATCCAATACACTTTATTCGTCCACACAAAGTGTCGGGTGTGTGGTACAAATTCACAGCCTGTTAACTTTAGCCAAAACATTTGGGAAAATACCATCGCTTTTGAATGATGAGTTCTATGGCAATTTTAGTAACAATAAACACACTTAATACACTAAATAAAATTTAAAGACTTCCTAAACAATTCATACCGATGTGAAGGCTTCAAGCATTTTATTTTTCGTACACTATGAGTACTTCAAGTATTTGAGTAATTCAACAAATTCTTTGTTGTATCATTGTTATCGCGCCTTTGTCTAATTCCTTACTGCTTATACCTTAGGATTGGGAACCAGTTCAATTTTTAAGACACAAAATCAGAAGATGAAAGACTAGTATAACTGAAAGGAGTTACAATCTGTTAATTTCTACTAAAGTAATATGGCTAACTATGCACTGCATAGTAAAAGAAAATTCAAATGTAAAAGTATAGTTTTGAGCATACAGTCAAAATGGTTTATACTTCATTAATCGCAAATTATCAGGTTAAATAATGCACAGTTTATAGCTAATCAAATAATTTATACATCTGTGCGACTATAATTTATGGACGACCTTTGAGCGACGCTGAAGTGACCTTGAGGTTGGACACCTACTGATTAAAACTAAATGAAGGTTATTAAGCAGTTAGAATTGTCATTTACAGTTGGTGGATACGGTTAAAGATTAGATTTCGGATTTTCATCACGAACTGACATAAACTGTAATGCCAAAACTCTATTTAGCCAAATGGATGAGTGAATTTCGAGCAAACATCCGGAAATTCATTTGCCCCATGGCAATTTTTTTAAAAAAAACCCCACCCACCCTTTTTAAAAATGTTTTTTCAACCCAAAATTGCAATATTTTTCATCCCGTTTAGTCCAATGAAATGGCTAGTTTTGAAGTTCGTCTTTAATTTGTTAGTTATGTTTTGTCGGATTGCTATAAAACATCAGTACTTGTCGACGAAGTACATTTTAATCATCATTATGGAGGACAGTAACGTGCCTAGTACAAGCGCGGTTGTTTCTCACGTAACAGAAATAGAGGAAGTCTTTTTGACAACGTTGTTTCTCGTTGCGTTCCCATCGATTGAAGCGTTGAAGTCCGCTATCACAAATTATGAAAGATCAACTTACTGTCATTATGTAGTTCGAGATTCGCATTTGTGCAGAAATGAAAACTCGCACATTAAATTTGTTTGTTGGAGACATGGCCGTATAACATCTAGCGGTTCGTCACAGCGGATTAGACGGAGGAGGTAATTTTATAAATGTTATTAACATTTTTTGTCATGAAGGGCTTCCCTGAACACTGAATGTCCGGCCTTCATGTATTGTAAGATTATCGACGGCTACTGGACTGTTGTACGTGGGAATGTGCATCACAATCACGAGTGCAATTCCCTAAGGTACCAAGGAAATTCATGGGTGCGCAGGTTAACAGAGGCCCAGTTTGCAAATGTTCGACAGCTGCTAATATCTGGTACTGCTTCATTCCACATTAAGAATTATGCTTACCATTCTTATGGGAAACTACTGACTGATCAAGATATCTATGATATGCGGTACAAAGTGTTCTCACAGGCGAACATTCCTGGTAAGCCATTTGCCAATTTATAATGTAATCGATAGGTGATTACGGGAAATTGAAAGCGCACATAACATCTTTGGGTGGGCGATGCGAATACGAATTAGACGATGAGAACTGTCTATCGTACTTTTTCTTCAGCACTGGTGATCAAAAGATTTTTGCAGACCGTTTCGGTGATGTTATTGGTTTGGACGGAACATACAAGACGAATAACGAGAATATCTATTTATATCAGGTCGTAGCCCTTGATATGAATTTGAAGGCGATACCCGTTTGTATTGCATTTATAAGTCGCGAAACATCGACTTTGATTTCTCGATTCCTGTCGTTCTTCCAACGGTTAACCAACAGTCGACAGGTGGTAGGCATTGTGACATGATTCACCTGCAATAGCTGCTGCCATCATGCAGGTGTATCCCAATGCTCACCATATCTTGTGTCGCGTCCACCTTGTTCGCAATGTTATAAAGAGGGTAAGTGTTTCGTTCATTAACATTAACCCAGTAACCTTAATTGTAGAGGGTACGATCAGAAGTGATACAACTATTTTTTCTCCTGATGTTTACTCAAACGGTTGAAAGGTGAATCAAAAGCAACATAACTTTATTTTGTAGTTTTAACAATGTATTATCCTTGATCGAAATATCGGACGGAACGTTTGCCCGATATGTCAGAGACCACTTATTAGCGAGAAAACACAAATGGTCTACAGCTTTTCGACCATCAGCAACGCTACTTCAACTCAATAATACGAACTTTGTTGAGACAAGTCACCGAATTTTGAAGATGCATCAACTGAGTCGAAAAACACCTGTGCTGAGATCTATATTTAGTGTGCTACTTCGCGTTGGATATTGGATGGAAGCAAGATTACAGAAATATACATCAGATTGCCGGGTAAAAGCCAACGTCGGCCAAGAGCCAGCAATGCGTGCACTTCAGGAACGACTGACACCAGCTGCATGTCAAGTACTGAAGTGGCACCTGCGCACTCCTTTGACGGAGTTTGTAATGTCTGCTGACTTATTCACGGCTGTGGACGCAACAGGGACTTACAATGTACACCGTGATTCCATGCGCTACTCCTGTACATTTTCCATTGAAAACGGTTTGCCATGTCGGCACATATTGGCTTACTGTACACACAGTATGACTGATGTGAACTTACAGTCAATTTGTGATAGGTGGTTACTAATAGTTTGGACGTCCCACCGCGAGAACGATTAAAGGCCCTTTTCAGGGCCACCCACAAATTGATTTAAAGGCATTTTTCCCAATATTGTTTTTGTCTTTGGCAAAGGTCAAGTGATTAAGGACTTTTTAATGTCGAATGCATTTCGATATACCTTAGATATTAATAATCGATAAGCGATTATTGCTCATGTATTCGTAAACTTGTTTCTAATGTATAATACATATAAAGGTTAAGAAGGCAGACAAGATTTTGTCATTTTATGAACACTTACCTAATAATTTTAGATGTAAAATAATGTGATTACCGTTCATGTCTTAGTAACATATTTGTAAACTATCTATTACTAGTACATTTTAATAGGAATATTTTAAAATAGTGAAAATCGTTATTTTGTCGTTAGGTGAATAAATTTATTAGTAAATATAATAAGATAGTTACAAAGATGAATGTGATTAAAGCTCATAGAGAAGTAAACGAAATTGAGAAAAATATCTTACTTATGAATAAGATACTGACATTATAAAACAAGTTGAAGCCGTCATCATTGAAATTAGTAATCCGATTAAAAGGTCATATAGTAAGTGTTAAAAGAAATGAGAATATTATCCGTTTCATGAATACAAAATGCAAGAATTTCATATTCCAGTTTTATATTAATAGTACCTGAAACCAGAACTAAGCGTACGTATGAATTACGTCCGATCGTCAACTAAGCCTTCATTGTTATTCATAACCACTGATTATATCAACGTATTCATTTGCACACCCATATAACTATTAATTACTGGTACAATCACACTATACAGTTATAAGTCCATAATTTCCATATTTTATAAAGGCCAAAAATATGTCATGGCATTAATGAATTTGACAATGTAATGTGTTAACAATGGTGAACGTTTACATCTGTTACGATATATATATATATATATATATATATATATATATATATACAAATTGTAACATTTGCAAATTAGAAAGGTCATTCGATAAAGGTCTGGATTATTTGCAGTAAAGTATTCAGTCACAATAAGTGGAAGAGCATTATAGGAAAATTTAAAATGCAAAAAATTTTGTGTCAATGAAATGCACAGTAGGAGAATTGAATCTTGTCAATTGACATAATAATAATAATAATAATAATAATAATAATAATAATAATAATAATAATAATAATAATAATAATAATAATAATAATAATAATAATAATAAGGAAAATACATAATAATAACATTGTAAATGTTCATTGATACAGTTGACCTTATTCATATTTATACGTTTAAAGTCGATAGATATTTGTTGAGTCAGTCAGACGACGTACGGTTGTTCATTTACACTTCATGAAACTGATATTTCAAATGCTTGTCAAAAATGGTTACATTCATAATGTCTAGATATAGTTCAGCTTTCATATTACGCCGGTTAACAATATTCACACATGACTGATTAAACACACATTAGTTTTTATTACGACCAAAAAATTAATTTTAAAATACAGAACTACAAATAATTTACAAGTGAACACAATAAACCCTTTCAATGGACTTTTAAAATTAACCACATTTAAATCTAACGTTTTCTAATTCTCATTATGAATGAACATTTACAAAATAATCCTTTACTAAATATTAAGTGCCTATTTCGGTTAAATTTATTACTACATTCATATACTGTCAAAGTCAGTTCATTCAATGATGGTCTACGGTTGCTTCACCTGAATCATAAATATTGCAACTAGTAAGTTATCATGATGATTTATTAATATGTTGATTTGTTTCTCGAACTAACAGACCATGTGTTACCAAAAAACCTATGCATACACTTTAGTGATAATTTGTTTATTAATTTGGTATTAAAGATTTGACTACCGACCTCAATCAGTAATCACTATTATCAAATATTCAAACCGGTTTTCAGTTGCTTTTTTCCAAAAACTTTCTTTTTATGTGATATATATAAGTACTCGTGACATTAAAATTGTTGATCGGAAATCAAAAATTCATCCCAATACGCATTCAGTGACAGTAGGATTACACTTAAGTTGGTGTTTTTTTCTATAAATGTCTAAATTTCTTACAAGACTAAGATTACACAAAAAGATTTATTCATCATCGTTAAATTTCAAATGTAAAAAATGAAAATTCTGACATCCAATCACAGCTCCAGATGTGATTTCAATTTCAACTAATCACATTGCAAAGATGAACAGTTTACGACCAATTACAAAATTATTAAAGGTGACAAAATGTTTGTTCATTATCACTTGAGCACACACCTGCAAAACAAGTACACCAATCACCGATCGCTAAATTTTTCTTTGACACCATACATTTTTTTAAAAATGGGTGGTAGGGAATCTTAATTGCCGTGGGCAAAGTGTCAACCTAACATCCGAGACGTATTATCTTATATCTGATTGGTTCGTTCATAAATTATAGTGTCGCCTATACAGCCAACGGAACGTGTATTTGTAGATGCATAAGGAAACATTTTAATATCCAGGTTAACCAATCGCCTATCTTTAAATATTTATATTCATTTCATTTTTATCAATATGAGTCAGTGTTTCCAATCATCAGTGTGTAAAGATCAGCCGTACACTTTGCCATCACCATATTCATATTAATTTTATGATGGGGCAAAATATGAAACTTAATAATTTAGTTACAAATATACATTTTGTAACGTCATCTTTAATGCTAAAATGTTCTATGTCTATTTGGGTGAATAAATTTCGCTCACAAATACAACTGGGGATACTTGATTAATTCATTCAGAAAATGTACTACCACTAGGTTACAGTTTGTTTCAGAATAGAGGATCTAGGATTTAGATTTAGGGATAGTATCGGTTCGCTTGTTATATGAAATCTAAAGATACCGAATTAAGTATTCGAAGTTCTGGTGAGAAGCCGTGACCAATGGAGCTAATCCATGTCAGGCGGAAACAGGTGTCTACCTCAGTACAATGGAAGATGGTTGCGCAACTTCATGGATTGGTTGAGGTTAGACATTAACACCATTGAATGCCGGCTCAGTGATCCAGTAGGTTAAGCGTTCGCGCTCGAGACTGTGAAGGCCCTGGGTTCGAGTTCCGCGAGCGGGATTGTGGATGCGCACCGCTGAGGAGTTCCACAATAGGACGAAACGGCCGTCCAGTGCTTCCAGGTTTTCAATGGTGGTCTAACACCAATCGGTCCATGATCTCAATCAAAACATTTACCACTATTGTTTTTACTCTATGTTGGCGAAAAGCATTTCACTATTATTTAATACGTTTTGAGCGGTGTACAGAGGTATTTTTACTTCTTGTTATTCATGATATTTGAATTACGCTCAAAATCCGAAAAGTCACATTCTCGATTCTGATTAGTTCGTACCTAAAGTATACTTTTATTACAATCTTTTGTGCAGTTATTTTAGAAGTACTGAAGTAACAATGATATACGTTTGGGTAGTTGACCAGAAGAGATAGCTAGAAGTAGGTACAATTTTAAAAGATTTATTCACTATCATTTAAGTAATAAAAAAAACCAAATATCATCTTTGAAATCAGTCAGAATCAAATTGATTCGCTGCGTAAAAACTAGTTTTCTTACTTTTTTCTCACCACATGGAGTACCATCTAATAGTCCATGATTTAACATTTTATCACAATGATCTTTCGAACCACTCATTGAACACCATAACTCTTGACAGGCGTATTCTCCAACCTATTTAATTGGTATAATTATAAAAGTCTTTATTAGAAAGTGAAGTTATAATGTTTAAATAGAAAATCACCATCCAGTTTAAATAATTAGATGGTTGTTGTTTGTAGACAATTTCCCGGAATTTCTGAACCAAGGAGAAGATATGAAAGATATGAAACCTATGTAATTAAATGGTGCTCAATTATATCTTCTATGTGACAATAGTCAGCTCGACCCCTATACAACATATTGCCTCAGAGTGATCATACAATCAGCTCAGCTCACAATTATATTAATTTGTCAATCATACTATATATTCAAGGGGTTGTTTTTATTATTTGAGTTTTGTACTGCTTTTGAAAATATGATGAGATTTACATAATTCATTTGTATCGGTTGTTTGAATCTTCCCATTAATATTTAGGACTGTGATTCATCAGTCTCTTTTTCGTAAATGGGCATTCTGTGAAGATTGCGTTGATACTGCCATAAAGTCACAAGCATTTCAAGCAGAGATGAATGGGGGCTCACAGTGGAATCCAGGATGCATATTTTGTCCTATTGCAGTTCTAAACATCAACGAGAAGATTCAAACAACCAATACAAATGGTTTCATGGCAAGACTATAACTTATGGACGAATCAATGAGATTTAGGATCGTGTATTGAATTTCAGTGCGAGTATCATTTATACATATAGATATATAGGGCTTGGTAGAAAAGTAATTTTGAATGTTTTTAAACGTGAAACGTGTTATTGTGTACATCTTGGAGTTGATATTTCTCAGCTTTATGCTTAAATTTAGCAATTTCATTAATACCCGTGAATTTTGAAAAGTCAGTTCAACCAGTGTATTCTTTTTGACAAGGAGCACGACAAACAGTACTGTGTTAGTATAATACCAAACAAATAATTGGTCGTTGGAGTAAAACCTTATTAACTGCAGCGTAGAAGTTATGGAAGACGACTCCAGTTCCAAATTCACCTACTGTCAGACGTTTTTTCTTTCATATTCGTTTCAGTCTTTATTTATACAGTGGGTTCTGCATACCGTAAGAAGTGTTTATTGTAAGTGAATAGGACAGTAGAACACAATATGTAGGTTTAAAAAGAAATATATAACCCTGAGGTAATCATCAACCTGTTGTGCATATCATCGAAATATTTACACTTATACGACTATTACATTTGACACTTCTAACAAAACTTACTCCAGGACAATGTTGACTTATATTGGATCCAGATATAACAAAACATTGTTGATCAAGTGACCATTGCCAGCCAGGCAAATCAAAATTCATATATTCCTGTTTAAATATTGGAAAATCTTGAAGACAAGTAAATTTCTGTGTTCTTAAAGTGAAGAGGAAAGAAATGAACAATATTTATGATTAACTGAAATCCCACAATGTGAGAAAGTCATATTCATAGGTGTTAGTAACCGGAAACTAAACTTATATAACTTTATTAGTGAGTAAGTTGTTAATGGATATTATTCAGTTTCACAGTTTAGATTAAAAACTGACCTTAGATAGTCAGTGATAACCAGGAAGCTGTATAAAGCTATTTCGTCATAGTATGGGACTTCTCAACAGTGCGCGTCCATTGACTCCACTTTGAGTCTTATGACAAGTGCATAATTTTTTAAACTAATATGTCAGTATCTAATTGTGTATATTTCTGTCTCTAATCCGTTTGTGGCATTACGTAACCACCATCTAATATAACTGGTTGGTAATTGCCTGACGCCTGACGCATCTAAATGCGATTAGTCATAGCTCCTGGATAGAACTCCGAAAATTATTTTTCGAAACACTTCATCAATGAAGCCATTTCGTATAATGTATTAACAAGTAATATAAGTCTACTGAAAAGTGAAAAAGTAGAAAGTCAAATCGTCATATTATTACACTTGTACATTAATTTGACACTGAATACTTTGATTTGATTATTTATAATTCTATAGTTATACAACTTGAAGGAAAATTTATGCTTATGGAATACCAGACAAACAATTTTAATAATACTGGATAAGTTTCGTTATATGCATGGATCTGTGTTGTTTGCTAAACACATGAAAATGAGGAATAAATCAAATATAATACACACAGTTTATGCTGAGGGCTGAACTTGGAACTATCGGGTCTCATGAAAATCGTGAAGTTAATCAACCATCATCCATTTTCTCTGTATTAGTAAATTCACAGTTTTAATAGGATGTAGTGCTTCATATGATGTCATTATTCAAGTAAAAATTAAATTCAAACAGCTTAAGTTTAATAAGTCTTCTAAATGAACGCTCAGTTCGATTTCTTAACCGCTTCTAATAACCTCAGGTTAAATCCACAAGAGAAAAGGAACGATCTACGAAAAGAATGATTTACTTCAAGATTAGTTTATGTATAGAAAAAAAACACGGTTATTTATAGAGTTACACAGGATTTTGGGCTTCTAGATTTTCTAGATGTTTCTGAGAAGATTCTACTCAGCGCTGATCGATGAATAAGGTGTTTCCAAGTGTTTTCTAGGGCTCTACGAACTTTTCCAATGAATACTTTGTAACTCCTTAATAAAGGAAACAATTATACGAATGTATTCTTTGTATGTGATTGTTCAGTAAAAAATGTAATTGTATTACCATCATTTAATAAGTATTCCATGTTAGAGTTTATTAATCTCATGTGTTCAGACTAATATACTGAAATATATCTTATATCAGATGGCTTTACATTTTATCGTTATGCTAAACTGAAGAGAACAAATAGGTCAACTCGTTTCACATCATGCATGACGAATTTGTGTGACATACTCTGAATTGTTTGTCTATCTAAAAAATTATCATCCACATCTTCGTTATCTCTGTTATTTTAGTCAATTGAACACAGGATATAATGACATTATTCAGTGAAGAGAACTACCCATCGACTTTTCCTTATTATTTTGTCTATTTGGTTTGGTGAAGTGTAGTTATTACCTAATGCTGATCCTTTACATATATATCTTTAAGGTGTGTTCATTTCCCTAATGACAAAATCTTCCATAGAATGTATTGTCGCCCTATTATAAGTAACCGCCGATACATACTGCTAACTATCAAAAAGAAAATTTGTCATTCTCTGTATTAAAGTTCTCTGATTAATGAAACTCGACAATATTTCAATAGAGAATGTGCTATATTTTGAAAAAAAGCTTACTCAAGACCATTTTGAAGTACTAATCGTGTACAATCACTCCAATGATGGTTATGACCTGCGGATAAAATTAATGGAGCCATTATATTTCCTGTGGATCCTGAACGATCACAACTATTTCCTTCACCATCATGTTCAACACCAAGACTAAAAAAAGTGATTTCAAACAAACAAATATCTTGTATAAGTTGAGTGTTCAACAATTTATTTTCTTAATTTTTAAGATAAAATGCAATCAGAAGGGGTTTTGTTGATATGATAGTAATTTTTTTAATGGTTGAGGTCATGTTTTCGAATCTTGCTAGGCAGGATCGTGGATATGAACTGCTGAGGAGTCCCACAATAAAACGAAACAGCCCTCCAGTCCTTCAAGGTTTTCTATGGTGGTCCAGCCCCAATTGACTCATGACCTCAACAATTAAAACAAATAAAATTCAATGTTTTGCCTTGAATGGAAAATTACATCATTAGACGAATTTTTTAGTTCTATTTTCCAAACAAATCGTTAATCCAAGCAATGTTCTCGCCTATTCCCATGTACTTATTAGAAGACTCGAAAATTTATAATGTTAACAGTTTTGGCGAGTCGATTCATCACAAAACTTCTGGAACATTTACATGACTAGTTAGAAGATACTTGTAGGAATTAATTTGTCCAAATATATCTTATTCGAGCATTTTACATAAAATACTGTCTAGTCACAGTCCACTAAAAGCAATAGTAGACGAAGGTACACCATGATCTTCAATACTTGATCGGATTTGAACAGTCATGGAAGATAAAATAAACGAATGAATTATGAGTGAGATTAAAAATAATAAAGCAATTATAATATTCCCTTAAAAGTGATCAAATGAAGATAGACTGTATTAAGATCATATTGAGTCAATAGTGACGTTCAAAACAAAATACAACTGGTCTATCGCCTAGCTGTAAATATAACGTGACTGTCTAGTTTTCAAGTAATGATTTCATTCTGTGCATCAATATTCAACGTGGCCACTACTCTAAGCGACATGACATTTAGTAAACTAGTTGAAATATTAAACGGTTGTAAGTGGTCGACAGGAAAATCTGGACATAGGTTTTATACTAGCTGGTACTGATCATTAAGGTTTATCCGTAATCTCAGAGAAAATAATGCTTTCTATGGGACTAGAATCCCCATCATACAGCTTCAAAATCTGAGACGTTGTCTCTAGGCCATTCGGACGGCGAGCGACCTCCGGCAGTTGCTTGGACTAAAGGCAACATTCCAACTTGATCAAAGAAATTCAATCAATAGTTAATTCACAAGACGAACATAGTATTGATCACTTCTCAACAGTCTCAGTTCTTCTTGAGGTCAGTTGTGGTTCAAATAGCCTCAGACTGCGAATTCGGGCAACATTGGTCTGAAGCTCTTCAGGAGCATTATTTTTCTCAAGATTACAGATACACTTTAGTGATAAGTGTCATCCAATAAGAAGCCTTGTTCTTGGGTTTCCTATAGAACAAGTTCAACCATACAGCGCATGACTAGCAACACTAACACTCACTGAACCTCTTGAACTGTACATAACGTTTTTTGAACATGCATAAGAGATTCAATAAAAGATTCAATAAAACAGTTATATCAGCACGAAGGTATCGGATATTATTTTATTTTATTCACAGCACAGACTGACCTAAGCTAGACAACCATTGGAAAACCTGGATGTACTAAACATCAGTTTCATATTAGCACGGAACTGATCATCAGTGAGCATCCATATTCTCCCTATTGGGGATCGAACTCAAGACTTCCAGTAATAGGAATGAAGTAATTTTAAAACTAAATTCATGAAAATAAATGTTTCAGAATTGCATTGTATTTTTTTTCCACTTCAAATTACCTGTGCATTATTTCATGTGCAATGGGATAAGCTGAAAAAAATCCACTATCCTCTGCTAATGTACAGGAATACTGCATACGACACATTTGACTTAGTGGAGATATGCCTAATTGAAAATAATTGTATCAACAAATAATACAATTTATAATTAATTGATGATATATGATCTAATAGTGAAATATTATACAATATCCCGTTTAGATTTAACAACTGGACTGATTTGTACCTCAACAGATCCCTATTTAGAAATAAATTCTATCTACGAAATAGTACTTTTGTGGTGAACGAAAATACAAATGGGGACAACCAAATGTATTTTATTACGACAGTACAGAATATCTTGGTAAAATCTGAGAATCATACAGTAACACTTCATTTGCAGAATATCTATCAATTGTCTCAGACTTGATTGTTCATTCGTTTCCATACCAATTACTCTTTTCTCTTCGATTTCCTCAACCCTCTGCCGTCAGGCATTCCACTTTCGATTGGTGCTACATACTACTTATATCTGTCAACTTCAACAGCATATATCATAGTTTAACTGTTAGGTAATTCAATATTTTCAAAAGGGGTTTTGTGAAGATTTTAGACATTTCACTGATTGAAATCATGAGTCGATCAGTGAAAATTCAGTATTTATCACAATCCTGTGATTTTTCCAGCGATTATACATCAGAATACCTAAAGTATTTCTCTGTTTATTTACATATCAATTTTATAGACTAATAATTAGTTTCCATAAACTTATTATGGTATTGTCTAATACTAATGTCGATTGATGTAAGTAAAATGAATCAATTGTCTTAATTATCTTGCATAGGAACTCATGCATTCATGCATACACCAGAAATTAGTGCAATCGAAAGAAGTGTATATCCACCAAAGATATGATTACGGTATGAAGACTACATTTTTATTATCAATAAACGGGATGGTTTAAAAGAATTATTTAAAAATGTAAACAGCATTTCAGAAAACATTAAGTTAACGAAGGAATTAGAATCAGTTGACCACAAATTAGAATTTCTCGATTGTTTGGTTGAACGTCGACACAATAATAAGAAGTTGAAAATAAACGTTTACAGGAAATCAACACATTCCGAGAGATACTTGGATTTTAATTCAGCCCATTCACAGAGCACGAAAATTAATGTAGTAAAAAATCTAATGAACAGAATTACTAAGCTTGTTACAGATAAGGAAGACCAACGAACTGAATTGAATAAAGTATTTTCTACTTTTAGGGATAACAACTACCCAAAAGAGTTTTTAAAGAAGATTGTTAAAAATGAGAGAGAAATTAGACTAGAATGTATAGGAAAAGTGTGGAAGTACACAGTAGTCATCCCATACCGTAGTGAAACATTGGAAGAAATCAAGCGGATTCTAAACAAACATGATATAAGAGTATTTTAGGACGAGCAACAACTTAAGATCGGCATTTGTAAAAGTTAAGGACAGGTTACCAAGGGAAGAACAACAGAACATTGTGTATGAGATCAACTGTGATGATTGTAATGCAGCCTATGTTGGAGAAAAATCCAGACAATTGCATGTAAGATTGAAAGAACACAAACAATGTTTGAAAAATGTTCCCAAATCCTCGGTTGATTTGAAGAAATTTGAGAATAAGTCTGTGATAGCGTTACATGCATTAGAAACAGGACACAAGATTAATTTTGAAGGGATCAAAATACTTCAGAAAGGTTTTAACACCTATAAAGAAAGATTGACAGTAGAAGCGCCATATATATGGGCGAACAAGAACAGCCTGAACCGAAAAGATGGTATTTAACTGGCGACTACCTGGCAAATTTCGTTATGACAAGTAATTTGAACCCTCTCTTTCTTCAACCTGTTTATTTCAGATGCATCGTTATTTTTGACTGACTTCAATGAGTTTTTAGCAATACAACTAGGTATTCAGGACCTATCAGTTTCGCGCCAGGCCGCTTAACCAACTAGACCACTGAGCCGGCATCCAGCAGTGTATTTGTTTGACATGTACATCGATGATTCATTAACAAATTGTTTCAACCTTGAACTTGAACTTTTATTTATTTTCACAGATTGAAATCATGAGTCAGTTGAAGCTAGACTACCATTGAAAACCTGGAAGCACTGGACGGCCGTTTCGTTCTAGTATGGGACTCCTCAGCAGTGCGCATCCACGATCCTGCACCACGCGGGGCTCGAATCCAGGACCTACTGGCTTAACCATTAGACCACTGAGCCGGCATCCAACGGTGTTAATGTCTAACTTCAACCAATCCACGAAGTTGCGCCATCATATACCATTGTCTTCAGTGAGCTGATATCTCACAACAGACCTGGTTGTACTCCACTGGTAACGGCTTCCCACTAGAACTCCAGGAGTATCTCTTGAAGTCAGTCACTAGTGAGTAGATGATTATTATCAGAAGAGGTTTGTGGAGATTTTTAGAAATTTTCACAATTTATAAATTTATTTATTTATTCCTTCATATATCACATCAACACAGAACATCAATAATAATTCTCACACATACGTACAAGCATACCTACACACTCACACACATACAATTTGTTGTTTCAGTTAATTATTTCCATGTAGTTGAATTTTTCACATGATCTGTAGTTAACTGACTCATTTTATCCTATTTCACGAAAATCAACATCCAAATGTGATTGGTTTAACAGAGTGTAGTTTTAGACATTAACACCGTTGGATGCCAGCTCAGTGGTCTAGTGGTTAAGTGCTCGCACGCGAAACCATTGGGCCCTGGGTTCGAATCTCACAGGGTGCGAGGTCGTGGATGCGCACTGCTGGGGGTTTCACAGTAGGAGAGAACGGCCGTCCAGTGCTTCCAGGTTTTCATGGTGGTCTGGCTTCAAATGACTCATGATCTTAACCATTGGAAAAGCTATATATTTCTTTAAAACAATTAGTCCCTTTGATAAATTTCGATAATGATATTAGAAGACGAAGATTATCAGAACTATGTGGATATATTAGCGCAATACATTTCGAACAATCTGGTCACACATATACTTGTTAAGAGCATTAATATATAAAAATAAAAGGTCAACTAGACAAGAAACGGGGTAAGAGGAGATAAGGATAATGATAATGTTATTTGATGAAGAACAAGGTGCATGCTTCATTCAAAACCTAAAGTACATGGAAACGATTGCGTCACATCCCACTGTGTTTACCAATTTAAATGTGTGTATGGTCACACATACATAGGGAGGAGTAATCGTGATCTCAACATTAGGGTGAGTGAACATGTACCCAAATGGCTTCAGAAACAGATACAATCAAGTGACCCAATAAGAGCAGAGGATAAACATCCCCGTTTCCTGTCTAGTTGACCTTTTATTTTTATATATAAATGCTCTTAACAAGTATATGTGTGACCAGATTGTTCGAAATGTATTGCGCTAATATATCCACATAGTTCTGATAATCTTCGTCTTCTAATATCATTATCGAAATATATTTCTTTGATGATTTTGATTTTGATTGTTACCTTGAAGAAGTCCAGATAAGTTAGTTGGACGAAACGTTCGAATTATTTAAATTTCAATCTCTGAGATTATGTAAAATATAATTTTAACATATTAGAGCATACGTTCAAATCTGATTCTTGGTCCTGTATTTGCTCATGATTTTTCTGATTGGTTAATAGGTTGTATTGGTTTCTATGTATTTGCTATTTGCTGATTGAACTGAGTACCAAGATTCTAATATTTCCTGTATCCAAGATCTCAACATTTTTCCAATCCAATGTATCTCCACTATTGTGGAGCAAGAATCAAGTTAAAGGGAGAGGGAGTTTTAAAAAGGTTTGCAGACAATGACATATTAAACGTCAACAATAACCAATGAAGATCAAGATCGACAAGACAAACCATTAGTCATACGTGGAGAAATTCAAATATCCAACTTTTATCTCTTTATTATGACGATGTTGTTCAATAGTACAATGAAAGCTCCACGATTAAACCATCCAGCTCAGAGAATGAAACGCCACCGAAACAAATCAATGTTAACATCTAATATAATATGCATCTCATCATCATCATCATCTAATAATCAATTTACAGTTAAATTATCATACACATAATCAAAAATATGACGAGTTTACTTTACATACCAGCTGCTTGTACAATATTTCTTGATAAAAACAAGGCATGATCATAGTTATAACGAACATAATGATGAGTTAAAGCCCAATTGCAAAATCTGTGAACAGAACGAATTAGCGATGCACCCCATAGAAGTTCATTTGACTAAAATTTTGGACAGAATACAATGTAACCAAATTTTAAAACTCATAAGAAATTTATAAATTTTGTCAACTTCTTAATTTATTCTGATAATAATCATCTGCTAACTAATGACTGACTTCAAGAGGCATTTCCTGCCGTTCTAGTGAGAAGCCGTTACTAGTGGAGTTCAACCAGGTCTGTTGTGAGATATCAGCTCACGGCCGTTCAGTACTTCCAGGTTTTCCATGACGGCCTAGATTCAATTGACTCATAATTTCAATTATTAATTTATCTTAGCTTGTGAATCAATAAAACACCAAATCAAACGACATCCACTTGGATCTTCTATAAGATTGAACTTATAACCTTCACTTTACTAATGAATTAGCTTAGTGACTTGAAGAATCTAAACTGTTACAATTTAAGATGGGGATGTCCATTGATGTTTAAACTGGAAGAATACGAAATTTTCAGTCTAAAATGGTTTTTCAACTGATTTCAATGTGTTATATTTTCCAATAAAGAATTCAATAATCTCATTTGAATCTGTTTAACCTTGTTTTATGTGCAAACTATTAATCAGCAAGATACAGTTATAATTATGAATATCTTTTCATCATTTAGTCACGGCAACACTGTTTAGCAAATGCTTCTTTCCATTCAATAAGAACTGAATAATCAATATTCTACTCATAAGATTTTACTCATTCGTATTCAACCATACACCTTAAATGTCAAGCATAAAATACACTTGATGTTTCATGAGAACTCAGCTTCATCTCTTCGGAGATAGTTTTCAAACTGAAGCAATGTTAAATAAGAACTTTCGTCTAAATTTGAACGAACAGTTTCACAATATTTGGGCGCCGAGTTAATGTGAAACATTAAAGAGGAAGAATGCATTTGTAAAATCTCAGCGAAAGAATTTGAAGTAAATCCAATGTTATGGAGAGAACTATAGAAAAGAAAAAAAAAGCTGTGTTTTGTGGTTTAATTCGCTCTCTTCAATATATCGAACACTTACTTACATACTTACGCTTGCTATCCCTAGTGTAGCAGGGTTATCCATCCACACCTCTACCGGACTCCTCTTTATCGTTGTTTCCAAGTGCTGAGAATGCTTTCGATGTCTTCCACCAGTTCTCAATACTATGTGTGATTTAGTCTTTCTCCTCTCCTTTCGACCTGAGGATTTCAAGTTAGGATTTACCTTGTGATGTAGTTTGATACTGTCTTCAGACTTTATCCAGATCTTTCCAGTTACTGTTACGTCTGACTTCAGTGCTTCAGCTATTGTGTTTTCAGATCCTTCTGCTTTCTCATTCTTGATTTCTCAGATAGGGATGCTAATTTCTTCTAATCTTTAAGCGGCAACATCTAGATGATGGTCTATGTGTGCTGCTTCGATGTCCAGTGGGTTCAGTGTGGCTTGTCCATTCTAATGTTCTTCAATATGTTTTGCCCACATATTCCAACGTTCTTCAATCTCAGTGATTGGCTTACTTTCTTTGTTTTTGACTGGTCGCTCTGGTTTACTATATTTCCCTATCACTTTCTTCGTTATGTCACATAATTGTTTCATATTTCCTTCTGTTGCGGCTTTTTCCGCTGTCTCTGCTAGATCTTTAACGTATTTCTGCTTGTTGGTTCTAATGCTCTTCTTCACTTGCTTGTTTACTTCTTGTGCATTCAGTATGTGCCTTGACTTTCTCTATTCTTGTTAGGCTGTTGTTAATTGCCGTCTTTTTGTTCTTGCTTTCCTGATACTTGTTCAAGGTTTCGATGGAGATCCATTCCTTGTGATGATGCTCGTTACGGTCCAAAATCTCCTTACACGTCGAAGTTAGTGCTTCTTTGATTCTCTTCCAGGTGCTCTCCATAGTGGTTTCTTCTTCTTCGAGTAGATCTTGCAAGGCTTCAAACTTGTTGTTGACTGCCAGCTGTCTTGAATTCATTGAGTTTCTCAGCATCTGGCGGGTAGGCTGTGTTGAACCTTTTTAATGCTGTTTGTCCAGTTGTCCATTGCTTCTTTAACTTCAGGTTCTTATTGGTAACCATCAGGTGGTGATCTGAAGTTATGTCAGCTCCTCTCTTTGTTCTCACGTCTTTCTTGAATCTTCTGAATTGTTTAGTAATGCGTCCCAACCTCGCTAACTAGAGAGAGATCTGGTTCAGATGAGGGAAAGGTATATTCTACAAGCAGCTGGAAACACGAACAACAACTCAAGCGTATATATACCACATAAAAGTGTCTTTGGGAAACGTCACAAAATAGCATATTGAAAGAGGCAACCAACCAATGATATTTAGGGTCCTTTCAAGTGGGAAGTACAGTCTGAAATTAAAAATGGGCACTTTTGGTCCAAAAACAGGAAATACAAATTTTCCAAAAAAATTACAGAAATAAGACATTCATCAAGTGATTTCTGGAGATCGAGCATCCCCAAAATCTGTTCAGTACCATGTAGACCTAATAACTATCTACAATGAATAACTAAAGAGGTTAAAGAACTGTTTAGTCGTAGGAAAACGCATTGAGCAGTACATATACACTTATTGTAAGACTAAGAACAAATGCAAAGCGTTGATAAGTAGGGCTGGATTTCCATTTGAAATAAATTTGCTTAGGGATTGTGAGTGTAGTTTGAAAAGGTTGTTATCGTGTATGAAAAGGCGATCTCAGAGAAGTGATGGGATCCCGCTTCGTTTGGTCAGAGAAAGTTCATTGATATTAGCGAGAAATGATGGTAAAATAGCTTTATCAGGATATTTTTGTAAATTGTTCTCTACCGACGATGGTGAAAAAACCAAAGATTGATTATATTAATGGCAGCTTGTTGATGAATCCTGTGGCTATTGAGAAAGGAACTGTCTTACGATTACTCCAACATCTTAAGGCATATGAATCTAGTGATCCTGACGATATTCATCCTAGGATTTTGAAAGCTCTGGAGGATATAGTCGCTGAATATCTGACAATCATGTGTGATGTGTCTTTTAAACAGTCTAAGCTGTCAAGAGACTTCAGGGATGCAGTTATCAGTAACGTCGAGTAGAGACATAGTAACTGCAGACTAGTATAGTCGTCAAACTAATGGAAAAGATTATTTGGATGGCTATTCTAAACTGTGTGAAAGAGAGTAATCCTCTAATCAGGGAACAGTATGGTTTTAGGAAAGGCGTTTCATATTTGACAAATTTTCTCATTGAAAGTGATGGTTGAACTAGAGCGAAAGACATGATGATTCCGGTAGATGAGATTTCCAAACATCTGAGTAAGGCCTTTGACGCAGTCTATTATCTGGGACTTACACTGAAACTGGGAAGTTTAATAATTCATAATGAAATCAGGAACTGGGAAGGTGAATTTCTCAGTGATAGGAGACCGTGGGTACGGATATACGGCACTTTATCTATAAGAAGTGGGGACCCCTAGAGTATAGTTCTATGTCCTCTTCTCTTGTTTTATGTAAATGATTCATTAACTGTAACAAAGTCATCTGTTACCATCTTTAAAGATTTGGAGACAATTTAACTTGATATCAGATGAGATAATATTATGGGATGACCTAAATTCACTGGTTACATGGATCTATAGGTGGTCACTATAAGCTAATTCTAGTAGACATGTATGTAGTTTGTTGCTAATAGTAAGACGATTTTTTCATTCTCCCTTTGTATTTGTCGTTCTATTGATTATCTGTTGTATTTCTGTTCCTTAAACCATTTCCATCCTGTTGATTTTCTTCAAACTTTAAACCATTGCACAACTTCTTCGTGATACTTGGGATTGATCAACATGTAATCCGTGACTGTCTAGTGAGTGTAGAGAAAAATGCGGTTGTGTCACATATAAAATGAAATGGTTTTTGTCGTCAACTTCCACTTCACCTGTCTTTCGACTTTACGGTCGTGTTTGTGTACGTTGCCATATTATGAATATCTAGTTCGAAATGAGTTGCTGGAATTTGAATACTAGTGTATCAGCTGATTTAGTCAGACCCAGTTGATAGCATTTTTCAGTGGACTAATATTTCTGTTAGTCAACTATAAATTCAATGGTATAGTTTCAGAGAAGTTTACTATAGAAAAAAACTTTTCTCTAATGATTTGCCTTCAGTTTTTTCTCTTCAATTTATTCATTCGTTCAATATTAATAAATCTTTATTTATTAAAAGAAGAACGATCAACTTACTTCAGCTTCACTAACCCATATTATATCTTGTACAACTAGACTCATATTCATACCTAAAGATGGATGATGAAATAATTCATCAGTCTAAAAAAGTAGAACAAAACACAAAAGTAAAGTAGGTCACTTGTTAATTGTTCAGTCATCGATGGCTAAAGTTATCCGCCACGTTTTGAATACTCGAGGTACGTGCAGTATTCAGAACTCGTGGGAATCTTTCCTGCCCATTTCGCGTATGAATACTTCATACTGAAGTGTGACTGTTTTCGGGGACTTTAGTTTAAACATTTAGAGTTATGTGCAGCTGACTGTTGTGAGCACATCAAGGTAGTGAATCTCGGCAAGGCAGATGAAAACCAAAAGTACGGTAAAAATTAAGTCTTGTCATAAAATCTCATATATGAGTTATTCAATAACAAAATGAACAGGAATCAGCCATAAGTGTTGTATTTAACATTGTAATTGAACATTGAAAACGTGAAGGATCACTTTAACCTAGATATTATACCATACAATGTTTTTAACCTACTGTCTTCTAGTTTCTATATGTTATATACAGTGGTATACTAATCTAGTGAAGAAAATTTCATTTTCAACACATTCAATTCAAGTTAAGCAATCTTACAAAATAATGTCTTAAATTACAGTTTGTTACATCTACATATACTTACCTGACATAAGTATATAAGTGTCTCTTACTCATTACTGAGGGACTTACAAATTAGGAGAAACAATTATACAAACTGTGTATGATTTGATTCGTGTTCGTGCACTTTGTAAATGCTTATCTATCACTTTACTGTTTTAAAGGTAAAAGGAATCCCAATTATCAGTATGAAGTTGTGGAGATTGTTAAATTTTTGATTAAACTCATGAATCGACCAGTGGAAACCTGAAAGTACTGGACGGCTGTTTCGTCCTAGCATAGGACTCCTCAGCAGCCTAGGCCAGTGGAGTTAAACCATGTCGAATGTGTGGCAGTTACCTACCGAAGACAATGGAACATGGCCGCGTAATTTCGTGGATTGGTTGAAGTGAGACATTAACACGATCAGATGTTGTCCCAGTGGTCTAAAGTTTGGGTGTTCGCACGCAAGACCGAAGATCAATCGATTGCAAGAATCTCAGTCACACAAGAGGTTAGCCGCCGTTCAAATGGCTTAGTGGTAACGCTCCGGACTCTGAAGCTGAGTAATATTGGCTCATATTCTACCGAGAGTATCATTCCACTTAATATTACAGTTACATCATGTTTGAAAGTGACAGCCAGCATAAAACCTATATCGTGAGTTATATATTGACTACCTCCAGTCACTGAACAGATATAGAAATACACGGAAACTTATATATTTTATGACACGTTGAATAGATCTGTTGGTTGCTAATTCAAGTAATCAATAATCCCTCAGTTTTAATATGATTGATAATTTTAACATCTTTGTGTGAAGCAATAATCTCTGAAGTCAAACAGTTATAATGGATGATGACTACCGTGTATATTTAAAAAAGTACTGCCCATTAGATTGAAACTTGTTGAAATGAAGAGTTTTCATATTGTCTAGGGGACGTTAAGACTAGATATTCAATTATTATCGGTACACGGAGAATGCACATTATTCGAGCATATGAACAAGGAAAGATAATTAGATCATTGACATCCTAATTATACATAGATTTTTACAATTTATTAGGGTTAAACATCATCAGACATATTATGGCCTGTTAGCGTTGCCGAAATAACAAGTATTATTATGACATTTCACACTTCACTGACCATTGAAATGTGACAATATACATCAAGCGTTTATATGCTTATTTAATCGATTTAACTTAACACAGAAAAGTGTTGAGATGGTGGAGAAGATTTGTAGCTCAGGTGGGTGATTTTGGTGGAGTTTTGTTCTCTGAGCTGGATGGTCTGGTCGTGGAGCTTTCATCGTTCTTCTGAACGACATCATCAGCACAAACTTCAGATAGAAGTGAAGTGTTCGAATTTCTTCATATGCGCTTCACAGCTTGTTCTGTGCATCTCGACGTTGATTGGTTCTTATTGACCTTGAATTTGTCATTGTTTACTTCTTTGTTTTGGTCCTGTCTCCCATTGGTTTGATTTTTGTTCTTATATTTATTCATGATTTTTCTGATTGGTTGATAAATTGGATTGGTTTCAATATGCTTGTTGATTGCTGATTGACATGAGTGCCAGGCTTCTAAAAATTCTCTGATGTTTTTGGAGTTTCCTCTGTCTAAGATCTCCACATTTTTCCAATCGAATGAGTGTCCGCAGTTGTCCACGTGTATTGATATAAGTGAGGAGATACCATGGCGTTTGACTGCTAATTGATGTTTGTGTAGGCGAGAGTGGAGGGGGCGTCCGCTTTGTCCGATGTAGTGTTTGTCGCAGTTGGCACAATTTATTTTGTAGATTATGTGTGATTTGTTTTCCTTTGTTATTTCATCTTTTGGTTTGCATAGGATTGATTGTAGTGATTTTGTCAGTTTGTGTGCCACACCTATCCCGAAGGTTTTCAGCAGTCTCGTTGCGGTCTTTGATATTCCTTGTATGTATGGTGGGGTGATGTGTCCTCACAGTCTCCTTTTCACCCTTCTTCCTGATATGGTATTATAATTGTTGAAGTGTCATTATTTGTTCATTGTCAATCTACATAATCAAATTGGATCAAAGTTTGTATTGAACCAGTTTCCTACTACCCTCTCTTTGAATCGGAATATTTCAAAAGTTATAACACAATGATTAAAATGATTTAAGCTAATGACTTAGAAACTATAAAATTAAGCTACAAATTAAATACATCATAACGAACCATTCTCATTAATGTTTTCACATAATTTTCTGCTATTGTTTTATTCGAGAAACGATTCATTACTGTATGATCAGCAAATACCAATGTTTCAATCCAATAATTTTGTTCACCTAAAAAACATGGCAACCATATTTGATTGAAATGAATATCTGATGAAGATTGTTTTTAAATTTCTTCTAATAACTTCATAAGTAGGTGGAAATTGTTTGTAAAATAAATCAATTATAAAGACCTATTGGAAGGAAATTTAACGCTGCCAACTCGATACTATCCTCTCAACTAAATGAGTACTTATACAATAAATCAAGGATGGACTGTTGATGACGTGTTCGTCCATGGGTGTAAATCATTTTACCTGTTTCTGTGAAGTCAGTTACATACACAATACTCAGAAGGTTTTATTTTTGACCGCTTGTAAATATTTACCAGCGCGGTTGGGAAATAAAGTTATGAAATTTATTCACTACCCATTCCTTCTCAATTAGTGTGCAGCGGACTTTAGACTAAAATCGGTTAAGTTTTCTCTGTTTTATATCATGTTCCAAGCTATCTACCGAAAAGCGAAAGATTACAACTGTGTAGCTGAAGTCATAGGGATCGACTTCTGAAGACTAAGCTTATTTATCCAAAAGAGGTATATATATATACATATATACATTATTCTTATTCTTCCGTTGTACTATTTAAACTTTGATTAATTTTAATTTGGTTATTTATTCTCTGAAGAAGCGGCTTACACTAAGTCACGAAACGTCAGGAAACCTAATTTTCCTACTCACTGGGATATTACAAATATATTATTTATTTATAACAATCTATCCAATGCTCAATTTATTCGAAATTATCAAATCAAACCATGGTAATGATACCTCCAAAAGAGGTATGTTCATCCTCTGTGTTTACCTTGGTCCACAGTTGAACCACCATATACCTGAAGTGGACGTTGTAAACCACTAACCCTCGCCAGTTTCATTTATGCTTATATCCGCTCTCCCCCATTCTTACTTTACACACTCATCTTTTACAATCTGCATAAACGTCTTATCAAACTTATCTTAGCAACGCACGGCGTATTACATATTATAATCACGCGACTTTATTATTATCATTATTATCACCATAATAATAATAATTATTATTGCTAACATGATTATTATTACCCCCGTGAACTAACAAAATTTCTAAAATTTTCATTTTATTCACATGGTTCGTATTATTTGTCACCTTACAACGAATCATTCTGACCCTTTGTAGATGATCTTTCTAATTTATAAATGATACAATTTTGAAGCCTTTATGCCGAAGTCGATGGATATGTTCATCATGTTTTACTCATCACAATGTCTAGATTACATATACATGACTTATTTTGACCTTAGTAACCCAATACACTAGTCATAGACTTAAAACTTTAGAAAATGATGACGAAGTCATTGGACACGGTTGTTCGCTCTAATATGTTCTGAACTTATACAAAGAGTATTCGTAGAGATGGATAGTACTTACCAGTGGAATCCAGGACGTGCGTTTCGTTCTATTTGGGACTCGTCAGCTGGATGTGCCTGCATCCCAGAGTTGATGTTCACTCTCGAACTCAAACCTAGTACTGTTCGCTTCAAACGCCATCGCGTTATTAACTTAGCTATTATTCTTTACAAACTATTCATGTACGAAAGCTGTTTTCTGACTGATTAACAAGTAGCCGCAATAGGTCAAAGTTGATTTAAACTCGTCTCTTTACTATAACCTTATCGTTGGCTAATGACTTTATTTCCAGAAAAAGCTTATCCGGTTATGGTTTAAAGGACAGTAAACCAATCACCACTAGTTCGGTTATTTAAGTCAACAACCCAGTGATAACAGTTTAAAGTTCAAAGCTACCAAATGTAAATCATAATCTATAAGGATGAATACATTTCTTCATAGTTGTTAATCGGCTTTATTATGGAATAATATCAGGTATGAGATTTAACTACTCAATATTAGACATTTCATGCAACTTCATCGTATCAAAGGGTACTTGAATCATATAATTTTACTCAATATATTTTTAAAAAATTGAGAATTATATGTATCGAATTAACTTACGAACTCTACAGTTTATATAAATAATTGTGACTTATTTCGTTACTCTAACAACTCTTAAGATCACTGTATCTATAACCAATTCACTTCTTCAGTTCCTATTATTTCGATTACCTCAACTATCAACTCTAAACTTCCTCATCAAGTGTCAACATGTCCATCAATTCTAGTGAGCGAAATATTGTCCCAAGTATACTGAACCCTCGCTTCAATCTATACATTGGAGCTTCCAACGTAAGTACCTTATGCCAAACCAGCTAGTAGGCCTCCTTAGCTATAATCCTAGAATATCGTACCATTGATGTATTCTGTGTCACCGAAACATGCATACAGGGTTCTAGTGTGGCCATTCACTTGACCTTACCTAACCGAAACGGGGAGCCAACGAGATATACTCTCCGTTTATCTAGTGAATTGATGGCAAATTCTCGTGGACTGGTGGGTGTAGGCATAGAACTAAGCATGAGGACCTAACAAACACTTTTAAAATGGATCCCTGTTAACAGTCACCTATGTGCTGTACGGCTAAATGGCTTCGTAAGAACTCGGGAGCATAGGGACACTTGTCGTTGCCTTTCGATTATTTCTGCCTACGCCCCCTTTGGCTTTAGCCCGGATGAAGTGAAAGATGAATTTTACGGAAAGTTTTCTGAGCTTCTTCAAAAAGCTAAACACTCAGACATAATACTCGCAGCATATGACTTTAATACCCAGTTAGGTAGCTTAAACCAAACAGAAAGACATTTAGACGGGTGTTTTGGTATTTCGGTTCAACGAACAGATAACTGTGATCGTCTGCTACAACCTTGCCCGGAAAATCGTTTATTTCTAACAAATACTAATTTTAATAGTAAGGAGAGAAATCGTCTAACATGGCAACCCCACTCAATAATCCCAAACAACCTGAATGGAACATTGAAGTGGCTCCCCGACCCTAGTTGATGTTAGAAAATCCATAGCTATTCTGAAACAGGGTAGGGCAACTGGTTCAGATGGATTGGCTCCAGAGATCTTTAGGGATAATTGTCCAGTTTCAGAGATTAGGCTGACTAATATTCTAGCTAAAATCTGGGAACTGGACGTATTCTCATCTGACTGGTCGCAATCACTGATTGTCCCAATATATAAAAAGGTGTCAAAATCATCCTCTGATAACCATAGAGCGATTAGTTTGACTAATATAGCATCTAAAATATAGCCTCAATAATTATCGGGCGACTAACTAAGACTCGTGAACTGCAAACACGAGAAAATCAGGCTGGATTCAGATCTGGTCATGACTGTATATTCAGCATTCGTCCTAGAAAACAGGCATGCTTATCGGCGTCCGACAGTGGTGGTCATTCTTGACTTAAAAGTAGCATTTGACTATGTTGATCGAGAGGTTCTGTGGTAGTGTCTGTCATTGAAAGGTGTGCCTCAGAAATACATAAACCTTGTGAGGGCTCTTTACTCGAACACTGTCAGTCGATGGAAACTGATTTTGCAACCTCAAGTGATGTCCCGCAAAGACGTTCAATATCCCCATTTTCGTTTAATTTCATCGTAGACCTATTTCAGGAAACAAGGTTCTTGTAGTTTGAATTCTCGGAAATTGATCTCCTACTATGAGGTCCACCTTTTGACTCAGAATACACAGATGACATATTCCTGTTTGGCGAAGATGCTGATAAAATGCAGAGTCTTTTGGCAGCACTCAAAATGTTTGGGATGCTCTTCTCCTCCTTTAAATGCAAATTATTGCTTCAGGACTGGCCTATACCAACACATGAGCTATGGAAAGGGAGCAAATTGGTCGAAAGCGTCAACAACTTCACTTATCTTGGAAGTCTGATCAACTCTAATGCGTTGGTGTTTTACGAAATTTCGTCACAAATTCAAAAGGCTCATTCGGCTTTTACCAACTTACATCACCTATGGAGAAGGCGAGATACTCGTCTATCAATTGAAGGACGAGTATAGTTCGCGATATTTCGTTCTGTTTTAGTTTACGGCCGCGAAATATGGCCATTAAGAGTAGAAGACACTCGTAAGCTACTAGTATTTGATTACAGATGTCTTAGAAATATTGCCAGAATCTGCTGGGATCACCGGGTAAGCAATAGTGAGGTTTAACTCAGGGTAATAGGGAATGGTGGTAAATCAGTTGAAGAGGTTGGGTCACGTAATACTCATACCTAACCACCGATTACCACGACGCGCAAAGCTGACTAGTGTTGGTGACGGATGGAAGAAAGCTAGTAGCGGCCAAACCAAAACGTGGCACCGGTCCTTGAAGTCACTAACTTCTGATCTTAGCCATTTCAGTAGATGCAAACTAATTGGTTGGGGTCCGCGCAACTATCGTAACCGATGGTTGGAGACTGTGGGTGACGTGGCTCAGGATCGACCACAATGATGTTGGTGTATTCACTCTTTGTCTTCTTTTAAACTGTGAAATTAAAACTGCTTTATACCTATCTTTCTGCAAGCTAAATCTTTTTTAATGGTTAAGATCATGAGTCAGTCGAAGCTAGACCACCATGGAAAACCTGGAAGCACTGGACGGCCGTTTCATCCTATTGTGGGACTCTTCAGCGGTGCACATTCACGACCTCGCCCCCTACGAGATTCGAACCCAGGACGTACTGGTTTCGCGTGTGAGCACTTAACCACAATAGGACGAAACGGTCGTCCAATGCTTCCAGGTTTTCCCTGGTGGTCTAGCTCCAACTGACTCATGATCTTAACCATTGAAATTACTATAATATCCAGAAAACCCATCTGATGCAAAGCTTTTTCGCTGTATCGTATGGTCATATGCAATTTTTTTATATATTACCACCATTGAATTAACTACTCCCATGAATTTGGCATTGATGTTGTTGTTCCAGCGAGGTGTGGCAACTTGGACCGATGCATTTATGCACATAGTCCCATGTTGTAAATGATTGACTGACTGACTGAGTGTAACATCGAGAGAACGCGTTTTGTCTTATTTAAAACTTATCAATAGGATGTACCTTCATCTCGGTGTTGTTGCTCATACTAAGATTCGAATCGAGTATCTTTCATTTCAGATATCCAACACATTATCTAATCAGCTATTGAGTTCAGACAATCATCAACGTGTTCAATATGTGTGACGTTATTATTATTATTATTATTATTATTATTATTATTATTTGTATGATAATGGATAGTTTATTATAATCTTACCGTGATTATTCATTTGAGAATTAACTTTCTGTAATATTGGTTTCTTATAATTTGACCAACTTCCAAGGGTATTATTTGTAGATAAATGTAATTCATTTGTATTATTCATGCATAAAATTGTTATTAACAATAGAATTATTATTAATTTTTGATATATTGTTAATCTCCATGATATTGTATAGATAGGAATAATGTTATTTAATGTAATCAATAAATTCATGAATAGTCCCATCATTATCTCATTAGTTGTTAAGTGATCAAAATGAAAGATATAGACAATTATTGATTATTGATAAAACTTCACATGAATTATATATTTATGTATCATTAAAGTCAAAGTGTCGATCAATAGAATGGACCGTTTAGTGATATTTTTTTTCATTAGTTTAACCCGAAAGGGTATTTCATTCGTTTAAATGTCCATATATATATATGTATCTATACAATAACTATTGTGCTGATATGGAACATGTCTGTAAAATGTTATGTTTACAGTAATCAACATAATTGTCATAGTCAATTTGACCGATATTCTCATAATCAGTTTTATTTATCTCAATATTTCGCTAATTAATTGATTTAATCAGACATGAAAGTGAATAGTATAGTTTCATCAGTTATATTAAACTTTATTAAATTATTTGTGTATTGAAATAAGGAAGAAATATTTAAATTCCAGTTCACAATTTGTATTAATTCAAGGGATATTGACAGTTGAAAGGCAGTATAAAGTAAGACGAATTGGCAAAGAGAAAGAAACCAAACTAAATAGAAGAAAAACGTGTTGAAAAACAATGATGAAAAAAACGAGATATAAAATAAAGCATAATGACGAATGAGAAGTCAAGTCAATATACATAGAAAATGATACGGAAATAAACATTTTAATAACCACAAAAATCGTACAATTGGACTCACCTGTCGTGCAAGCAACACGATATGCCTATCATCATACTGTTAATGAACCTTCTGTTACCAGAAGAATCACTAACCATAACCCAACAATGCTCAACCACATCACAAACCACCAAAATACACAACACCATACCACAATATCACCATTTGCAATCTACTACACAAACATACACAAACCCCCTTCTTACATCCATCATACCACTGACAGACACAAATCCAATCTGAATATATGCACAAACATATCTAAACAAACAATATTGAGGCATACGAGCATGATTCACCAGTTCGTCTTCATCACTACGACATGCACTTCATGCACTACTGAAATATCTCTAATTCAGTAGGCAGAGAATGTGATAGAAGAAAATTCTCTTGACCATTCCATCAAATACCTGATTTCATACAACACACATACAACTGAACTAGCGCACTCATCTACCAGCACCTACTATCTCGTTGCCACCTGTAACTTTCTACAAATAGTAAGGATTAATATAGATTGATCGATATCCCAACCTTGCAACTGGAGACTGTAGACTGAAGACTGAAGACTGAAGATGGAGAAGTTGAAACAGTTTTAATAATTATTTTGATGAGTGTTCGGTATTAGCAAGGTTCTCTTCTACATGGCGTATGGAGTTGCTAACTGCATACCCAACCATCCTTCTTTATCCGAACTTGGGATCGACAGAAACCCTAGAAGGGTTCCAGGTGGAGGAGTTATGTCGAACAAACACTATGCAAAAGATCAATTACTAAACCGGATAATGATGCATACGAGTCTTAACTATTTATATGATTTTTCCCTCTGATTCAGGTAAAGACATGCTCTCGAAGACCTTGATCAGCTATATGAACAACTTCTGTCAGAAGTGTTCACTGTTGATTTTCAGATAACATCATATGAGCTGAGCACAGACACAATATATTTGCATCACTCAACCTATCAAACAGACATTGGACAACTACTTAGTGCTAATTTAAAATTGCACAACAATAGTGAAGGTGAATAATTGAATTGTGATTGATTATTTTTAGCAGAATCTTGATTACCTACTGTTTCAACTTCAAATAGAATAGAGAAATGAACTGTATTGAGGTTTGTGTGATTTGGCTGTTTTTTCACGGAGAGTGGGTAAGCTGTATTACGCAATCCGATTGTTGACTTATTGGCCTGTACTCCCTAGGGGACTAGTCACCTTCATTTTAAACAATCACACATAACGATCTCCTGTTGACCAATGTTTCAGTGACCATAAATAATTGCCAGGATATCGCGAATACTGATTGAGCCACAAGCCACGTCAATCAGAAGAGGAATATGACAAGCAGCTTATTCTCTATTGTAAGATCAATAATGATGGATTATGCTATGACTGTTGTTTGTTAGTGTTGGTGTTTGTGGGACCGAATGGAACAGTATGGAATGGTAGATTATAGAAAGGAACGGATGCCTGTTATTAATTGCTGTGTAATTTCGTAGCAGATTAGTTGACATGCATGTAGTTTGTTGTTAATAGTAAGATGATTTAGTGAAGTAAGTGAGGTGAGTAGGCTGTGTGTTTGGTCTATTATGCTTGATGATGAGGTGAAAGGACGGATAAGATTATGAGTTTAGCCGACCAGAATACACGGACTAATATGCATGCCATGCCATGCCATGCCATGCGAAGAACAATCGTGAGTAGTGTATTTGAGAAGAAACAGAAAGAACAGGAATAACAGAAAGGACAGAATGAGCAAATAGAATTAACGACTTTCCTTCCTTTCGTTACATTTCCTATTTTAATATAACAAACACAACATGGGGTTTCAGATGGCTCAGGCTAGTCCACTTGGCCTCACCTGTCGTGCAAGCAACACGATATGCCTATCATCATATTGTTAATGAACCTTCTGTTACCAGAAGAATCACTAACCATAACCCAACAATGCTCAACCACATCACAAACCACCAAAATACACAACACCATACCACAATATCACCATTTGCAATCTACTACACAAACATACACAAACCCCCTTCTTACATCCATCATACCACTGACAGACACAAATCCAATCTGAATATATGCACAAACATATCTAAACAAACAATATTGAGGCATACGAGCATGATTCACCAGTTCGTCTTCATCACTACGACATGCACTTCATGCACTACTGAAATATCTCTAATTCAGTAGGCAGAGAATGTGATAGAAGAAAATTCTCTTGACCATTCCATCAAATACCTGATTTCATACAACACACATACAACTGAACTAGCGCACTCATCTACCAGCACCTACTATCTCGTTGCCACCTGTAACTTTCTACAAATAGTAAGGATTAATATAGATTGATCGATATCCCAACCTTGCAACTGGAGACTGTAGACTGAAGACTGAAGACTGAAGATGGAGAAGTTGAAACAGTTTTAATAATTATTTTGATGAGTGTTCGGTATTAGCAAGGTTCTCTTCTACATGGCGTATGGAGTTGCTAACTGCATACCCAACCATCCTTCTTTATCCGAACTTGGGATCGACAGAAACCCTAGAAGGGTTCCAGGTGGAGGAGTTATGTCGAACAAACACTATGCAAAAGATCAATTACTAAACCGGATAATGATGCATACGAGTCTTAACTATTTATATGATTTTTCCCTCTGATTCAGGTAAAGACATGCTCTCGAAGACCTTGATCAGCTATATGAACAACTTCTGTCAGAAGTGTTCACTGTTGATTTTCAGATAACATCATATGAGCTGAGCACAGACACAATATATTTGCATCACTCAACCTATCAAACAGACATTGGACAACTACTTAGTGCTAATTTAAAATTGCACAACAATAGTGAAGGTGAATAATTGAATTGTGATTGATTATTTTTAGCAGAATCTTGATTACCTACTGTTTCAACTTCAAATAGAATAGAGAAATGAACTGTATTGAGGTTTGTGTGATTTGGCTGTTTTTTCACGGAGAGTGGGTAAGCTGTATTACGCAATCCGATTGTTGACTTATTGGCCTGTACTCCCTAGGGGACTAGTCACCTTCATTTTAAACAATCACACATAACGATCTCCTGTTGACCAATGTTTCAGTGACCATAAATAATTGCCAGGATATCGCGAATACTGATTGAGCCACAAGCCACGTCAATCAGAAGAGGAATATGACAAGCAGCTTATTCTCTATTGTAAGATCAATAATGATGGATTATGCTATGACTGTTGTTTGTTAGTGTTGGTGTTTGTGGGACCGAATGGAACAGTATGGAATGGTAGATTATAGAAAGGAACGGATGCCTGTTATTAATTGCTGTGTAATTTCGTAGCAGATTAGTTGACATGCATGTAGTTTGTTGTTAATAGTAAGATGATTTAGTGAAGTAAGTGAGGTGAGTAGGCTGTGTGTTTGGTCTATTATGCTTGATGATGAGGTGAAAGGACGTAAGATGTATGAGTTTAGCCGATGCGAAGAACAATCGTGAGTAGTGTATTTGAGAAGAAATCGGAAAAAGAAGAACAGAAAGAACAGAAAGAACAGGAATAACAGAAAGGACAGAATGAGCAAATAGAATTAACGACTTTCCTTCCTTTCGTTTACATTTCCTATTTTAATATAACAAACACAACATGGGGTTTCAGATGGCTCAGGCTAGTCCACTTGGCCTCACCTGTCGTGCAAGCAGCACGATATGCCTATCATCATACTGTTAATGAACCTTCTGTTACCAGAAGAATCACTAACCATAACCCAACAATGCTCAACCACATCACAAACCACCAAAATACACAACACCATACCACAATATCACCATTTGCAATCTACTACACAAACATACACAAACCCCCTTCTTACATCCATCATACCACTGACAGACACAAATCCAATCTGAATATATGCACAAACATATCTAAACAAACAATATTGAGGCATACGAGCATGATTCACCAGTTCGTCTTCATCACTACGACATGCACTTCATGCACTACTGAAATATCTCTAATTCAGTAGGCAGAGAATGTGATAGAAGAAAATTCTCTTGACCATTCCATCAAATACCTAATTTCATACAACTCACATACAACACAACTAGCGCACTCATCTACCAGCACCTACTATCTCGTTGCCACCTGTAACTTTCTACAAATAGTAAGGATTAATATAGATTGATCGATATCCCAACCTTGCAACTGGAGA